CCCCCCCCCCCCCCCCCCACCACCCATCGTCTGTTGGTCAGACTCAGATGTGGAACAGAGTAGACGTCTGCATCTCCTGGCTACCCTTATTAATCCAAGCGCCAAGCTTGATACAATGCCATCCTCTTCGTCACCCTTCCCTGGTTCATGCCAATATGTTTCAGTCTGCCAGCGTGCTCAGCATGCGTGAACGCCGCAATATCGAGCAATATCCATATCTGGGACACGGAGGCAGATCGTTCGGCTCTTCAGTTGCTCGGAACATTTTTCACTCTCTCTAACCGTTTGAGCGCCCTGGGAATTTTCCCGCACCTCCGTCTGTTTCCGCCTCTCCATCAACCGCTGACATCGAAGCTTGAGATCGAAGAAGCTAATGGCATGGTGCCCATCGCGTGAAAATTAGGAAACCTGGAGCGGTCACGCGCTCAACGCGCATGCAGATCATTTAGACAGGAAGGTTGACCCTCTCCGTTCACGCCGCCAGAGACGATCAACAGTGCAAGAGAGAGGATTGCGTGAGATAAGAAGAAGCTTTATGGATTCGCTGCGCTTCCGAAATCTTCCTTGGCATTAGGCCTATCCCAACTGCACCTCTCCAATTCCCGCACACGCTTGATCAGAAGCATAACCCTATTCCCGTACATTTCTTTTGCCTGCTCCTGCATCTCCCACGTCTCCCTGAACTTGTTAACCATAAAAGGTCTAAGTGGCGCTTTCCGTCCCTTGGTGTAGTCGTAGACAACTATGTCTTCCACACATCTAGCTGCGGGGCGGCGATGCAGCTCTGATAGAATGAGCACATCAAGAATGAAGTGGTCCGTGTCCGACTCTGGCCGGTTTCTAAGCTTATGCAGCACGGTTACGTGGTCTGGCCATTTCATTGGCTTCAACGCCTCATGTCAGCAAGCGTTTTTCTGTAGCTCGATTATTAACTCAGAAGAGGGGCCCATACAAACTTGTAGTCTGTCCGGATGCTTCGAAGGATGAGACCAATGCCAGAAGGACCTAACAGCCCGCTCCATTCAGCACGGTGTGTGGGATCAAGGACATGGGCAAAGTTAAGAGCCCAATTCACACGAGCGGATTCAGCGTAGCGGTTGTAGACAACATTGTTTACGTGCCCTGATACACAGTCAAAGTTTGCTCCTTGTGTCGAAAGGCTGCACCGGAAGAATACCCTTGACACAGTTTAGCCTTCCTCAATCAAGCTGTATGAGGACCATTTCGTCGAGTGTTGTCTCACCATACTGTCCTATTGTCACCCCAATTCATCTTATTAGCTGTTGTGCTCCCACGGCAGAAATATTGGACGGGGACAAAGGTACCATCTCTCCCCAAACAACTTCGTGCCGGTAGAGCCCCCTACGATTTTTCCCCGTGAGGAAGCCTTCACTTCCCGCTACTAGTTCTCTCCAGTCGAGAGCTATCTCTCGTAACATGGACCCGGCTTCTGTTGTCTGTTGCGTGTTCAAACCAAACATTATGCACTTTCCGATTCGGGTCTTGAGATCTGAGAGCCACCGTGGGTTCAGCGAGGCGGTAGCAGGCTCGTCCTCGCCTGCGGTCGACGTCGAATATCGTACAAGGCGTGCTCCATGTTGAATGCACGGTCGAAGTGAGGTTGAAGCGGGGTTGGCCAGCACTGATCGAGCAATTCTATACCGTATCATGGCAGCTAGCAACTCTCTGAGGTCTAAAATTTAGGAGCTCAGCGAGAGTATTGGAGAGAGAGCAGGTCGCTGTAAGAAGTCGCAACGTCCTTGGAGCTATTGACCGCTTGTGGTTCGCGGAGAGAGCCAGATCGCCCGAGGTCAGATCGGTGCCCGTTCCTCATTGGTCTCCCCCGCCTTCAATTCAACCACAGCCCAAGTATGCACGACCTGCCTTTAACAGCCACATTACGACAAACACGAACTCAAATCGAACTCCTTCAATTGAATTTGTCAACCGTGCTCAAGGCTTGCAAATATTGCTCACCGACCAGGAAAATAATGTCTCCCACGAGTCCGGCCCTTCGCCACCAAGTCATTCGCATATACAAAGGTAAGCCAGCAAAACCCAGATTGATACCTTCCGGCGCTATTTGGAATGACACTGCATAGAGCTCCTATATTTGGGACGGGATTACCCCCAAGGATACGACTTCTTCAGGGCCCGCCTCCACAAGGCGTTCGCTAGCCAGAAGGACCTCACGGACGAAGAGAGGATCAGAAAAGGGATTGAGCGAGCCGAGTTCGTGAAGAAAGGTGGGTGATCTATCCTGCATGTGGCTTGCTCAGGATGAGCTGATATCAGGCAATGCAGAGATCGAAGCGTTGTACGTGCAGCCATTCAGATTTCACTCAAATACTACACGTTGGCACTTTCTACATCTTCGCGCCTACCTCAGAATAATAACAAAACGGTTTGATTTTTTCAACTTATTGTAGGGACTTGAGAGGGTGCATAACCAACTTAGATTTCTGCCATTCATTAGATCTTGTCATTACCTGTCCCATGCACCAGCATACAGTCAACAAAATATGTCAAAGACTTGGTATAAGGCCAAAACCTACGTTTTCTTGAAACACCCTCGCCCCCCCTCCCCTTTTTTTTTAGCATGTGGTTTACTAGTCTAGTCATTTTTGTTCAAATTTCAGAGTAGGGGTCAGCATACTCTTGTGACATCGTATTGACCGTACATCCAGGTATTTCCTCAAGCGGTATCGCACCTTACGCCAAAGATATGACAAGTCTTAAAGGATCCAACTGCGCGATGCCTATTGTTCCTAATTGCCAGCCGTTAAACATGGGTATATCTACAAAGAAAAGGTACGTGGCACTCCGGAATCACACCCTATGGCACCACCATACTCCAATCTCCAGACATTCTCCACTTGAAGCGCCCTTCTGTTCCAGTAGATTCGTCATCATCCAACCCCACCACCGCTGCCATTCCTCTTGATTTTTCCCGCTGACTTCTTTTAATAAAGGCTCTAGACTCTCAATCATCTGGATAACCACAAGCAAAGCCGTATACCTGAGAGCCGCCTGTTCTTCAGTCAGTGTGGAGCTGTCCAGCGCACCGCTCCCTTGCTTCCCCTTCCCAGCCTCGCTTCCTCGTCGTTTCGAAGCATTCTTCTCCGCTGCGGCCTCTCGCTCCCAGCGCATCTCGCCAAGCGGAATGGCTACCCTTCGGTACTCCACATCACACAATGAGTCCGGCTCCTGAAGCAGCATTTGCGTTACTCTAGCACAAGGCGTAGGTGAGAGCTTCCGTTTGTCTAGCGCCTCTTGTATCCATGTATTCGAATCCTGCAGATACTTGTTGTGGACCCCTGTAAACGGCGTTATTGGAGATATAAGGAACGTTCCTGTCGCCACTGCGCAAGCGTACTCTTCTGGATTCTTTCCTGGTGGTGGTGGAGGGTGTGGTAGAATCGACCGTATTATGTGGTCCGTCTCCCAGATCTCTAATGTCCCGCCCGATTTCAATATCCGCATCGCTTCGTCGAGTATCCTCTGTGAAGGCGAGCCAAGGGGTACCGCCATGCTCATATCCTTCATCACCACTATATCAAACTCTCCATCGTAAAATGGTAATGGCACCTTCCGCAGATCGTGCTGCACGAATCGCCAATCTATCCCTTGTCTCCGCAGATCACCCGCCAGCGGGACAATGTCCAAACCAGTGAACGACACGTCCTCGTGGCCCAACGCACCTAAATATTCATGACATACTGAGGACCAGTATCCACTACCACACGCAATCTCTAGCACCTTTGCCGGAGGATTTTCGGAACAAGGGGTGGAGCCTAAAGCTCGACCAAGGATTTGAGTGGCGAGGATTGTATGAAGGTTCTGTCGCTGGAGCTCGGGGAGGTCGCATGGAAGTGGATAGGGGAGCTCTCGCAGGTATCGCCGTCCGTGGCGGAGTAGGAAAGGGTTCCTCAGCGTGTCGCTCTCGTCTCTCGTGCTCTGGGTAGAGGAGCTCGAGATGGAGCCCCGTGTTGTGTCCATCGAGAGCCCGGGGGTTGGAATTGGCGAAGTAGTGCTCGAAGTTCCCGATATTGTCCTCCCGAGCGCGTCAGTGGTTGTAAGGTCCCATTGCCTCGCCTCTGCCGTCTTCGGTCTTATTGGGGTACCGTTGGCATTGCTGCCGGTATAGCGATACTGAGTTTCAGATTAGATGGATATGGCCTCAAACGGCAGTCATCAGGAGGTGCTGCAGACCATTAACCATTCCGCCATGGTGCCACCCTAGCCCCACTGTTATTTAGCGTGAGTTCGATATTGAGCCTTTCCTAAGTTGTCAGATAAGCACGTGTGGGCCGGGGCCTTTGCGGAGCGAAAAATGAATGCAGGAGGGCTGAGCGGGACGAGAGGGGAGTGGTGCGTGCTCTGTTGAAGTGGGAGAAGCAAAGCGGCTTTTGCACGGCACAATCACAGGTGTTCGTACAAAAACCCACTCTCCGGCTGTTTTGAGCCTGCTCGACGTACGGACGGACGCCCCAAGGCTCACCTGAGCAGGTCAACAGCTCCAAAGCGGAGGGATGCTGCCCAGGTTTTGCGGCGCCGCTCCCAATCACAGGAGCGTCTGCACATCCTCCGCCACAGACTCAATAATATGGTAACGCAAACTGTGCAGAATAGCCAGGAAGGCCGCCTTGGGCACCAGCGGCAGGGTAAGCGATTGAGGTGTGGCGCGCAGGAATGTGGAGAAACTGGCTCATCAAGCTACACTGTATCGTCAAGCTCCAAGCTCAAGGAAAGCACATGATGATGAAAGAACTGTCGACGATAGCCTTCACATGACGTGACAGGCCCAACGAGTGGTGCAAATCACGGAGAGGATGAACCCAGGCTCTTCCAGACTTGCGTGATGCTGGAAGCTCCCATGGGGCATGTGGCAGCCAGCTGCCAAGATGTGTATATCACGTGACCAAGCTTGGCAGAAAGCGCGCCGGTGTTAACCCCATCGTGAAGCAACTGAAGCCAGCATCTCCTACGAGTCTCTATTCTTCCTCCACGCTTTGCCTGGGCCCATATCCCATTCATTAGACACAATTGAGACTGGTTTGAACAGCTGAATCCGATTCCAGCATTCCGACAGCGTATGTTGTCGCCCTTGCCGCCGTCCAGACGGAGGAGACATGCGTCTTCACCCCAGCCCTTTCACGTTCGCCCACAGTGACTAACGATGGTGATAATAGCACCCGCGGTCCCAATCTTGATCAAAGCCGCCAGCTCTTCCTCGCTTCCCGCTCCCTGCCAAACTCTTCCTCCTCCACCTCTTCCTCCTCCGCCGCGGCTCCACGCTCGCTTCAGAAACTGCTCCCCGCTGTTTATAGTACGGAAGAAGGAGGGCAGCAGCGGCGCCCAGGTTCACGCCGTCTTGCGGCAGGCCATAGCTACAGATCGCACATGACGGCCTGTTGTATCCCTGCCCATGTTAAAAAGAAGAAAGTCACGTCCCCGACAGCCACCGATACAACGCCATCCTTCGAATCCCTTCGCGACCCCCCATCCACACAACTCTTGCCCGGGGGATCGCCTGAACCTCACCGCACGTCACCCTTAGATGGCCGATTTTTCGGCGTACCAACGGGGTGCCGGGCAAACCTTCTATCCACAGCACGCGCAAAACACTCTCCATCAGCGGAGTCTCCCCAACCGTGCGCGGTCGCCCACCAACAGCGGCCGGATACCCTTCAATAACCCGGATACACCCTCTCCCTCGCGCTCCCCTGGCCCCCAGTCTCCGCAATCGTACGCTATGTTCAACCAGGGACATGGGCACCAGGGGCACAACGTGATGATGAATGGAGGGCAGAGCCAGCATCAGCGATATGCGATGCAGATGAATCTAGGAAAACCTTTTCAGCACAGCCAAAACCACCAGCACCACACACACAACACGCACCATCAACAGCAAGATCATGGTGGAGCTAATCATGGGAACCAATACAATCATCAACATACAATTTCGAGCGGTGGACTTTCTAATGCTCAGCCTCACTTCGCGCCAGGTCACCTCCAGAACGGGACTCCAGGCAGCGTGCACAGCGGACTGAGCAAGCCTCCTAACGAGCATTGGGCCGAGCAGCTGCAACTGGCACAACGCGCGCGAGAAATGACACAGTCGCACTCACATGCGCGTAACCATCCGAGTGTCAACAAGAGCGTGGTAGCTGGTACAACCAATGGGATACAGAAGGAAGTGGAGAAAGAGGAACGTAATCGACCAGCAGCACAACGGGCTGAAGACGTAAAGGAGAACCACATCTGGACGGTGCTCGACTTCGGTGGTCAGAGTCTCAAGGTTGCCACTCCGGCATTGTTCCAATACACTTTTCTCACGAAACTGTATCTGAATACCAACAAGTTGACGTTCCTGCCCGCAACCATTGGGAAGCTTCGGAACCTCACACACCTGGATGTGTCCCTCAACGAGCTCCGAATGCTCCCTCCAGAGATCGGCATGTTGGTGAACCTCAAGCAGCTCCTTCTCTTCGACAACAACCTAGATACTCTCCCATTCGAGCTAGGCTCACTGTATCAGCTTGAGATGCTTGGTATTGAGGGCAATCCGCTCCCGGATGACTTCAAGTCAATCATTATCGAACATGGTACGGTCGAGCTAATAAAGTATTTCCGTGAAAACGCTCAAGGCACGTGCTATCGCTAGAATTTCTTACTGCAAGGCATTTGTGTTAACAGTTTTGTAGGCCCTGATCCACCACCTGAGCGGGACTGGGTTGTTCTCGATGATATCACCGATCCTTCGCAAGAGACAATTACTGCGCTCAGCTACAACATCCTGTGCGACAAGTACTGCACTCAATCCCAGTATGGGTACACGCCAAGCGCCGCACTATCTTGGGATCATCGAAAAGAGACCATCCTTGCCGAGCTTCGAGAGCGGAATCCCGACATCATCTGCCTTCAAGAAATTGATCAAGAAAGCTTTAATGAATTCTTCCGGGGGGCTTTAGCTCACAATGACTACAAGGGAGTATTCTGGCCCAAAGGGCGAGCGAAAACCATGGCAGAAAAGGAGGCCAAACTCGTCGATGGCTGTGCTATTTTCTACAACAACAGCAAGTAAGGAATGGTTGTATTCATATTGTCCGGCTACAATTACTTACCTCATCAGATACATTCTACTGGAAAAGCAGCTCATCGACTTCTCGAACATCGCAATCAATCGGCCAGACATGAAAGGTGAACATGACATATTCAATCGAGTCATGCCCAGGGATGACGTTGCTGTGGTCACATTTTTGGAGAACCGTGCGACAGGGTCAAGATTGATTGTTGGGAACGTTCATGTCTTCTGGAACCCTTCATTCACCGACGTCAAGCTAGTCCAGGTCGCAATCTTGATGGAACAAATATCCAAACATGCCGACAGATGGGCCAAGTTTCCACCTTGTACCGATAAAGTGGTGTACCGATTCCAAAATGGAGATGGAGAAGAGGACCAGGAGTTACCCGACACGACACAGGAGCCAGGTCCCTCTATGGAATATTCGAAAGGTTCCCAGATTCCCCTATTGCTATGTGGCGACTTCAACTCGCTTCCAACGTCCGGCATCTACGAGCTCATCACTCATGGCGCTCTCCCCAACTCACACAAAGACCTTGGCAGTCGAAGGTACGGCAACTTCACAAGGGACGGCATCTCCCACCCCTTCAGCCTCAAGTCAAGTTACTCTGCGATCAACGAGTTGGCTTTCACCAATTACACCCCCAACTTCGTCGGTGTTCTCGACTATATCTGGTACTCTGCGAATACGCTGCAAGTGGTCGGACTCCTTGGCGATGTGGACAAGGATTATCTACAGCGTGTGCCTGGGTTCCCGAATTGGCACTTCCCGAGCGACCATTTGGCTTTGTACGCACAATACCTTGTCAAGGGCCGGAAAGAGAAGAAACAGGTCATCGAGCCCGACTTCGGACCCAGCAGCCGAGACCGCGATCGCAGGACCTAAAAGTCGTCGCCCCGAGACCTTGAACAACTGCAAACAACCCCAGATGACTTCTCAAACATAGCTCTCTCTGATGGCCTGGTAATCTCTTTGGAAATGTTCATAAGGCGCGTGTATTGTGGGAGTTCTCGTTGCTCGTTTCCGGCGTCATGTTTTTGCTCCAGGTGTCAGGTTTTCCAAGTCTCCTGTCTGTTAGTTTCAATCTCGTCTCTTTCTTTCCCATGGAATAGGAATGTAAGAATTTCCTGTCTGGCCCCTGATTGAGTTGCAGCAATGCTGTTAATTGTGAATTCAGTCAGGGGGTTTGTGCCGTGCGTGCTTGCTTGCGTGCGCACGTCTGTGGATTAGTTTCGGGTAAGGAGTGGTGGGATGGATGGGTGGGTTTAACGGGCGGTTAGTATACAGTGTTGGCCAATCTCACAGTCATGTCTGCTTTCGTTCTCTGAACTCATCGTTTGGTTGTTGCGGTGTCGAACTATTCTCTCCTTTTCCAATTTACTGTCCGAACCGTAGATGGATGGCGGTGGGCGTTGAAGTACCTGGTGCGCAGAGGTCGGGTGTTTTGGCTGGCTGAATGGAGGCATTTATCCTGGTCAAGAGTGTGTGTTCGCGTGTGCCTTTTTGCTTGCCTTTTTACTTTGCGCATGTATGAATTATAGGTAGTTCTCTTGGCTGATTACATAAAACGCTGCTTGTCCCCGTTGCATAATTGACGATGGGTTGACTGCAGCTGAAGCGTTTTACAATTTCTTGGTTCTGTTGCTGTGTGGGTGCAGTACTATCAAAACTACAAACTTGAACCACTTCAACATTAGAATATCTAACCGCATGAACAGCTGAGTGACCGAAGTTGCTGTTACCAAACTATCACTTTGCATTATTATTGTCATCTGCTCGCCATATCTGATCCGTTCGGACCAGGAGTGGCTTACCCATGGCTCATGCGCTCCCTGCACCCTCGCTTGACCTCGCTCGTCCGTTCTAGGCTCCACGTGCTTTCCGCCCAGGCCTCAACTTCGTCATTTCTCTTACCCCCAGCCGCTTCAAAACAACATCTCCCCAACGCTCTCCCACGCTTTCCACACAAAGCCTTCCCCATATTTCCCTTCCCCTCCGGCACCCCTGCATCTCTACCCAGCTGTGGGAATAAAATTGTGCGAAAATGGCCGCCCCCGAAGCGAAAACCGAGCCCCAACTCCAACTGGATCCTAAATATGACGACTATGAATACCCGACGATCGCGCCTGTTCCGCAGAACGGACACCCCGGCCATACAACTCCGGAGCAGGATGCGCAGGTGTTTCAGTTACGGAGTTTGTTGGAGGCCGAGGGGTTTACGGATAATTTGGATACTTTGACTATGGTATTTCTTATTTACTGACCCCCTGGTTACCGGTTAGGATGGCTGATGCTGATTATTTGGGGTATAGTTGAGGTTCTTGAGAGCGAGGAAGTTCAATGTGGAACTTTCGAAGCAGATGTAAGTGTTTTGTGCTTGGGGGAGGGGACGAGGGGCAACTTGGCTAATTGAGGCGTCAGGTTCATCGATTGCGAGAAGTGGCGGAGAGAGTATGCTGGTATAGGGGTTGATGAGTTAGTGCGGACGTTCGATTACAAGGAGAAGCCGGAGGTGTTCAAGTACTATCCCCAGTACTACCACAAGACCGACAAAGTACGTCTCCTATTCACTCCACCTCCCCCAGCCAACACATCCCTTCCACCGCTGACTACCGAGTGACATAACAGGACGGGCGCCCGGTCTACATCGAACAACTCGGCAACGTCGATTTAACTGCCCTCGCCAAAATCACCTCCCAAGACCGCATGATCCAAAACCTGGTCTGCGAATACGAAAAGATGGCCGACCCACGCCTGCCAGCTTGTTCCCGCAAATCCGGCTACCTCCTCGAAACCTCGTGCACAATCATGGACCTCAAGGGTGTTGGCATCGCCAAAGCCACTTCTGTGTACGGCTACCTACAGGCGGTATCCGCCATCTCGCAGAACTACTACCCCGAGCGCCTCGGAAAACTATACGTCATCAACGCGCCATGGGGCTTTTCAACTGTCTTCAGCTTTGTTAAGAAATTCCTCGATCCTGTCACGGTTAATAAGATTCATATCTTGGGGAGTGGGTATGAGAAGGAACTGTTGGCGCAGGTTCCAAGTGAGAATTTGCCGAAGGGATTTGGGGGTACCTGCGAGTGCGAGGGAGGCTGTATGCTGAGTGATGCGGGGCCGTGGCAAGATAGCCAGTGGGTTAAGCCCCCGAAGTGGGCGACAAAGAAGGGGGGTGAGGCAATCGATAATACGAAGGTGCCGGGTCCAATGGGAGGCGATGGGACTGCAGATGCAGTCCCGAATGGGAAAGTTAAGGAACCTGAGGAGGTGCCTATTGGTGGTGCGCCCGCGCCCGCTCCTGCTCCTGCCCCCGCGCCTGCTTCTGCTGCGCAGTAGATGAACGTGATGAGTTCACGTTCGTGTCAAAACGGGAGGGGAGTATTCGAGCATGGTATTGCTCTATTTTTCTCTATTCCGTTCAACAACTACACCTACACCTACCTAGCCTTCTCCAAAGCAGAGGAGAGTACATGTCCCTCGATTGGTCGGGTCCATCGGGATTCTCCCACTCCCTTCCCTCATTTTCCCTAGTTGCGAATATTCAGATCCAGACTCATAATAGACACACAATTGGATGGAATTTGATTCTTGGTCCCCATTTCCTTTCTTGCTTCTAGCTGACTAACTTGCTAAGGTCCAAGTACACCATTTTGCATCTTGAAAATCTGATAGGTATATTGAGAATTTACTTTTAGCCGCCTAGCATGGCTTGGCATATAATTCTGCCGTCTTTCATTTGTATTCTCCCTAAATATGCGTATGAAGAAAGGGAAAGAAGACGGTCTTCGGGTTGCGTAGTTTTCTTACTCGTCGAGCTTTGGCCTGGAAGAGAGAGGTGTGGAGTGCAATGGAGTGGAATGGAGTAGAATTGAGTGCCTGCTCTCAAGTCTCGCGGGCGTCACGGCTTTGCTACGAGAGTGTTTAAAGGTAGTGAGTGTGAGAGGAAGAGTTATACTTAGCAATGGTAGGTAGCTGTTCGATAAAATGTTAACATGCAAGTAGTATCAGGTATGGAATGTCGGGCAATGTGGGTGAGAATAGCTAGGCCTGCATCAATATGTCCTTCCGATGGTAAAACTTGGTTTTCAAGTTAATGAGTGGAGAAGGGAGGGAACGCTAGCATTCTAGGGTAGATACCAAGGGCTTTAGTGGCATAAGCAAGGAAGGCCAGGGGTAGAGATGCATAGATAAGGTGGCCGAGATCGTCGCCTGTTGTCTGAGAAGTGAGTTTGCACCGAGGCTATTATGCATGCAACTCGTTTGTCTTCCTATGGCAGCTGGATTTGTAGTACTCAATTTTAGCTCCTTGCCGTTGTAACCATTCTTGACAGAATTGGCCAGCTTCTGTGATAGTGTGAAGATGGGGTTTGATATCTTGAGGTGGAGGAAAATCAGGTCAAGCAGCCCGGATATGTGTATAGATATATGCTAAAGGATAGAGTGAGAGATAACAGTAGACAAGATCGAGGCGGAAGGTCAATTAGATTTAGAATTAAAGTGGAGGTATGCACTAGATGATCTGCAAAATTTAGTTCAGGGCGTAATAGTAATTTGAAAGAAAGGGGAAGTAATCATAGCAAAGGAACGGGGACCAAGGTATTTTATGAGCAGATCCTCGTGTCCCTGTAGGCCTATACGCGTACGACTGCGATAGAGATGGGAGCATCGTAACGACAGCCTTAGATGCATCTTAGAGTATTAGAGCTATTTCCGTACTAGGCTACAACATTAAACGTGCAATCTCGATCACCAGCTCCCTCTCTTTCTCAGAATATCCATCAAATACCTCGTCAAAAGATCCGTGAAGTTTCCTTGGCATCTTCATCTCACACCTTCTTGGAATCTCCGACGACATCTAGAGCCTGAGGACCTAACGCCTCACACATAGAAACTCGGACCCTCAGTCCATACATCACTTCTCTCATTACTTGTGCCCCCTGCAAGGCTACAACATCTCTATCACAAAGTCCTCTAGGATCTTCATGGTCTCCGAACCTGACCACTTCCTAGCCAACGCACCACTATCAGCCGCAAAAGCAGGAACTGCATTGAGCGCTCTCTAAGTAGGATTGGCGTAATTCCGCTCATTATTGCCGTCCTCATGCTTTGGCGCCTAAGTAAAAAAGAGTCACAAGATCACGCTTCTGAAGCAGTACAAGCAAACGGCGCGAGTGGTGGCGAGCGCCAGAACAAGGTTGAAGATGTGAACCATCACGCCCCTCAAGAATACATTCAAATAAGCCTGGTTTACGAGCTATACAACGAAAGCCAAGCGCAAGGATTGCTTTCAGCAAATGCACGCACCTCGGTAGAGATAGAAAGCTATCCCTTTGAAAGACTGTTAAGAGATCATTATCGCATCTCGGAAATTCAATCGTACGACTACCGTAGATAAAAAGTTCATTTAGCGATATCTTCCACCCCTGTGTGGAGATAAAGCATCCTTTTTTCAGAGTCGTGTTCTTGTCTCAGACAACTTGACGACTTTTTTTCATTCCGTCTTTCTCTGCCTTTGTCCCTTGGTAAGGGGGTAACTAACCACTTTTCTTTGTCTCGTGTTCATGCTAGCTGGGATCGATCTCTGTCGCTTCTATCCAACATCGAAATTCCATGGGAGACAGCTTAATATAGCTAGAGCATATCCGCTCTTGGTTAATACTCTTTCTGTGTAATCTCGATGCGTATCATGGAGAGTTAAAATTGGGTCTTACTTAGCAGGAGCACTGTATTGCTAGTGTTTGACAGGAATAGGCTACTTACCTAAACGATTGCGTTCGGTCTCTCAATCCAAAATCGCGAACAAAGAAAGAAGAAGTCTTAGTTGAGACCCCTATCTCGCTTCTCTAGAGATATGCACTAGCTTCAATCCATTCGAGCACTTTCTCGCAACAACATGTTCTCATCACCGGTATTGGCAGACCCGAACCGTACCCATCCAGCCCAAAAAGCGCCCGGCTCAGCTGCCGCAAAGCGAACACCCGGTTCCTGCTCCTCGCCGCTCCTTTCCTTTCAGATACCCTTCATCCTCCTTGGTAAGAAGACCGATGTCCCGAAAGATATATACAACGACGCTGAGCGGGAGACAAAGCCGCTTGGGGCCTTACACCACATGCTCAGGTTATCATGCCCGGGAGTATCAATAGCTCTTTGGGCTTGTGAACCTAGGGTCGAGCCGGAGGAAAGATTACCCCACCTGCCAATCAAAATCGGGGAAGAGGAGGTCTTGCAGGCACGAAGGTATACCGAGTGGCTGAAGAGGCAGAAGGAAGGGTGGAGCCGGGTTGAAGCCGCTGGTGGATGGGTGGTTCGCCGGGCTGAAGAAACGAAAAAAGACATCGGACCGTGGCATGTTGGTCATTGGCGAGAAGGCGACGGCTACTTGACTGAAGATGAGATACGAGAGTTGGAGGATGGAGTATTCTGTTTTCCGGTTATCTTGCAACATGTTGGGGTTCCTGTAGTGAACTCTGTCTGGAGAATTGAGGTGGAGGGTGAGCTGAAGAAAATATTGGAAACACTGGAGAAATATTTCAATCAGCATATTGAAGACTTCCCGTTCCGGATTGTGGTGAACGAGAAGTGTAGGTTGAAGATTGCCGTCTCCACGAGTGAAGAGCAAGCTGGAGATCAAGAGAGGTGGGGTTTGGATATGGTAGTGAAACTCATGTTGGCCTTGACGGCTTGGGAGAAAGAACTTGTCACTACGGATACGATGACCGGTGTTCTAGAATACTGGTACCTAAGCCGGGTCCTTGAGAATCGTAGTGTTAGGGATTTGCGAACTTTTGAGAGAAACATAAGAAGGTCGCTGTTGGGCAAGAATAGACCTTTTGAAAGGGCCAAGGAGAGATGGTTCGGCAACACCGAATACGACGACGATATTTCTAAGTGGAAAGAGTTATGGACCGTAATCGACGAGTTGAGAGAGGAAGAGGGCGGAAATTCAAAGCTAGAACGCCTTCTTAAGGACATGGAGAACTCTGAGAAAAGTGGGGAGTACAGGCTGGCAGTGTCTTTTGGGGTTCGCCAACCTTCACAGCGTCTGATTTCAGAAAAGAGTGAAGGTGGTACGACCCCCCACTCGAAGCCTAACTATCTAGCCCTAGAATCCGAGGGGTTCGATCGGGAATCGAGCCTTCCACTGATCATCTTCCAAAACCATCGAAGCACACTAGACTATAACGAGCTGATTGCCCACTTAGATCTCGTAAGTGCCCTGATCAGATTTGTACAATGGACTCCATACGACGTGATACGTCAAGCGGCCAAAAATTTCAGAGCGCATCTGTCTGCTCTCAAAGAGCCAACAGCCAATTCACTCGTAGATTTTCTCGAGGTACTGGAGGCTCGGCAGTCAACGCGAGAGTTCTACTACGAATTCACCAGATCGTACGGAAAGCTTTCCCCAAAGAAGGAATATGACATTGCACAAGTTTCTGCATTGGAACGCTCCCCGTTCGGAAAGATCGTTAGGGCAATTGAGAAGCAGAGAAAGGATGAAAGAGAGTATATGCCTTTGTTCATTGAGCGGTACACCAAAGGCGGCGGATTTCTTCGCGTTCCGAAATCGAAATTACGTGCTTTAGTGGCAGAGGAAGAAAAGAAAAAGGCGACAAAACAAGAGATTAGACGTTGATGAAACCGATTATAAGTTTCTGCGAAAGATGCACTGACTAGATCACTGACTCCTAAGTTCGGTGAAGAGAGCGAAAGGTTAGAAAGAGTGAAGACAGATGGGAAGCGTGGCAGCGATTCTGCACCACCGTTCCAAGGTGAGGATAGCCGTGGTGACTTCTTTTCACTTCAATCAACAGAAACCGACCAGGTTGTCTCTAAATCAGCTTCGCCACTGAAGGGTGAAGATGGAGTAAGAAAAGGAAGCAAGAGGTACTAGATGGAGAGGGCTAGGTGGAAGACGAGTTTATTTCTGAATTGACCTAGAGGTTTAAGGGAAATTCATATAGACCCCAAGGGATATTCGCGAAAGACTGGGACAACCTCCTTGCGGAGCAAAATCCTGAGAGTGTTCATCTTCTTCCAAAAGGGATGTGAGGATGGTATGTTGATGGAATATGGAATCGTGGTGCGAATGATGGGAACGTTATCCAAACTTGTGATTAAAACAGGAAGGTATGTATGTTCAGGCGTACCAGACGATGAGATCTCCTTCCGTTGGAGTTTGCTTCGTCGAGGCAATAACATACCGCATACCTTCCTTTCCGCAGCGGCCTGATCTTATCGTTTGAGCACAACACATCTGCTCCAATGTTAGAAGTGGTCGGGCGTACGCCGTAATCCCTTGGTTCGTTCCATATTTATCTCAAACGTGCGTGTTTATCTTCTTTGTAAGCTTGGAAGGTATTGTGCTTTGTGAACCGTAAGAGGCATCGTCTACGACGCTCCAGTCGCACAGAATTTAGCAAGGGGAATTATTCAACCGCCCACCATTCGATGGCAGCAATTATTCCATTTGTAGTTCCTCAGAGAACATCAATCTATTAAAATCAATCAAGACCCATATGCCCATAGGCAAACAATTGACGCCATTTCCGATTCCCAATGTTTAAATCTGTGTATTGATTGCAGTACAGATTGTGTACAACACCACGACTGCCCCCTTTCATCCCCGGACACTTGATTTATCGTGTAGTTCCTCTAGCAATCGATCTGGACAGGAGTGCCATCGGTTGATGCAACGCACATGCCGTGGTTCTGGCGGCCAACAACGTCTTTCGTAGGTTAGTACGATATTACAGATATCAGATGTGTTCGGGTTTACATACCTTCAGCAACTGGGGTTGGGGCGGCAATGCCAAAAGCAGCCATGGAAAGGATAACAGCGATAACCGTAGTGAACTGCATGTTGACTAGAATTTAAGGTATATCGAAGTGGAAATTGGCAGAGTCTTAAGAGAATGTATAGTCGCCCGGCGACAAATGAATGAACTGAAGAGGAGAAATGGAGTAAAGACTTGGCTTGGCGTTGAAGAGAGCGGTTGAAAGAAGAGCCTCAATAACCAGGGCGACTTGACCTTCAAATATGATGCCCAGCCAAGGCATGATTTAGGTACGGGCCCGTGTTAGTGCCTGAGACCGGCGAGGCTTGGAAAAGGCTTGTCTTCGCTACTAACACTGTATCGGAGTAGTTCTGAAACCGGATATTGTTCCTTCCTGCTGTGCCTGCCGTCCGCATAAGGAACTAAAGATTAGGATCGACGCTCGGAATTCAGGCCACGCGAAAATCCACGAGATTGGATTGGTGTGCATAGATTGTAGGCGCTGAAGAGTGGAGCAGAGGTTCGTCATGGCGTGTATCAGGCGAGGAATTACTTTGCCTCAGGGGCCTCGCAATTGTCAGCCGCACGCACAGGGAGGTAGGAATTGTGTTTTCGAATTCAGCCACATTGTTGTGCTTCAGCGATCCGAGAAGCCTGACAACTCAGGTCTCATACTTAGCGAGCGCAACCACAATCTATAACCAGCAATGCTACATGTATTGACATGCAGGTAGTGAGAACATCGAAGTTTGAACACACTCTCTACATGTTCCTGTGCGTTTTTTTAACTGATCTGCAGTTTCTTCCATGGTCTCCATTTAGTGTGTTAGACGACAACGACCGTTCGCGTGTTCTGGAGATCTTGACAAAGTGGCTAGCATGAAACCAGTCTCAAACAACATTGAAACGTGGAGGCGAAAGAGCGAAGCCATTGCTGCTGGCAGGCCTGAGAGAAAATTAAACCTTCGAGAAGAAGAAAATCCACCGTAAATTCTGACCTTGAGAAATGTGAACGATGTTGTCATAGGGAGAGAATACCGTTAAATATGAAGAGTTACGGTTGGAATAATCGGTTCGGCGCTAAACCTTGTCTAGACAAAAGTGGGTCCATGCAGACCTCCGATACTGCATCCCATGAATGGAATGAACAGCACTCTCTGGGAAAAAAGCTGATATAGTTATACAGCTTTCGGCGTTCGAAAGTGTTTGGAAAGGAGGGGACTATTGAGCTGGGTCTCCCCTCGATCATCTCACAAGACCCTGGAGGTTATGTCATCACGTAGGTTTCTAGAGTCTCTAGGTATCTCGTCTTTTTCACGTCCTCGTACATGAATCTTAAGTTACCGCTCCCCCAAAGCTTCCCTCTCGCACTTCTCTTCACTTGAAGCACCAAAGACTGCTGCTTAGTACTAACTGGAGCCCCTTTCGTTCACCACCCTATTCTGACGGGATAGACGGAATAGTGTATAGTATCGCGTAGGTCTCTCTCATTCTGTGTCACAGTAGGTATAAGCTCTCAGATTATATTTCCAGACAATGCTAGGAGAACTCTTAGATGGTGATGCTAAGGTAGTTGCGTATCAGTCCTCGTAGTCGGCGAGCTATGTCGCACCGTTCACATTCGTCTTGATGCTGTCAACATTTCTTCCGGAGCATAATTCTTCCGAGGTATGATTGTCTTTATTTGCGAATACGGAGTTGTTACATGATTGCGTCCACCATTTTCATTCTGTGTTCGAGAAAGGAACGAGTTTATATGCTGGTAGATGGAACGGGACGCAGAGGGATCCCGAGGTCAATTGAGAGTGAACGCTGTTTTGTAGTGACTTCCTTTCAAATTTAGAGCGACAGAAGGCGCGGTTGATGAGGTTGTGTGGCTGTTCACGCGATCATGTGGCTGCTGTTTGTTGTGATGCAGGCAGGCGCTGTGTCTGTTTTTTGCAATCGCGCTACAAGCTGCCTCAGCAGCAAAATGTTGTCAACCTTTCACTTTCGCTTCTGCCAGGGCGTGTAGCGCCTTCGACACTATTCGGTGTGGTGCAAACAGATGCTTCACCGCAGCGCGACTACATGAACGCCGCCACTACAGCTGCACCTTACCACCTCCATCTTTACTTCTCTCCTCTAAGAGTTAGACAAGAATCTACTCCTCATTGCCGCGGAGGGTTTCTTTTAAAGGCAACCGCCGCTGAGACTGCCCTCATGCCCGACAAAGGCTGGCGAAAGAAGATAGCAGCCGGAAGACCTAAAACACCTATCCCGCCAGTCGCAACCATTCCGCCAAAGGTTCCAACTGAGGATTCAGGTGTAGGCGGAGCTGAGGAACCTATAGGGCGCCGCCGTCAATCTGACAAGCTAGGTTGGAGGAAGACAATTCACGGCAGTCGACCTAACACTCCAGTTGGTATCACAGGCCCAACAACCGCGGGTGACGATGGCGAAGACTCACGGAGCGAGCATGGGTCAGAGTCGTCCACACCACGCCGGCGGAGTACACCTAAGCCGAAGTTGAAACATTATCTTTCAAGCTATCTCACGCTCACCGCTCCACCAACATCACCGGAGTTCTCTGAGCCATGGCATGAAGATTCGCCGTTTGATTTCATACCTCCGGTGGATCCAATAATAGTGCTGCAATCTGTACACTCCTATCTCTGCGGATTTCCTTCACAGCCTCTCCCTGTGCAACACAACAATGGCCTTCTCCGAGTATTTGAAGATTACAAAAAGGCAAGAGAGCAAAAGGAACGCTTGGACCAGCTCTTGCAAGAGACATTTGAGGATTATAGGAGCGCAGAAGAAAGGTGGTTGAAAGTAGAGGATTGCTACCAAGCGGAGATTCGACGCCTTGAACTGATTATTGCACGTGGTACCACTGGGATGGCGGGTCTGATCAAAGCGAGACAGGAAAGCGTTGTGAAGAGAAAACGTACGCAGAGAAGGGCACAGTCCATGGATCGGCTCGAAACAGCGTTTGAATTTTTGACCCAAGATCAACTGGACCAAGAAATTATATTGAGAAGCCAGAAAGGTGAGAGACTCTGTGGTTTGATTCTGTGACAAGAAAACTGATTTGAATTCAGTGCTCCTCCATCGTCCCTCTTCCCGTTCCGGCCAGATGGCTGCTCTGTCAAGGCAATTCTCGAACATGGGCTCTTACGATGGGCTGTCGTATGGGACGCCTCCAAGTCAAGAGCGGAAAATCACACTCTCAAGGAAAGTTAAGAGCGAGCTGGATCTAACTAAAATGGCAAATGTTATTAGTACTTCCGATTCAACCTCCAGGTCCGTCTGTTCCGAATTCTCGGCAACCGGAGATCCGTTGCCAGATGAGGCGGAACCATCCTTGGATACCAGGATCGAAAGTGATGCCTTCGTAGCTTTGCGGGATCTCGCCATACTAGTGGCGCGACGAAGGGGTATCAACCCAGACAGGTTTCTTTCTAAACTCTTGAAACTCTTCTCCACTGTCGATGATGGCGATGTCGAAAGTGGTCCCGGATCGCCTAAGGAAGAAGCCACCCAATTGACCTTAGCTAGAATGCAAGACACGAGCATCCGGACACCGAATCGTAGTCTCCGACACTTCCGATCCCAACCCCAGCTTAGTTCTGACCGAAGTCGACGACGGCATTTCTCCTTCGAACCAGGGGACGATGAGCTTGCGCTGCTCGAGGAAAGACTCGAAACTGTCGAAATGGAGCAGGACAAGTCACATAATCGACCGCCTCTGTGCCCTGACCGTCGCTCTCCACTGTCGGACGTCCAATCGCAAGGCTCCTCCAGTAGACCAACCTCACTCTACGCTGAAGTGCAGAAACCTTCAAAGATACCCAGTCCTATAAACGGAGCGGGGTTAGGAAGTGTGCGCCGTGAGAGTTCGGTTTCTAGTTTGCAGACAGTGTTCGGTAGGCCAAATCGGGATGACGACCGGCGACGAGATTCCAGGTCTAGTGTTCTTACGGCATTCCACCAACATGACAACGGCAGCCAGCGACCTCAGTCAACAAGCAGAAGCAGCTCCATCAATAATCTGCGGCAAGCAGAAAGTCCGTTCTCGTCTGGCAGTCTCCGAGTTCGAAATAGTATGGCTGCTCTTGCCGCAGCTAGGGCAGCTGAGGCTAGTACATCAGAATCGAAGAGTAACAGCCCGGCGAGGAACTCAAGGAGAGGATCAAGTAATAGCTCCACAAAGCCACAAAGGCGTCTCACCGCTGCAAAAAGGAGTTCCGAGAACGATATCCCCCAGAAGTCTTCATAAATTTATGCTCGAGCGCGTCTAATTTATCGGGCGCTCGACCTTGTCACCCCCAAACATCATATATTCAATCGTTGACCGATCGAAGGAAGAGCTAAAGCCGGTGAGTGCTTGAGCGCGGTAACGTTGGCACAGTCCCTCATGTAGCCATGGAACCTTCCCCTCGAGCTGTTATAATCTGTTCTCATCGAATTTGTTTTCTCCGAGCACACACTTCTCGACATGGTGCATTCTGCATTGTTATTGCAAGGATTGCTGCACTGTGCCGAGCTCAACGAACTGTGGTGAACTGAATGCCAAGAGGGGTTCCGCAAGTCTCATTTCATTGCCCGTACTGTGAAGGGTGACCCTGCAATTGCGGTAAGGTTCAAAATGAAAATTCAAATTCAAAACGCGGTCGCATCTGACATCAGCGGCCGATGCCGATACTGTCTTCAAGCTTGCGCCCACAAAGAACGAGGTGCCTTTGATCGAGCCTATCCGAGACTTGTCCCACTCATAGTCACGTATTTCCCCTCTTTTCGGACGGTGTGTCTCTTTCAGCTGGCACCCCAAATCACGCTATATGGTATGATTCTGAAGATGAAAAGGTCTTTGGAACAGTGGAACGACCTCAAGTGCCATCGCCTTTGCGGTGCTGCAAGAGTACGCGTCTCCCCGCTCAACGAGGAATCGTTCGTGGGAGCCAGATGGCAGGAGCCACATCGCTTAAGGATGATCGACGCCACCGATGTGGCGTATACGCGTCCACTCCCCGGCAGAATGGCGCATTCTGGCAAAACCGGCAGAGCTGTGCCACATCTTTGGCTTTCTCCGCCAAAGGAGCATCCGCCCGCCTGTTTGATAGATTGATACGATCGCGTTCTGTCACAAAATTCCTCGCCACACTTAATTTTACGTATCCACCCTCTGGCAGGGTGAGACTTTTGTCCCAAAGGGCGGAGAATGCCGAAGCTGTGCATCCCGCTGCACACCCCGCACTGAGACTCGGAGCGAAAATTGGAAGAAGCAATTCGCTTTTCTAATGTCATTACAATATACGTTATCTCGAATAATTAAAGTCAGAATGCCATGTTCGTGATAAAACCACTATTCCGCCCGTGATAGCGTATGAAAGGGGTCACCTATAGGGCTTGCATTCTGGAAAGCGTCTATATCGAAGACTCCTTAATCTCGGTAATGCTTACTTGGAAGAAGTAATACCGACTGACTTGGCCGCCTGCGAATATTCCCAAGCGATACGGCTGATTTAGTTTTGAGCCCCCAAGCCACAGGATTAGCCATGGAGATGTGGTTTGGCGGGCGGATCGCGGGGCCACATCCTCGTCTGCTCATCCGTCGTTCACGCGCCGGGGAAATTGGCTGGCAGAAGATGGGAGGGTGTGACGGAAGGGCCACAGGCTGTTCTGTGTTGGTCATTTCCCGCGACGGCATCAGGAGCACTCCTGCTGGCTGCAGGACGAGGCATGGGGAAATTTCAAAGATCGGAAAGCAGATGGAAAAACGGCTCATGTCGGATGGCAAATGTCATCAGGCATTTTGGGGTGCCAGCGCACAATACGGCCAGTACGCCCAGCTCGAGAAATGGTACGTACAGTTTCTTCCAGGCAGGCTAGTGGCTGTTCGGGGGTGCCCTTTTGGGTTGATAATTACCGGAGTCTGACGGAGCGGTAAGCCTCCCACGTCCTTGCTAGCCACACAAGCCTCACCCAAACACTCTGTGGCATTGAAAGTGATTCGAGAACGACGGGTTGGGACCGCGTGGCACAGGTACTTTGGGCCAGCACAGTGTTGGGGATGGCCGAGTACTGCAGAGACAATCGCAGCCGCTTTGGGCGCTGTGAGCTACCAGAGGTATCATCGAAGACGTAGGGCCGTGGCTGTGCAAGAACCCCTCGCCGCCCGCTGCACCGGTGGTGCGGAGTCTCTCAGAGAGGAGCAAGCAGCAGCAGGTGCGAGGACTAATGTTAGCGGTACGCAGGGAGGCTGGCCAGACCAGTCACCTTGTCTCTCTTTGAGCCATGATCCCTCTCTCACACTAACCGCTCCCCATCAAGACGGCCTCTAAGACACACGCGATGACCGGGCCCCCAAGCGCTGCCGTTTGATCCAGTCACGCTTGGTCGCGAGCCCGATAAAAAGACGGCTGACCTTCAGTGCATTCGCTGGCCCTGACGTGTGGCTTGACGCTGGATGTGGCAATACTCCCGTTTCAAGACCACCTTGGAGCCTCCCCATCCTCATCAGACCTCACTTCGCTCTCGATGCTTGTAAACACCCAGCACGCCTGCTTTGAGCCTCACCGCGATGTTTCGAAACCGGTATGCGTCTGTCTCCCGTCGCATGCGTACAGCTGCTCTGCTCTGCTCGGCGCGTCGCGCACGTCACTTTAGAGCTCTTGTACCGAAGCTAACTATCGTGCAGGGCCAACTCTCAGAAACCGAACGATGAGCTGCTCGAGAACTTCAAGGCTACATTTCCACACCTTGCGCAGACGTCGCGAGCGCAAACCATCAATAATCCTCCCGGGCCGACACTCACTGATGCTCTCGATGTAGCACATCATACTCGGTATGTTTTTCACCTTCGTTTCTCTGTTCGCGCCCACCTGGCTGCTATGCGCTGGCCAAACCGCGCCATTTTCACATCTCTACTCATTCAGCAGGAAAATCCAAGTCGCAAAATTATTGTTTTATTATTAACATACTGGCTGTCAGGCATTTCAGCGATCATGAAGATATCAAAGACCTGGACCCGACCCCGCGAGGGAACAACGAGCCGTGGAGGTTCACTCCTTCCCTCCTCGACCCGAACAGCTTCGCCTTCGCGTCATTTGCAAACCAGCCACCTGGCTACTATACTCCTACTCCCGGTGGCACCAATACCCTCTACCATAGCTCAGCTGGGGACCTGCACACTCCTGGCTTCAGCTTCGGCCTAGGAACTCCTCTGTCATTACCTACCTCAGAAAGCGGCGTGCATGCTGGTCATCCGGCACCTAGTGGTCATCTACATGGCTTTAATCCTCACGCTATTGGAACTCATCATCACTTCCAAAACCAGAACCCTTTCGCTCTCCAACCTCAGCATGCACCGGCCTTTGCGCCGCATCAATTCACCCATGGCCCATCCGCATATGAACATGCACCACTTGCACAGACTCATGAACACTCTCCAATGGACAATGTCATGCCCGATGTTGAGATGCAGGTGCAGTCACCAGTAGTCGCTTTTGCACCTCAGTCTCTGGACGACAACATTCGGCCTACCCTCACCCAACATCCCAATCAAAAGTAAGCACCTATTACATCTTATCATGCTGTCCGCATTGGTGTGATAGCTATTTTAGACATGAGACTCACATGTTACAGTTTCCGATATCACGTTACTCTCAATGCACCCACGGCTATGATCAAACATCCCGACGAAATCCCGGTAACGTATCTAAACAAAGGTCAAGCATACTCGATCTCGTTATTAGATACCGCACCAATCCAGACTTCCGCAGCACCCGTCAGGTATCGCACTTTTATCCGCATATCCTTCGAAGACGAGCAACAACGACAACGTCCCGGAGCTTGTTGGCAGCTTTGGAAAGAGGGCCGCGGGACTAACGAAGCGCACCAAAGAGGTGGCCGTCTACAGGCGGTTGAATTCGTTGATCCCACTCAGGTTGGCGGCAGTGAAGTCCAGGGCCGACCAAGGGTAGAGCTCGAATGCTCCTCGTTCGATGGTTTCGCTGTGACCTGGACACCCGTTCATAATTCTGCGCCTGAATGTTCGATCGCCGTGCGCTTCAATTTCCTATCGACCGATTTCAGTCATTCTAAAGGCGTTAAAGGCATCCCTGTTCGTCTCTGCGCCAAAACAGAACTGCTCATGAGCGCGGATGAGTCCTCGCTGGAGAAGCCAAAAGCTGAACTCTGCTACTGCAAGGTGAAACTATTTAGGGACCATGGCGCTGAGCGAAAGCTGTCGAACGACATTGCGCACGTGAAGAAAACAATCGACAAGTTAAAACAGCAAATCGCTCAGGTGGAATCAGGCATGAAAGATTTCGGAAAACGAAAACGGAGTGGATCAATATCGAAAGCTACAGCTAGCTCCCGACCAGGAAAGGTTCCAAAGCACAAAAGAACATGGTCAATGTCGTCCGCAAGCTCAGCCTCTGGGAGCCGTCCTCCAGCCGAGGAGGACCTGCATCTCAAATTGGCTACCCTGCAAGACATGTTCAGCTCTACTAGGCCAGCAAGCGTGCTGTACCTGAAGGGAGAAGAGCAAGATGATCCGGACCTCCACCCTGTACAACTCTCCGGGACACCTCAAGACCTAGCTAAGATCGATACAAATGTGGACACGACCATGTGGGAGGGACACAGTTCGAATACTGGCGCAACCTCTTCCATCGTGTCTCCAACACCAAGCTCACAATCACTCCACTCCGGGGAGCGCCGCGGCTCTGTGTTCCAGCATCCAGCTCCCTTCAACCCACCGTCTCGGATGTCTTCCAATGAATGGCGAAATCTGCCGCAGACGGCAACCGGTGATCTCAAAACGATCAGTGTTCCTGCCGGCTCAGATATCCCAACTAAGGTGCAAAGACCCTACAGCGACGATCATGCCCTTTCCGGGTGGATCGAAGCTTTGGGTGTAGATCAGACATATCAACCGCCACCCGAGCCCATGTTAAAGCCAGGTACGGATCCTTCCAATTGCCCACGATACATCATATGCTAATTATAGTAAATTGCAGTTGCATGCTTCTTCGTTCAACCCAGGGTCGCGGGTAAACAACCCGATGACAACTATTTTAGGGCCGTGTACCTGATGGAACGAACCGTAAAAGCACTTGTTGTCGGAATCGCAACAAAGATCAATATTGAGCCCACAAAAGTCACCCGGACCATTCGAGTTAATCAAAAAGGGCTTCAAATCCTCATGGACGACGACGCAATTCAGGCAATACCCGAACAACAGGATATGACGGCCGAATTTTACGAAATCACACCCCCACAAAACCCTATGAAGCGAGAATGGGACGCCGGCCCCACAGATATTCAGGTGGATGGCGACGTGGGCGCGATTGAGAACGTGAACTCTACTGGCTACGAGCTCCGCCTTCTCTTCTAGGGTCTCACGTCGCCAATACATCACGCTCCCTTCGTGCGCTCTTCCGGATTGTTCAATGAATGACCAAAACTAATGACACTGTACTATTCGTACAACCATAGCGCTGGATGGTCGCTTTTACGGAATATTCTATTCTGGTGGAATCATTCCACATTACGGCGTTTTGAATATCTGCTTCAAAGATACCACGGCTCTTTGGGAGACCTGATACGTCTTTACATTTCTTTCTCCCATCGACTTTGTTTTACGATACCCATATTACATTATTATACCTTTGGCTTCAGGATTGGCGGAAGCAACACACGTACACACTGGAAATTTGCAGATGGAACAAATGATCCTACTACACTATTAAGCATACTCGAGGAAAGGGGAGGTAGTGTGGAAGTAATGGTTAGCTTTGGTATATGCTTGGATACTTTGGAAAGAGGGGAGTGGCTATCTTTCTCTGCAAATTGGCGTAAGCAATTGTGCTTTTGGCGAAGATCGATACAATTCTTTTCTCAGATACTAAACAAGCTCTAATGCCTTAACTCTCCGTTCCTTCTTTCCTCTTAATTATCTAAATAAACTTATCATCACAACATGCACTACGTTATCAACTTCCTTCTTCTTCAATATTCATAAGTGCGGCATTAGAGCTCCCGCGGACTTTCCGAGTTGGGTTGATATCCTATTCCTCGGCCCTACTTCCTCGCAAAAGTGCATCCGCATAGACTCCAAGTTCAGCATTGCAACTCCGAGAAGGAAAACATCGTAATCGCGGAAATAGATACTTGCCCTTGCGCTAGTCCTAAACGAGTCATGGCAATTCCTCCATGTATCTGCCGTCAATAATGTTACCTAAAGTGACCCAATCGAGACAGTACAGATAGCAGCTACTTCTATAGCCATTAATTCGCACGGATACCTCCGCCATTGCAACAGCACTGTTATCGTCAACTCCTCATCGGAAGATCCGAGGGTTTGCAGCGTATGGTTGCACACATTTCGCCTTCAATTTTGGTCCATCGACGAACACAGACAAGAGATCCCTAGACGTTTCTGGCTTAAGATTGATACCATTGCGCTGGCAGTTTGATGGGCTAAGACTCTCAGGCATCTGAGACCTGCCGTCATCGTGCATACACTCTTCGACCAATGGAGAGCATTCTACGCCCAACGAACAAACGACACCGTTTCTGCCGCAAATTGTCAGATTTTGGGTAGCTCAAGAAAACAACACAGCGGCCAACAATTTACTTCTAGGGGCTGTAGTTGCAAACTGGGGACTTACGCGTCCACAAGCTAGCCCTAAAGCCCTGTCAGACAGCTGTTTCAGAGCGGAGGACCACGATAGGCTTGGATAGCTGTTAGGAATGCTCATCGGTTGACCTTTTAAGACCCACTTGCCGATCAGATTTAAGAGGTAGGGAGAGTGACTCGCGGCTGCAGAATGGATGAATCAGACCGCGAGTCATACCTTTGTCGCGAATCATCTACAGTTGCCACAGACTGGACGAAAAGTGAGGTACTGGTGGCGACCATATCTCTAACACTAGTTGGCAAGAGAGAAGACAAGGACGTATAATAGGCTCTGCGGATTGGCACGTAAATTGTGCCCCTGGGCTTTGAAACGGCGTCCCCCTTTCCGTGTCCATGGGTCCTACGGAGCCGCTCTGATGGAGCCTAGTCTAGACAATCCGCGAAACTTTGGTCCCGTGCAGCTGCAGTGTTTCCCGTCACGGCGCTCAATGGTTCCTACATTTTCCAACTCCATTGGAAACCATCTTCTTCCAGGACTTTTCCCTCACCGTTCTTGGTAAAGGTCACCATAATACCAACGGGTGCTCGGAATGGAGCTTCCCACGACTATCGCCTTCTTGCAGCAATTGCTATGATTAGAAACTATGGTCCCTATGAAACAAATTCAAGCAAGTTCACATCATCGATCTACAAGATCGACATCTTGGATTCCCATAGCGGCAGGACTTTCTAACCGACGGGATGTATTTCGCCACTAATATGCGGGCACTTGTGGCGCTTGCAGAATCGCCACAACAGCGAAGACAGCCCATAAGCTTTGTGTGATCACATACGATCTAGCCTACAGAACCTTGGTGCAGCTGACTTGTGCCACCTAGATCCCGTGAAGAACGTTTGCAGAGTGAGTCTTAACGCATACGTGTGCTGTTTGCCACTTGGTTGTTGAAGTTAGTGGTGTACGTCTGACTGGCACTTTAGGGGGGATAAATGAGCTGCTCGGGTCGAGGAAGTGAGGCAGAGCGGTGTGTTTGGAGATGGGTATCTAAAAATTCCACTTTCGGAATGGAGGGGTGGTATTGCCCCCGAGCATGCCCTACCGGTGCAGTGTTTGGACAAACGACAGGTTTTGACGAAACGAGGGACAACAACGTGGGGTTAAGCTTCTCCAGTGCACTGCCACGATTCACCCAGCCTTTCAACAGGCCTTTGACCCTGCATACAGTTTTGCATCCGCCAGTTGAAGATGCGCGTGGGTGTCTGTCGTTGGACCCTTGGATGGTGCCTGTCGCGCTGAAGGTGGCTTTACCCTTGCCAGTCCACATTTTCAAGCAGATAGAGCAGCTGTGCTGAGAGGCTTTGAAATCTCGCCACAAAGTTAGATGGCGAGTCACGAGAACTGGACCTGGTTGATTGGAGATATGAATTTCACCTCAATCTCCAGAAGAGAGCCATTCTTGGAAGAGGAATGTACCTGCAAAAAGGCCTTATCCCACCGTTCGCGCGACTCTTGCGCCGCTCGGTTGCGCGGTACAGAGAAAGCAGGATTTAGGGACCTTGACTTGGCATGGAGTGGACATGCCGATGATAGGAAAATGCATGTAGAAAATGCTAAACTAGAATTTTCAGTTAAAACTCCTCAATTTGCGCCCAAGCCGCGTGCATAGCGCCATCATGTGGTCTTTTCTAAAGTTACGCGAGCAGCGGCTGCTTGGTGGGCGCTGGGTAAAAGATCACAGATATGTGCACAACGTTTGAACATGACGTCATTTCGCGAAAGGAACACGAGATTCATGCATGTCGGCATCAGAAATGCATATTAAGACGAATAATCATCATCAGAGACTTCCCCATTCACGAGACCGACTAAGGAAACGTGCAGCAATGCATGCAGCATGTAACCTTGATTCCTTCGAACTCTTCTCGCCTAAGTTCAACAGAGAAATATTCGGCGAATGGGAGATGGGATCTGCTTGGTTTGGACGCCGCAAATGGAAGACTGCCGGTTGGGTACGGCGAGAGAGACACGTCGGGGAAATTTACGCCCTAGATCCTTGAGGATGGCTGATTTGGGAGAAGGAGATTGGGTGGTTGTTGGGTATAGGTTCTAGGCTTTCATGCATTGAGGAACGGGAGGCAAAAAAACCCTTGCCTTATCGCCATTCGACCCAACAGATTGAAAGAAAAGATGATAATGGAAATTTTTGGTGATGAAGAGAGCTTTGACGTTTGCAGCCGTGGTGAAGCTCGGTGGCTCTGCGGTCAATATTGAATTGGGGGGCTGACAGGTGGAATTCGCGGTTGACAGCTCCCTACTGTCGTCATCCTGCATAGCTCTTATGATTTCGCTCGGGTATGAGTTGCCTCTTTACTACCCGATTCCCGCGCCCCCTGTTACCCTTCTGTCTCATGCTAGCTTGTACTCCGCTCCGCTTCTGTGCGCTCCCTTCCGAGCGCCGGCCGTCGGCCCTTCCGACATGGTCCCTATCAAGTCTAACGAGGTTGCTTTTGGGAATTTGGATGCGGAGTGGCGTGTGCAATGGAAGAATTTGTCCCGATGCACGGGCAATGTCATTTGGGGCTGTGGATTTGTTCGGTAAGTCTGTTCCGCCGTGGGATAAGCTTGGGGATGTGGCTGGTGAGGAGGGAGGTCTTGGCGTAGGGGTGGGTATTGATACAGGATTGATACGGGTAGGAAGGTTTTGATGGAAGGTTGCTTGTAGAGTGGTTTTGAAAGGCACCGCCACAGGTAGGTATTTTGACTTAGGGAGTGGTAACTATACTATAGTTTGACGACTTTTCAAATGGTCGAATTGAGAGGCACTAATCATCCAGCTCTCTCCCAAAGTCGATCAACCGCAACTTTCTCGCATCCTTGGGGTGAAATTGAGCAATCTTTGCTCTCACCAAGAATCTTGAGGCGGCCGAATCCCTCTCCAGTTCGAAGTACGCTTTCCCACCTCCTGGCCCCATCAACGTTGCAAAGAGTCCCTCAATCAGCTTCCGCATTTCATGATCCGCAGCCTCTGCTTCCGTCAACTGTTCATCATCAACTACGGCTTTCTTGCCCCAGATCTGGTCAATGGTTCGTTGCCTCTTCAATTCGGGAACTGGCTTCTTCGTCGACTTGGCTTTTCCCTTGGCCGTGAAGCCTGCAGCTAGCATCTCATCCTCAATTTCTGGCATGTCGCCTGTAACCGGCCCCCCAAGCTCCTCGGCCGCGAGCATGGGGGCTAAGTATTCACTGATGAACTCATGGAAGGCAACGTCCAGTCTCTTCATCTGGTTGTCATAGCCTCGCTTCTGCTCGCGCTTGGTTTCAATCAACTCCTTTGCAAGCTGGGCGGGGGTCTTCTGAGTCCGATCAGCCTGTTGCGCTTGTAGTCTCTCGATTCGATCTTGCATGGCTTTATTGATGAGGTTTGCATCATGTAGATTAGCTTCTTCGCGACGAAGCGCGGACTCGGTCTTCGTGATCTGGTCTTGCGTGCTAGCGATTGCTTCCTTGGTACCTTGGACGTTCTGTTGTAGAGTTCGTGCGGCCAACAGTGCCGGAAGCACCGAGTCTTTCTTTGGAAGGAATGGCGTAATAGGTGTGAGATCTGTATACGCGTTTTTGACGGCGCGCAGCTGCTTCAGCCTCTCACGTGGATCCTGGGAAGCATATGCAGCTTGGTACACATTGAGTTGCGAAGAGGCACGGAGCTGTGAATTTGAGTACACATTCTATTGACTTTAGAAGAAACTGATCGTACCTTCTCGAGCGCGGCCTGTTGTTCTTGGACTTGGGCTTGCAGCTGCTTCAATGTCTGCTCCAGACGTGTCTCGGTGTCAGACGCGTCAACGTCCATCTGCTCATCCTGCAGCTCGCGAGCGTCCATGGCATATTGCCTGATGTTTGAAAGCACCTCGTTCTGCGGCTCTGCCATCTTAGACGGGCAGTTCGAGATAATCTGAGAAGACGGCACAAGAGCGGGAGCACGGTTGAGCTGGTGTCTGACGGCGCAAGGTGAATTCACTAAACCCCAGGCCCATGAAGGTTCTTCTAGGTCTGGTAATAATGTTCCGCCTAACTTTGACGCGTTATCACGACGCTGCTCTCACAAAAACGCGCTGAGGTGCATTCACGTGGTTGTGCCAAGACGCTAACGGACTCCGCATCGAACCTTCATAATTTGGGCGACGTAACTTCTGGCAGACCACGACAACCTCCACCTTGTCAACGTCAACCCCATCTCCTTCCGCAAGATACCCACTTCCCTTTCTCCTTCTGTGCTGTTTCTCCCAATCGAGCAGGCCTGCCCACTCGAGCTCACTCTCAGACCCTGAGAGAACTCGCCCCTGCTTAAGCTCCCCCGAAAGGTTTGACCGCCGGGCTTTCTTTACTCAGGACACTCTCTTCAATCGATCCCAACCCAAGCACACCCTCTTGTTCGACACCTCGCCTCACTTGCACAAGCACAATTGGCATCTTGCTTGCGAGAGGCCATTGCTTTCGACATCCCACCGCACCACTCCTGCACGCTCCAAGCCCTCACCACCCAGCTCCGACGATCACGCCCCCTCTACAGCACATCACCGCTCCTACCCCATTCCGACGCCAGCACCAGCACGTTTTCCTTGACAGCCCCTGCTGTACATAACGTGGGAAGAAATCGAAATAATTAAGTTCGCCTCAGCAAGTCGCTTAACAAGTTTCTGGACCGTGAAGAGCTTTTATACCTGTTAGAACTCATCACGCTAGGAAAATGTCCGCTTCACCAACTATTGCAGCTTCGTCAGCCAAGAGACCTCTCGAAGAGCCGTCATCGCCTGCCGGACCGAATGACCAGCCCGATGCCAAGCGCCCTGCCCTAGACAAGATGGTAAGGGACGACCAGGCCGCAGAGGACATCACGACGTCTGCCGGTTCTGTTAAAGCGGAGAGCATCGCTGCCGAGGACATCAAGACAGATGTGAAGGCAGAGGATGATGCTGCCGCCCCGAACGGCACCGATACCCAAGTCGACACAGTAGTCCCAGATGCCCCATCAGCTTCAGCCATCCTCGAAACCCAGCCTATCCAGTCAACATCTGGGGCGCATGGCCGGCCAATTAACCATAACCAGCACCAGGATGAGACCAACTGGCTCCACCTGCGCGCCTGCATTAGCACCACCGAGGCAGCCACCATCATTGGAAAAGGAGGAGAGAACGTCACGCAGATCCGTCGCATGTCTGGTGCAAAGTGCACTGTGAGCGACTATTCGCGTGGGGCTGTGGAGCGAATCCTGACGGTGAGCGGTCAGGTCGATGCTGTATCAAAGGTAAGTAGCTAATTGCTCGGTGCCATCCGAGTACTAATTTGGTTAGGCATTTGGTCTCATCGTGCGCACTCTCAACCAAGAGGACCTCGAGGCCCCGTCTACGTCTACATCCAAGACATACCCCATGCGCCTGCTGATTCCCCACATTCTAATTGGTTCCGTCATCGGCAAGGCTGGTGTGCGTATCCGAGAAATCCAGGATGCGTCGAATGCGAAGCTCAACGCCTCGGACTCACTCCTTCCTAACTCGGGTGAACGTTCGCTTGTGGTTCTTGGCGTCGCAGATGCTGTCCATATTGCTGTCTATTATGTAGCCCAGACCCTTGTCGAGCAGCTAACCGTCAAGTTTGGTGGGCCAGCAGCGTCTCAGTATGCAACCCGTAGCGGTGTCGCAGCAAATGTGGTTCCTGGCGGTATGTCGGTTCAGCCATACGTCCCGCAGCCTGCCGGAGGTCAATATGGCCACCCGGACAACTACCGCCGTCACACGAACCAGGCTCAACGCACTCCTGCCAACCCGTACGGCATGCCCTACCTACACGGACAGGCGCCACAACAGCAGCCCCAGCCGAATATGCACTATGGAGCAGGCTCTCCGGCTCGTGGTCCCTATGCTGCTGCAGGCCCCGCTCAACCCCAACCCTATGTTGGTCACCACGCCGCTGCCGCTCAACCTGCTGCCCATGGTGCTGCTCCAGCTCAGCCGATGAATATGCACGGGGGGCAACCCTTGACGCAACAGATCTATATCCCCAACGACATGGTCGGTGCTATCATTGGCAAGGGCGGTGCTAAAATCAACGAGATCCGCCAGTTGAGCGGCAGCGTTATCAAGATCAATGAGCCACAGGACAACAGCAACGAGCGTCTTGTTACAATCTCTGGTACTGCAGAATGCAACCAGATGGCTCTATATATGTTATACTCTCGACTCGGTGAGCAGTCCGATCCCAAGAAAATGAAGTATGGCAAGGCCTAATGGCTCCCAGAATCCGAGAAACATCGAATTTGAGTGAGACACACTGACCGGATACACCCTTTTTGGAACTGCTAATTCATCATATCACAGGAACTATACCTCACTCGGAATGCTCAAGGGACTGGGACCAACTACTTTCGATATGTAAAATAGAATTCCTTGACGGTCTTCAACACAAATGGGCAAGTGGCTTGGTGCGGGGCATGGGTTCTGGGAATTTCCTTATGGCGTTGTGTGCTCACATTTAGCGGCGGCGGGTTGTGCATAACTCAGATACTCGGGGATCTTTGTCATGAGCTGCCTGCTAACAATGTCATGTCGGCTAGCGAGGGGCGAGATCACTCGGGGCGACATTTTCTTCCTCGGCAATTTGAAAAAGTAACAACTTTCAACCTTTCATCTAACAAGCATTTCTCTTTGCTTTGCTCGTTGCGGGTTGATTGCTGTTTCCCGTGGTCTGTTTGAAATCGTTGTGTTGGCACGCACGGCTTTCCGGAGGCGGTATACGTCGTTTGCGACGTGAGACAAAGCAACTTTTAGAACCGAATAAGGTAAAATTCACGTGTCCGCTACGCAGCATATGTTTCTGCAATGGGAAACGGATTCGGGTGATGTATATGCTTCGCTGCATTCCGGGTTGCATTCCGGCGGACGTTTTAGGCGTCAAAGACTTTCCTTGTGTAGATGGGTATATGATGGTGATCAAATTGACTGCAAGCTACCCTTCCATCGTCTGATCGTCTGCTCGATTGAGAACTAGAATCCTGTCGCTCGTTTCTAAGTAAGGTTGAGTTGGGAGATTTTTCTGTCTGTCCGTGTTGTGAAGGGAAGAGAAAGAATTTTTGGGTTTTTGGAGATTGAATGACGAGAATCAATATGGCACGCAGCCAATCCATTCCGAATACACTCCCGCCCCCTTATACAGCGACTAGCACGCGGAGTGCTTCTCTTCGGTACGTTCGTTTGGCTTGCAAGCATGAGAGGAACAGGTGTGAATAGTAGCACTCTTACACCATCACCTCCCACCCACCAACTTCAACCTCTCTAACAGTCTAACACCCCAGTAGAACCACATCCTCCACCTTCTCCACCACCTCCGAACTCCTCATCGGTCCCTTGCGCACACGCTTCCTACTCCACACCTCCCTCCTCATCACCCAATCCCCCTACTTTCGCGCCTGCCTCACCGGCCCCTTTCTGGAATCCACCGCAAATAATAACAGCGTCACCCTCCCCGACATCAGCGTCGACGTCTTCGAACTCTGCGTCGCGTGGTTGTACACCGGCTACATTACCCCGGTACCTTTTAAGGATGGAAAGCCCGCCTATTATGTGCTGCTGAATTTGTGGATCGTAGCGGATAGGCTGTGTTTTGAGGGGTTGCGAAATGCAGTGCTAGATCTTATGGCCGATCTTTCAGATCGCACGAATAGTGTGCTCACGCCCAGTGACACGAGGATTTTGTATTCAGAGGCCGTTCCTGAGGGCGCGAGGATTAGAAAATTAGTGTTGGATCTTTTTGCGTTTAAAAATACAGACAAGCTCTTGTCAACGCATGCCGATCCCTGGCATGCGGGTTTTCTACGGGACCTGTGTGTCAGGTTGAAGAGGCCAACTAGGCAGGCTATGCTGAGACATCGATTCAGGCTGTGGTGTCCGGAGAGTTGGCATGCGACGAGGGCGTGTGAGGGGTGTAGGAGCGTTTTGCCGCCGAAATCTGACGCCGTTTGTTGTGAGGAGTGTGCGTGTGCATGGTGTACGAGGTGTGTGAAAGAGGGTGTGGCGGTTGCGGCGTGCGAGGATAGGAGGGGGACCGGGAGCGCGAAGGATGAGGGGATTAAGAAAGGGGTGGAGAGGAAGGGGGGAATGGGGAGTTGTGGTGGAGCTGGGAACGCAAGGAAATGGGAGGCGTGTAAGCCGTGGAGGGGGAGTAGGTGTCGGGTTTATCATGAGCATAGGGAGACGGAGAATTGTGGAGAGATGTTTATGGGGCTTTGATTGCATGGTTGTGGGTATGGTGTTGGAGAGGCTGGAGGCAACGTAAGGGAGGTCGAGGAAATGGTGGGTCAGAGAGAGGATATCGAGAGGGGTGCAAGGGGTATAAGGAGAGATGGAGTTATTTAGTAGGCTTCAGTTAAGAAGTGGAGATGGTGTTCATAGAAGAGTGTGAAGTTGAGATTTCTATCTTACCCCACGAACTGTCTCGGTTCGTATTCTGCATTTGCACATAAAGCCAATTTTTCAGACGGACAGTACATGAGTCCTACCTTCTCCCCAGAATTTAGCGTACCAATAGCCAGCAAATCTGCCCTTGCCTTTCGGATCACAAAAGACTCAAAACCGAGATCGCACAAGCTCGCATCAATACGTCAAAAACAGACGTAGAGTGGAAATCGCATTCTCGCATTAGATTCAATACTCGGTATTCTATGGGTCATGCCTGTGTCAAAAACACACATTCAAGATCGTCCTTCCCCCAATCATTTTATTGTACACGGCCATTAGACTCCTCCAGGAAAAGGGGTAAACACGACTCCCCGGATAATACACTTCGGATCAGGAATCCTTCTAGGAACCGACTTGGCTTGTCATCAATGCAACGTTGCAGCTTACTCGACGAAGTTCTTGAGATTGTTCAGCCACTTGACGTACTCCTTCTGCTCCTTGTGGTCGATGTAATCAGGGATGAATAGAGCCATGCGAGTGTTGACGCCACGCTCTTCAAGATACTTCTCGAGCAGAATCTGGAGGTCCTCGTCCAGATTGCCGAATGGAGGCCCGGTGTACAGAGTGCGTCTCTGGTATTCCTTCTCGGCGGTCTGAGGGTCCGCCAAATCAGCGGTAGGGAAGTGCAGGATGTCCTCGATCACGAAATCACCGTCCTGGGCAACAGCTTCAATGGCAAGTGCTCCCTTGCCCGGCCGCTCAATCCGGATGCTGGTCCTGGCGGGGAAACCCTGCTGCTGGCCGTCCTCGTCGAATTCATCATCCAAGTCCTCGCGATCTGCCGGCGCAATGCGGTCCTCGGGGGCAACTCGCACGTTCCCATCCTGTGTCCTGCCCTGGTTGACCGCGCCCTTGGTGTTGGCACCGCCAGACTGCGACTCGCCGATGATGTCGTCGACGCCCTCGTCGTACATGGCCTGGTCTTCCATTTCGTCAGCGTTGGGGACGTGATTGTTTAGGTCAGCGGTTGAGAATGTGACGCGGATTTTCTCGTCGCCGAAGGTGCGCGTGAGGACGATTTCTTGGTGACCTGGCTTGTCTTCGATCTAGAGATGAGTTGCATCAGCCACTGCTGTTTACAGACTGGGGAAGAGGGAGGGGGCACCTCGAAGGGGCTGCTCTCGAGATATTCTTTGATATTGGCAGACAGGTCCTCGTCTTCCTTCATGTCCTCCTCCATGGAGATCTCATTTTGGAGCTTCGCAACAAGTTCTTCATTGACTACATTTCAATTAGCAAATACAGAACCCCAGAATTGAATCCTGCATACCATTGCTCTCTTGTCTCCTGACAGCCGAAGTATGAAAAGCGTATGTGAGTCTCGGAACCGCCCTCGTCCACGAAGGTTGAATTGCAGCCGCTTGCCGGAACAGCGAGCTCTGCGGACGAGCAGCCTTTGTAGAGAGACGAGCGACAGAGCGGGGTGCCGACCGGGCGAGGTTTCGTAGGGTGAACATTGTGGGGTATACGAATGAAAGAAAGAAGAAACCTCGGAATTGGGGATGGAGACGAAGATGAACTGAAGATGCAAAACATTTGACTTTTCGCGCTCGGGCCACCCGAGGTTGATGCCATCACGTGAAACCGGCGTTTTGGCGTCACAGCTCCGATGAAATTTAGACGGAGAGATTCGCACGTCCACGGCTATCGGGATTCTGATTTCTGCAAAGAAACTTCTTTTTTCTTTTTTTTTTTTCTTAGGTTGGCTTGCAAAACTGGCTCTGGGAATATAATTAGGGCTATCCACCTTTCCATTCCTCCCGTCTCCGCCTAACGCGACTGCACTCTTGTCCTTCCCCGTTCAATTGAGGCAATTGCTGCTTCCGGAATAGAATCACGCGATATCCCACAATTCGCAGGGAGTCTAGTATCTGGCTTTCAGAGTGCTTCACGCACGATTCAATCCCCCGTGCGGGGAGTCTAAATCACCGTGGCGGCTATGGCCTCAGAGAAAAAGAAGGTATTCACACCACCGCCATCACCGCTACCGTCACCACCACCGTCACCACCACCACCGCCGCCACCACACAGCCCTGTCCCTTTCATACTGATGGAGCGTATATAGCCAAGCTCCACGCGCTCAATCCTCGCCGGCGCAACCGCAGGAGCAGTAGAAATATGTATTATCTACTGATCATTTTAGTCTATGGGCCGCTGCTAATTGTGAATTTTAGCAATAACATACCCTGCAGAATGTATGTCCGTCCAGCCATGCTTACCCCTCATATCGCTCTCCGAACCGTATGTCTGACGATTCTGACGACTCTCCCTAGTCGCAAAGACCAGATCACAGCTTAATCGACGGTTGCCGGATGGTCAGAAGCTCCCCTGGCCGCCGTTCGGAAAACAATGGTACGCAGGGTGTACAACGCTGATAATTGGGAATTCGTTGAAGGCAGGAATACGTATGTTGGGCTTTTTAGGCGCGTATACAGGATATGCGTTGCTAATATTCTTGGCTAGGATTTGTTGCCTTCGACGCATACAAATCGCTACTGGCAGACGCCGAGGGTAAAGTCTCAGGCCCAGCAACCGTAATAGCAGGATTCGGCGCAGGAGCTACAGAATCACTACTAGCAGTAACACCGTTTGAGAGTATCAAAACACAGCTGTAATTCACCCCTCCCCCACTTTCCTCCTTTCTAGCCACCCATCTCACCACCCCCTAGCATCGATGACCGTAAATCGGCAAAGCCTCGTATGCGGGGCTTCCTCCACGGATCCAGGATAATAGCAAGAGAAAAGGGCATTCGTGGTTTCTTCCAGGGCTTCGTACCAACGACGGCACGGCAAGCAGCGAATTCGGCGGTGCGGTTTTCAAGCTATACCGCGCTGCGGCAGGTGGCGCAGGGGTATGTGGCCCCTGGTGAGAAACTGGGGGCTTTAAGTACGTTCGGCATTGGAGGTATGGCGGGCGTGATAACAGTCTATACTACGATGCCGTTGGACACTGTGAAGACGCGGTAGGCCTCCTTTCCTCCCTCTTCCTTCCCACCATACCCCAGCACTAACAATCCCATCTCCATCTAGCATGCAATCCCTCGAAGCGCGCTCCCTCTACAAAAACAGTTTCCACTGTGCAGCCCGCATCTTCAAGGAAGAAGGGCTACTCACCTTCTGGGCGGGCGCCGTTCCACGTTTAGGACGCCTGATCCTGAGTGGCGGGATCGTTTTTACTATGTAAGCTTCCTTGCCTCTGACTCAGGCGTCTCACCGCTTATGCATGTGCACAGGTACGAGAAGTCCATGGAGTTGATGGATCGGTTGGATCCCGAGGGGCGGTATATATGATATGGGCGATGGATGGATGGATGGATGGATGGATGGTATTGGCTGTGATGGGTTGGGGAATGGGGAATGGGGAACGGGGGGTTGGTGACAGAGCTTTGGGGAAGTGCCATGGCCCCCATCCCAATGGTGGTGGATATAGGGCGCCTGGCTTGGCGGGCGTATGGAAGATGAAAGACCAGATGGAATTAGAGGTGTTGTAAGATATGTCTTTGTGAGAGTAGAGAAACAGAACCCCTGAACACACACTCTAACCCCCCAAAAGGCCAACCATAATCATAATCATACCAACGTCTTTTCCTCCCTTCCACCAACCTATGCGTTAATTCGCGTACATCATAACATCATAAGCTATATTCGTTGCCAAATCAAACACAACCGAGCAGATCATCCACTCACCTAACCTCACACATCCACCCAGCAAGGGCCTATGCAGCTACTCCACCTCATCACCTCCCTTGAACCCCAGCCCTTCCAGCCACCCCATCCCTGCCCCTCCGGCCGCCCCCAAACCATATCCAGCACTCACCCCTACGCTAATACTGCCCACTCTCAACCCCCCACTGCAAATCTAGATCGCCAGGCGAAAACTGCGGAAACGTGTATGGCGGGATCATGATATCTCCCGCCATTGTTTCATCGGTTGGAGGGAACATTAGATCTAGCTCGTTCTAGTGCGAGGCACGGAATGTTAGGATATTCTATTCTTATTTATGATGTGATGCGTTGGATTTTGAAACAGCGGAGCAGACACACGAGGACGGAAACAGTTAGGGTTGCGATAATACGCAGCGTGATATATGGGGGCAAGGTGGTAGGTTGGGGTTTTTTAGAAGGGAAGGAAATAGTATTGGTGCGAATGATAGCTTACCCAATCAATATCCGGTAATCCTTCCAGAGCATTAGGACTGCTTCCACTGGCACTCACGCTTCCAACCACACTCCCGCTTCCACCGCTTGTCGCGGGCATTCCCGAGTGAGATTGAGAGTGAGTCAAGTAGAGGCTGCTGCTGCTGTCGCTTCCCTGACCAGGGCTCGTGCCCATGCTCGACGGCCTTAATATGGTGTTTCCTGGACCTAAAGATCCGCTTGTGGGCGGTACGAAGACGCCGAAGGCATTGGGGTCTGGGTTGGAGACGCCGCCGGGAGCGAGTTCTGCTAAGCCATATTCTAGCGGCGGGAGGTGGTGGAGAGTTGGTCCTCCGGTATTGGCAGATGTGCCTAAGCTACCTAGATGCTGTTGCTGTTGCTGCTGTTGTTGGCCAGCTTGATTGACCGGACTGGTACTCATAGCATAGCTACCCATCCCCGGCTGCCCACTCTCACTCAGTGGCAGAGAAACACTACGCCTAATATTCTCTTCCCTCTTCTTGGCCTCCTCCTCCTCTCTCCGCTGCTGATACTCATAATTGTAGATTCTAGGCCCCGGATGTTTCATCTTCGTCGGCGCACGCACTCCTCGCAAAGATTGATACATCTGCGTTCTACCAGCCAGCTCCTCTAATATCATTCGACTTTTGTCTGCCCCACAGAGACCGGCGGGGAGATCGAACGCGAAATCCAGACATCGCCAGACGCGTTCTTCGAGCGCCGGCTCGCGCGGTTTAGCGTAGAGTTCTGAGAGGAGGAGAAGTGCGGTATGATATTGATGCAACGCTCCAACATACCAAGTCCAGAGCGAAAGCGCAGGGGTAGTTTCGATAGTGATACTATACTCCAGCGTCAATAGCGCCGTGCCCATCATAAGCTGTCGCAACCGCTCCGGCATCAAGCGGTGTTGGTTACTGGCGTATTTATTCAGCGCAGCAACATGCAATCTACAACTTAAAATCCCGTAGATCTGTGTTGCGAGAAGGTGCAGCGGGAGGCGTTTATCCAACATCGGAAGATATTTCTCCTCCATACGCGCCTGGAAATCTTGAATCTTTTTCAGTACAGAAGTAAGTGTTGTTTTTTTCTTCTCAAGGCGAGGCCGTTCGAGCCACATTAATCGATGCATTTCATAACACTCGAACCGCATTCGCGTGATCGTCATATCGGTGAAATGCTTCGCGTCTTCTGTCCCCTTTCCATCAGGACCGTAACCCCCGCAACCCCCGTTTTCAAGGTCCACGTCATCGATGTTCAGTGGATATTGTGTGTCGAAATCATCGCGCCGGATTTGCGGCCGCGGTCCTGTTGCTTCACATGTTCGGATATCGAGGAAACAGATTTGGTACCAGACTAGGCGGCGCAGGTGGATTTCGAGCGGGGAAGAGGAGTAGTGAGATGGATCGCGGTGGAGCCCCATGCATTCGGCCAGTCGGATTAGGGTGCCGGTCAGGGCGCTATGGGCACGGGATACTTCTGCACGACAGAGTGGGATCTACGAGAGCCTTGAGAATGGCAATACAAAAGGGGGTAAAGGGAATTGGATCCTGTGTAAAATTCTATAAGGAAGCAAACTTACCAGGTACATAACGAAAGCCTGGAGAGTTTCGAGCTTGGTGGTCCTGAGGAAGTTGGCTCGAGCCAGTGTTGTCTCTGTGCCTTGCTTGAAATTTTCTACCAGTCTGTCTTTAGCTACAGCAAAATCATTCAGCACCTTCTCTTCTGACATGCTAATCACAGAGGATAGTAGAGCCGCAAGAACAACTGCTTGAAACGACACGCGAGGCTCGATTCCCATAGAGATTTGCTGCCAGAAATCCTCGTATTGCTTCTCAAAGGAGGGGCGATGGACCGTTCTGGCGATAACATGCACAGCTCGCCAGTAATGATCTATCAATTTATCCGCGAGAACCTTGGACGGTAAATAAGTCATTAGAGACGTTCTTTGGACTCCCGGTGCGAAGAAGAAACTAGAAGACGGAGCCACATATTCTCGTCCAGGCCCGAGATATGACTCTGGGGTTTGGCTTTGGAATGGGGTTTGGACTTTCAATTCCGGGACTTCTTTAAGAGCTTGCGAGAGCTAGATAGATGTTTAGCTAGGTATTCAGCTGCAGTTAGCTTGACTTACTTCTTCAGAGAATCGTGGTCTGACGAGGCCACCAATTCTCTCCGTGATTCGCAACTTCCCCATTTGGATCCCAAGGTCCACAAGATCGTCGTCGACATTCTCATAGTACGCACAATCTTCCAATGCAAGATCCGTAGGCTCTAAATCCTTCTCGTCTTCTGGTTCCTCAGGGTCGCTATGAGTGTCTGCGAGACTTGGCAAAGGAGGAGTGGACCTTCCTGCAGATGGTGAAGCCGACTTCGTAGTACCACGTCGCGCCACATCCTCTTCCAACCTCCTCTCTAGCATGCCCATCTTTTCCTTAACCTCAGCTAACTTCGCTTGCCCTACAGGGTCCAGCGCAGGTGCCAGAAACACGCAGTCGCGCTGGAATTTTGTGCAATTGGTGCATGGCTGTAGCTTGTCGCACTTGAGCTTTCTGCGGCGACACTCCAGACACGATGTGATCAAGCGGTTCCTACGGCGGATGCGTGGCTGGTTATTGTGCGCCTTTTTCTCGCCTGCCGTAGCTTGTGAAGGCGACGCTGCCGTTCCCTGGGGTGGGGAGTTTGAGGAATAGCTGGTGAGATCGGCCATTTTCTTCTCTATCGATACCGAACCTGCCTGTCTGTACCTTGCAGCCCTACGAGGCAAGGCGCGTGTCGGCCGTAGGCGTCGTCGCGTTACGGACGTAGGGAGCGATGAGTAAGAAAACCTTTGCAGAGTTTCGGTGACGGGAAAAGAGGACAAGACAAATAGGAACAAGTCGTACCCGTTGCGATAACTGAGGCTGTTCTTTGTTCTTGTTTATCGTACCTGTTGCCTAACCCAGCACTTGCGCCGCTGTCCCTACTATTTGAATCGGCTATTCCTCGCTGGAAAGGAATCCCTCAAGATTCAAAAGGCGTGGAAGACTGCCGGCGGGATGAGAGAGTTCTCCCTGCGATCAGGGCTTGGCCACAACTGGAATGGCTTGCGAGGTGCGTCAAAGACTCCTCCACTTCTGATATCGTTGTCTTTGGTATTCGGGGTTTGTCAGCCGCTCACGGCTTACGAACGGTCCTTGGAAACGCCTCCTTTAACGTCGATGCATCATGCATTCCTTCTTTGTTGCGCTTTTTCGCCTTGTCGCTATTCCGTTGCTTTTGGGGCAGCTTGGCCGTTTAGCACAGCACCACTTTAACCTTTGCCTTTTTATCGACAACGCAGCCTTCCCGTCTACCTAGCACGCGCATGTCGTACCAATATCGCTGCCGTAGGAGTGGGAGAGACTAAATAGGACAGCGATTTGATGGACCGAGCAGAGTACTTCTCCCTGACATTCCCTTCCTTCATCTTGTCTACCATATTTCGTCCTGCGTTCTCTATTCTCATTCGCTAGCGCTAGGATTCCAACGCGTTGGTTGATCGCTAGGATTGCAATCCCGCGAGTCGTAGGGCTGATCAACCCTTTAGTTGCTGTTTGTGGAAAGCTTTGGGGCCAAGACAAAGCAACAACCAACCCAATGTCTCCCCTGCTTGTCAACACCACAACTCCAGGTTCCACCATGATACACGGCTAGAGATATTGACGTTCTAGAAGCATGGAGCTGAGATGGGGGCCAGTAACTGGAACAGGAAGGTCTCCGTACATTGCTGCCAGTCCCATTCAACTCGGCCTCACCTTTCAGCCTTGAGAAGGAAGTCAGGTCACTCAGCTGCGCGCGATACCCCAACAGATGCAACCCCAGGTATCAATTATGCTTACCTTCTCCCTCCTCGGCTTCCACCAAACTTGATCAGATTTGCAAAGCTCGGCAGGAAAGCTTACAGAAGGACTACTCCCGCTAGCCGCTACCCCAGCAGGATGCCCTAACCCGACTCATTTCATATTACTCAGAGAAGGCTGATCCAATCAATTGAGTGCCACACGGTTCAAAGGAACCGTGGCCGTGTAATATTGTGTTCAAGGACCAGTTCGATCAGTCAATTATCGAGTACCACAAGCCCGTGTCTGGAACCATCACGGACAGGCTCGGCAAACGGAAGTAAAGCCGAGCTACTTCGTGTAACGGATTCTGTACTTCGTCAAATATCAAGCGGGCTTGCCCGAGTTCAAAGTAGATCCACCTATATAGATTCTCGCTACGTCCAACGTAATACCATGAACACCTTTAGCATCAAACGCCTACCGTTTTCAAGATCTCCCTTCCTCTATCTTGTTTTCTCCATTCTTATAACGCTTGATTGGCAATGGACCTAGGTACCTAATGTCCGAGGTTGCCCCACTACTTTGTGGCGGGGTAGCTGCACCTTGCTCACCTCATCCACATACATTGTTGTATGCTTTCAAATACAAGCACTTTGAAACTTCAAACATCTATATTGCCTAGTTTCACAATTTGTCGAATCATCTAACATCAGTTTACATTCTCTTCTCGTATCTTAAGTGCCTTGAAAAAAACTCTCAACATGTCCGAACAAACCACAGAAATCGCCTACATTCCTCTCGCCTCTGGTCTCGACCTTTCCAGCGGTGATACCCAGAAAATGTTGGAAGAAACTCTAGGGACAATTAAATCGCAACCAGGCTGCAAATCACTGTTCTGGGGTCGACAAATTGAGCACCCAGATGTTATGCAAATGGTCATTGGTAAATCTACACCCTTCTCAAGCATCCTCCCTACGATATTTTAAATGCCAATCGCCCTAATCCCAGATTGGGAGAGTATCGAATCGCACAAAGACTTCATGAACTCTCCCTCCTATGGACCCTTTATCGAACGCCTCAAACCGCTTCTAGCGGGTCCTCCACATCTCCTACACGTCAAACTCCCCTCGCAATCCCCCTTTTCGCACCCTGGAGCGGCTCCCATCACAGAATGTATCTCGATGTATTTTGAACCGTCATACTCCACCGCTAGCTACGACCCCAATTGGGCCAAGTTCAAAGAGGGTGTGGAACAGATGGCGAAGGAAGCGCAAGGCCTTACAGGTGGATGGGGCGTCGAGGATGTGAAGCATACGGTGTTCGGGAAGGAGGGAGAGGAGGGAGAGGGAAAACTATTTTGGGCGGTAATTGGGTGGCCGAGTGTGGATGCGCATATGAAATTTAGGGAGACAGAGGAGTTTAAAAAGGTTATTCCGTATTTGAGGGAGGGGCCAAAGGCGCTGGAGGTGCATCATGTTGCTTTTCAGAAGTTTTAGGGGAGTCTGAAGAGCGTCGGGACATTACAGAGGCCCAGGGGAGGAGAAGAGAGATAACAACAGCTGTTGAGTGAACTACTTGCATACATGTTCATCCTTTACGAGATCCTCTTTAGATGTGACCACACTGTGCATGAACCTTCCTCCACCCATGCTGACAGGTCTGAAGTAGGCTTTGGCGTTGGTAGAGCATTTAAATCAGCATATATGGTGAAATTGCCTTCCAATAATACTACTAATAGAGAATCATATCATTCAAGTTTTTGACGAGCTTCATCTCTTTGATCTCCTCGCGCAAAGACGTTCTCGTGTCGTCGGCTGCTATTTAATTCAGTGCTTCCAACGAGGCGTAGTACTATACGATTGGGCGATTTTGATGCCTGTACAGGTGAGATTTTGTGTACGTTCCTACAGCAGGGGGAATGAGAGGTAAGTGTACGTATCGTAGCTGCTACGGCCCACTTGATCTGTACAACTGGTACGATTTAATTGAAGTACGCTGTACTCTAGTTAAAACAGCTAGGATTGCAAGCTTCTAAAGAAGCAGAGTTAAAATATATATAGTTATTGGATAACGAATTCTCCATAGTAACATAAAGCAGAGAGGATTAAAGGCTTGCTGCTTGCTACCTTTGCAGTGCCCCAAAAGCTTTGCTTATAGCTCTAATAGGAGAGCTATAAGTGGATTAACTTACCCTGCTGCAATTAATATTTAGCTACAGATAGCGTACTATCGCGAGGTAAGGTAAGAGGCTTAGTACGTCTCGCTTCGTCGTGACGCAAACACAAGAAGCTATGGGCTAAAGTAGCTTCACACGGCACCATTTAGCTAGAAGATACGAAACATTTCTGATCATAGCTTGCCAATATATGACCCACGATGAATCATGCATGGCTGGGAGTGTTATGAGATGGGATTTTTTTTTCTCCGCTAGAGGCCACCCCTTTTCACTCCTCTATTGTGTTTCATAATTCCTAGACATATCAAGATAGTCTTTTAGTCAGCTTTGTCGCGACATCTGGTAGAGCAAAACTTACAACTAGTTTTAATTCTAGCTGCGATTTCAGCGTGCTCTGCAATTACGATTTGAATCTAATAAGGCGTAGATTCAGAACGAAGTTACGTTAGCTAGTTGAAGGAAAGACATCCTAGGATAAAGAGATTCTCTGTATTCTTCAGTAAGTATATGCGCATTTTAAAGATTATTTAAAGCCTATTCCGGCCTGTTGTAAGCAGGTGAAATTTTTGGCCACAACCATTGATTATTAAAGCGCTTGCAAGTTAGAGTCCGGGCTCGTATTCGATGATAATTTATAGGTTGTGAGAGAGAATGAACACGCCCGAAGAAACAGAAGCGGTAGAAAGAGGATGATGTAGACTTGAGAGGACTAAGCATGATTCGGAGAAGTTGTCCATCTCCCAAGATGTTCACTCGTCTAATTCACTAACCCCAAGGCTTCGCTTACCTGCTAGTGATACTAAACCTCACCTCACTCCTGTGTCTTCAGCAGATCTTCCATCGCCAAATTCAAACTGAATTTCACTGCACTCCTATTCAGCGTCTTATGTTCTATCTCGATCTTGCCGCTCGCCTTTTGCATACCACGTAACGAATGAGTGGTACCCAGAATTCTCTCCAACTCCTGACGCGACTACTAGTGACAACGTCAAAGTTGCGGAGACGACCATTACCGAGCCGCCGTGCTGGAGCCTTGTATTAGCTAGTGTTTTTAGCATTGATTTGCCGATTGGTGTCATTAGTAGAAGATGGGGGGCGAGAATCATCGATTTCAGATTCAAAAAGATCTTGATCAAGTTGGCGGTGTTCGAGATGCTGGATGACATTTTGTTGTAGGGATTTTGAGCCAGGAATCCCCCTTCATGTTGATAATAATTATTCTAAGGAATCGCTGTGGAAGCGGAAAATATGGCAATTAGGAATCGATAGTGCTATTTACATCCATCGTAGGTATGATGCAAAATACGCTTAACATCCATGAACCCGTCTATCAAAACCTAGGATTGAGTGATTAAAAGATAGTACACAGTATACCTTAGTCCCATTTTCATAGAGAGGGACACAACTTTCAAAACATATGTACTTTTCTTTTGAAGCAGTAAAAATGATTTGAAGGGCATGGTACTTCCTATTATCTAGTTCCTACCGTGGTACGGTGGTCTTCACGAATGGCGCGATATGTTACGACAGGAGTCAGTTGTATGATTTTGCGCTTGATTATATTCTTTTACTCGAAGCCTAGAAATCTTAATTTCTTTTGTCGCCTGGCTAAGGAGAGCAAGATAGCAGCTAGATAGCCCCATCATATGCAATATGTAATCAGCACCCGAATGCTCTTCAGCACGCCCAATCATGGTCGTACCTTCCCCTCTTCCGGCTGGCGTCATTGTTGAAGTTGTAGTAAGGCTTTGACCTCATGTTCCGCGTATCATCTCGATCATCAGAGGGAGCCCTCATGTACCCGTTTCCAAACACCCTGAAGACACCTTCATCGTCAGTCATGCCACGCTGTCCACTAAACTAGTCCCCGAATTTGTACTCCTCTGCTCAAATTAGACTCTAGTTATAGTAAGCTCTTTAGGTGCCCTCACCGAAGACGAGACTAGTGTCCTTTTGTAGCTTATCGACAATGGCACGAGTGGCCTTAAGGGGGCAGACAGCCTCTTCTTTGCGGAGAGATTTCGTCGTGCCGTCAATAGCGACGACGAGATGAGTGGTGTAGAGCCGGGTAACCTCATTGAGAACAATTACAATGTCGTAGAAACGAGTGCGGTCACTTCCGTAGATGATCCGAGCGTTGCCTAGAAAGTTGAGCGAGTTCTACCGATTTGAGGTAATATCTGCGTACTATTTGATAGTGTTTTGAGATCTTTGAGAGCCTTGACTTTTTCCGGGTCGTCGAGGTAGTTTGCCGTCATATCTGTCGTCTCCTTGTCTGTCATCTTCACCAATGCTCTTGCGCTCCTCGAGAGAAGGAAACAATGGTTGTGAATGATGGTGTGGAGGAAAGAGCAAAAAGTATAAAGGGTGGAAAGTTTTTGAAGAGTTGGGAGTTTTGCGACGCTAGTGTAGAGATGAGTTGACGGTGAGTAAAGGAGGCAGCAGCTCTTTCACCCCGTATCTAGCTTACTAAAGTCGATCCATAAAATATCGGATTCCTCTGGATACTGCAGACGAGGTAGAGCAGGCACCAATCGCCTGTGTTTCTTTTGGCACTATCGCCCTTGGAAGTTTGCGCTCCTAGTTACCGCGCCCCGACAACCCTTAGTTCTCCAGAGTATTTATGTCAGTAAACCCGCTTCCAAGTAGGCTAGTAAGCCTACGAAACATTTGAAAAGCCTCCTCTGTCTCCACTTCAATTCACCAACTGATTCCATTCCTATCGTTCTCAACGGCCAATCTTCGACATCATTACAAAAACTAACTTCTCTTCCCGACAGTTCCGCACTCCTAGAATTGTCTTTAGTCTACCAGGGACCCGATAAGTCAATGCTTGGTACCAGTCCCTAAGTTTTAAGGCCTTCATTAGCATTAGAGAACAGTAATTCACTGTCCAAGTGGATGGTGCTTTAATCTGTTATGTATTCAGCATATACGCTATCGGATCGAGCAAGGTAGGATACGTAAAAGCGGTGACTGTTCCGATTGCATCAAGGGGGTAATCGGAGCTTTGCGTGAATCATTTAATAAAACTAGTAAAACGAAGGAAAATCGAACTTTGCCACCGTAGGTCCCTACCAACGCATGTTATAATCTTCAGACACTCCTCGCTTCTCATTCGGATTCGCACCATCTTACAACCCTAATTCATGCGCAAGAATTGCTCCCGGAGGCTCGTGGCCAATGTCCACCGTCCATAAAAGCACATCAAGTCAGCAAGTCAGCGCATCTCAGCCTCTATTAGTATAAATCAGACTGTATACACTGACCAGTAAGCCCCCTCTCTATCTCCCTGGCCATCATCTCCTCTTGTAATAACACAAGGCCATTGCCCATGAGCCACTCTCTATAGTACTTGATATCGTTTGAGCTCGAGGAAGTACACAGCTAAGGGAAGCTATTCCGAGGTTCTATCATCACTATTACAAGGGAGGACTTGGTACCCTCGGTCTGCTCCATAACAGAGCCTCGCTAATGCTAGGGTGGGCAAGTAGCGGGGTGGATGGGTTAAGCGGATTGTGAAATGCCTTAGATTTCTAGATTTCTAACAATAATTCCCGTGTCTTTCACTTCAATGGCTGTAAGCTAATTTGAGGAAGAGGGATGTAGATTTATAATTCGTTACCAGATACCCCAACCGTGACGACGGACATTTCATCCGCTATCAGAACCACGGGAAATGCAAATAAGGGATAAACCTTGACTAAGAATTTGATAGGACCGATTGTTCTGGAAACTGTAATTCAAGAGAGATCTATCGTGACCGAATAGTAAACAGTCCTGCACGTGTTCCTTCTCACCCTTTGTGATGGAAACTCGAATATATCAACTATGGTTGGATGTTCACGCGGCAGAGCAATCGGTTCTCTCCTATAGTCAAATATTACAACGCAGTTGGTTGGATATTTGCGGAATGGGATATCATTCCATTTTCGAATCCATTTGTCGAACTAGCTGCTTATCACCACATATCCATTCATTCCATCAGCCATCCAGGACTGTCCACCCCAGTATGCCTTGCAAGAACTTAAGCCGCAATGGTAACCTCAACCTCAACGCCAGCCTCAATGTTGATGATGATCTGCTTGACAACCTCAGTTGGGGCATTCAAATCAATCAGACGTTTGTGGATGCGCATCTCGTAGGTATCCCAGGTCTTGGAACCCTCTCCGCAAGGCGTCTTTCGGGTAGTGACCTTCAGATTCTTGGTGGGGAGGCGGACGGGGCCTTTGACGCGGAGTTCCTTAGTCTTGGCACGATCGATGAGCTCCTGGCAGACCTCTAGAAGGACAAGTTAGTGAGTATTGGGGAGGGTGTTCGAGGAGTCTTACTCTCGAGGGACTTGACGTTACGGCTAGTGAGTGTGATTCGGATCTTGTGGATCTTGGGACCATCACCGAAGTCCTTCTCAGGCTTGTCTGCGATATTATTAGCTACGAATCCTCCAATTCTCATTACGGTTCATCCGGTCGTACTGTAAGACATCTTGCTCGTAAGGGTGGGTGTTTTTGGTTATTGGGCGTGGAGATTTTCGTTGTTGAATAGATTCCAGTCACGACCCGGATCTGCGATCACTGTAATGTGATGACTGGCGTGTTGTCGATAGAGGCCGGCAACGTTGGGGTTAAAGTCTAGATCATAAACGAATTTTGGATTTGTGGGAGGTTGAGAAATCTTGGCACACTAACCTGTTTCAGGCGAGCCTACGCATCACCGCTTTCACAAAGTTTGATGGCTCTGACAACAAACCTTTTCTGTGAATAAGGTACCTGGGTAGCTATTAAGAGCGCATATTCGCAGACTAGGTATTGTTAACACCGCTCCTACCTGCCGAATTTCGATTCTGACGCCCTCTCTACCCATGGCTGCCCCTCCATTTGCGGGATTTCCTCAAGCGGATGTTCGCCGAAAGATACTCCCTCGAGAATGGGAGCTGTACCTCCGTTCTTGTACCTCATTATCAGAGTTATATCTTCGTTTCAACAATGAAGATTTTTCCTCTACGCTCACCGAGACTGGATCCTTGCCACTTTTCCTTATCTCATTTTTCAATGCGCTGACAGACGACAACACACTTGGGTCAAGCATCAATACTCTGCGAAAGAAATGCTTCCTGTTGATTCATAGGATATATTCCGGAAATAAGATACCTTTGGCTCTTTTATCGTGGACCACTCTCGCAGACATCTGTCACGCATTTCCTAGGAGTGATCAACTCCGATCCCTCCTTCAGAGCCTCTGGAAGCGGAGAAGTAGTGATATCGAAAAGGGGCTGCAAATGGTGAAGGCCTCTCTCATTAAAACGCTAGACTCGAACAAGTCCAAGGATGCCGAGGACCTCCTCAACAAACTTGGGCCTCTGTTCAAAGCGTCTTCCGATGCTGCCATGTTCATGCTCACCGGATCCGACTTTTTGGATTCTCTGTGCAATGTGTACTCCAAAGTGTCCCCGCATACGCAGAAAAAGCTAGTTGCAACAACGTACCTTGGGCTCACGGCTTTGCTCGATGGGCCAAAGCCAAATTACTCTCTACTATCGGATCATCTGTACAGTATCAAGGCTAGTGCGGAACAGGAGCAGAAATCAAACACCACGAAGACGACTTTCCTAACGGATCTTGTTACCAACACTCCCTTCTTGAACAAAATAAGGGACAGCACAACAAATGCTGAGGACGCAAGAGTCAAGAACATCGCAGTGTCCCTTAGCGTCTTCCGCCAATCTAGCACTGCCCGACCAAAGAAATTGATCCGGCGAAAGGTGAACAAGGGGAAGGGGAAAGCCAAGGACGATGAATATGGGCACGGAGCATTTGGGGATGTTCATGTTCATCGCATGAGCTTGGTTAGCCAGATACAGGATCTCTTCGCAGATCTTGGCTCGGGCTTTGTAGTCAAGTTGCTTGATGAGTACAACGACAATGTTGAGGAAGTCACGGCACACCTTCTTGAAGATAGTCTACCTCCACGTCTCGCTGACGCTAATAGGAGTGAGCAACTGTAAGTGCTATATCCTCTAACTCTAAGACTCGCAATTCAGTGTTAATAACACACCCCCTCTATGAGTAGATTTATAATGTCCATTCTACTGACCTCTTCCAGGCCGACTACTGCGTCAAGCTCACATCCACATCTCACCCCACGATTCACTCCACCTCTCCTACCCCAACGCCGGAACGTCTTCGACAACGATGATTTTGATAAGCTTGCAGTCGACACTTCCCGTCTCCACATCGGCCGTAAGAACGAGGAACTTACAGCCGACAACATCCTTTCCGACCGCAGCAACGCTCCGAACAAATCCGCTATTCTCGCCGCCCTTGCAGCATTTGATTCCGACGACGACGAGCGCGATGATACGTACGATGTCGAAGATGTCGGCGGCACTGTCGACTCCGCAATCTCAGGCGCCGATGAGGTAGACGCTGGTCTAAGGGACAAGAACGAGGAGGCCTTGTTTCGTGCCTACTCTACGACTCCCGAATTGTTTGGCCGAGACGCTGGAACGAGGAGGGGAAAAGCAAGAGCAGGGCTAAAGAGTGAAACTGGCATGACCGATGAAGCGATTGAAGGGTGGGGAGTCATGATCGGGCGAGATCCGAGACGACTTCGACGTCTCGAGGCGAAGTTCTCTACATTCTCGGGTCAGCAAAGAGAACTAGGATCCACCGCTTACAGAACAAGTCCAGCAGAATCAGGAGAGGAAGCAAGTGGGGATGGTCAACGTGGCAGCCGAGGCGGCTTCTCTGGGAGAGGACGTCCTCGCGGACGTGGAAGAGGGGGGGGAAGGGGCGGTGGGAATGTTGCAGGACCGTCAGAGGACAAGTCAACTCAGGTCTCGCGGAACAGGAAAGAAGCCAACAAGGGGTCGCGAGCGAACCACAACCGTCGGGATCAGAGAGCGAGAAAGGTTGCTAGAGCAGGCTTTCCGGGGTAGACGAGGAAATGCAGCATGAAGTGAATGAGCTAGGGAGTTATTGCTTGATGTTGATATTAGTGTAACATGGTAGTTGTAGTACGGCATGGGCGTGCAATCACGGCTTTGTGCTACATTAAACTCTGGACCTGGATTTTGGGAGGATGGTTTCTTGCATGGACAAGCGAGATAGAGCATTATGCGTTCAAGTGATAGGAACACTGTTGGGCGGATCCGCACATCAAAGCGTCAATATCATGCCGACTGCATGAAGCCGTCATAGTGTACGAATAAGGCTGACCAAGGATATACGACATAGAATTTCGGCAATACCGGCTACAATACCACCGCATCGGTGTATGTAAAGTGCTCAGGCCAGATAGTTGACGCCGATTGACCTTAGCAAGAGATCAACTCTCAGCTGAAGCTCAAGCTGACGAAGTTCGATGCTGTCATCACTCCTTTTGTTGTTCGCCTGAAATGGTGATTGACAGACAGAACGCTCTCTCAAAGCATCAACACAGCCTCACCGCTTCTAATTTACGGAGTACCAGACCGCTTGTTTGTCCCAGGCGTCGTGACAGTATCTGACCCACATACACTAAATCCAACTCCAACCGCAAATCTGCCTCTAAACCCCTCTACAACCATAAGGGCTTTCCGTCCATCCATCCATCCATCCATCCACCCAGCCTTATCCTCTCCCTACCCAAAGCACTGCCAACTTCTCAGGCTCGGTCGGCCCAAACATTATCCCCGTACGCCACATCCCCAGTCCCCCTCAAACCGTACGCCTCATGCATCCGCCCACCACCGAATCATTTCTCTGAACCCGAATCTATCATATCCTGTCCTGTCATTCTAGGCACCCGCGATACACGTTTCTCTGAACGCTGCACGCATCTCGAAGTCGTCCTAAAGAAGCAAAGTTTAGCGAAATCGTTGTGCAGGGCTGAACGCAAGTTCGAGGTTCTGATTGGTGGATTATGTGGTACGGGCGCAAGGTGCTCGCTTTGGCTTGCGAAGAAGGATAGTTGTGGCAGGGGAAAGCGAAGGGATCATTTGAGTTGGACATCGCGACTGGGATGCCAGCTTTTGGCTGAGAGGTCGGATTCGAGTTCGGATTGGATTGGATGGACATTTTGATTGGATTGGGTTTTGGAAAGTTGGATGGGAAGGCTTGTGAATGTAAATGTGCTTCTAGAAATGGCCTCGAAGGATCCGTGGAAACTCGAACTGGGTTCACACCATGGAGCTGTTTTCGCACAGCTCAGGCTCTGCTCCAAAACCTTAACTGGACATATTAATCTTACCCTGGCCTGCTTTCTCCTATTCCCGGCGCTACATCAACATCCCCTATCCCCAGGCTCCAACAAAGACCGCAACGACATGAAAGCCACCCACGGATCTACTTTGAAACAATTCGGCATCCCGTGTCTCGTCTCGCTCCCTATCCACTGCATGTTGCGCAGCGCATCGGCAAGCTTGCCGAGAAAACGCCTCTCTCGTGATGCCGATTCCGGATTCTAAATATAACGCAAAGGGAGTCAATTGCTTGCGCGGCATGTGAGCTGAATGGTGACAAAGTACGAAAGATTCAGGTGAGGCGCTCCGTATGTGGAAAATGCATGTGCGCTTTGGTTGCATGCTTCCGAAGGAGGACACCGTACAGTCATATGTCATAGAGTCATGAGTGGGAAATATGGTGTGGTTCTTGCGATGAAGGATGAAAGGTTATGCGGCGTGGTGCAGTGCGGTGAGTCGCGATGCAGTACAATGCTTGTGTGGTGCTAGAAGGATGAATTGAAATGCAGGTGCCAGATGCAAGATGCAAATTGCCATTTGCCAGATGCAAGTCAGAGTGTAACGTTAGACGGATATTGAGCTTTCTAGAACCAAAACCACCCAAGTAGCGATCATATGTGAGATTTATTAAGCACGGAGTAGTGACGAAACAAACACTATCGGCAAACGTGCAGCAATTCGATTGCTTGAATAAAAGACTTGGATAGCTCATTACATCATTTACCAGTGACCCGTGTTCCGTAATCCGTATCCGTTCCCTTGATATGCAGCCAAAACGCTCCATCCCATGGCTCTCGCCTTGTATTGCCGAATCCGATAGCTCCTCTCAATGCACATGTCCAAACATCCCACAAGCCCGTACTCCCCAATACACTAACCTTTGACACGAAAACGAAAAGTTCATCCTGACGCAAGACATGAAAGCAAGAACCACGACGATAAAAATAACAAGCGAAGAAGCGGAAGAAAGGACAGAGACATGGGAATGTGCATGATCGTGGCGTCGCACCAATGAGGAAGGAACCCCGCACGCCACTAAATCTGGTCTTAAGAGACGAAAGATTCTAACGGACAACGGTGGTGTTAACAGGGGTTAAGCGCTTCTCCAAGAGTGCCATGCAAAGGTGAGGCTGGCGGTGCTCGCGTGTTGAAACGAAGAGAAACAAGCTGATGCAAATGAGGGGGTCTTGTCAATGAAGTGAGCAGCACCAGGCTGATTCCTTCATTCATCGTTGAGTCGTCAATTGAAGCGAGGTTGTGCCGTTTGATGACACAATTTCGTCTCCTGCTGCTGGCTTCGATGTGTGGTACATGTGGCACAAGTACAGGTGAGAGTTGACCAAAGCGCTTCACATTTGAGCGAGGTCGTTGAGCGCATAGGTTAAGGATCGCCTGGCGTCAAGTTCGTCAATTTCCAGGTGAGGACGATAATAGTGAGAGACAACCTGCACCACGGCCTTATAGGTAGTATAACTGCGCATGAAATCAGCTTTAGGAAAGTGTATAGCCATCGCGTATACTCACATCGACTGTCTAGCTTTCGCGCCACCGGTTCGAGCCGGACACTGGCCATAGCCCTCAAAGAAAGCCTCGCTACCGTCTGCGATACCTCCACTCATGAGCGGATCACCCCAAATAACGTTCGAGAAGCCCACAAGACCGGTCACCTGCTTGGTCCGCTCGTCGAGAAGCACATTCTGTGGATCACAAACGTTCAGGGCGACCAATCGCGGTTCAGTAACCTCGTCTAGGCACTGGCTCTGTTGTCCTACGTAGTAGCGGATGCTGTCGTACGGGATGGTGACGAGCATGTCCTCAGCATCGCGTAGAGCAGATTCAAGCAGGGCAAGAAATGCTTCTCGCCACGAAGAGCTCCCTTTTTTAGCAAATACTCTGTGGGTCGGGCCAAACTGGGTAGCCGATAGTGCTGTAAGACTGCGGACATAAGCTCCGAGGGTACGATCAACCACCTTTCGCTCACTAGCGGAAAGGAAAGATGAGAGCTCTGAGAGACGTCGGCCTGGAAGAAAGCTCATCATGAGAAAGGGTGATCCTAAAGCGCCACCCTGACTGTCATACTTGATGACCTGAGGGACCGAAAGTTGGGTGTACTCTCGGAGGGTCTCCATTGTCTTCCGCTCCGTTTCCAGAGAGTGCCTTTCGTGACGGAGCATTCGTGTATTGAATAGTGGTGGACATTTTAGGACGAGCGAACTTCCGTCAGTAAGCCTGGCGAGATAGACCTGGTGAAGGCGTCCTTGGAGTCGCTCAACTTGTTGCACTGTAATCTTTGAGGAGCGAAACACGTTTCGGATGACCCTTTGAATACTAGAGAAGTCTGGTGTGTTGGTTGTGGTTGTAACTGTTCCGGTTGAGGAGGTGGACGATGATGATGAAGTTGAAGAGATTGAAGACATAGTACGAGTGGATCTACCACCATGTCTCCCGTGGCTCATGGTGACAACAGGATAGACGGCAACATCTAGCGGAGGTAGGTGCATGTTGAAAGATACTGAAATCGAAAGATATATGAAGCGTACGAGGATCTAATTACCTTGAAGTACCCGCTGTTAGTATGATCCTAGATTGGAGCGCTTGCATCCTTGGGTCGGGCAGCCGAATATGTATGATTCTGGATCCGAGATTGGACATTGCTCGACTAGACCTTGTTTTCGATCAGCAGCACGTTCGGAAAAGAAGTTGTCTACTAAAGGTAAGAGGCGTTCAGGAGACGAAGGACTGCTTGATATTTCCGAGCATGACCGGACCATAGCGAAACCCAAGAGATGACGCCGGCATGGATGCCTACTACGGCGTATATGGCGGTCGCCAGGATGCAATAGGTTCACGAAGGCTACTAGAGGCAAAAATACAAGCTCCGCCGCAGCGTATATAACAAACCGCGTTCGGCTACGCGTGTTCGCTTGAGGAAAAGGAAATTCAAATCATATTTGGACAGGGCTTGCGACGAACGTCGCAACTCCACGAATGGTGTGTCGAGGCGAGGAGCAGTGACAGAGTTGCGAGGGCGTCAAAGGGGTGCTGGAGCAGTGGCGTCAGCGTTCGTCTAAAAGGGCCATTTCCAGTAACGCGCAGCAAGTGGAGCGTCGGCTACGGCTCACTCTGATTGGCGACTCGCATTTAGAAGAACAAGTCAACGATGGTTCAGATATGAAGGGAGAAATGGGTGTTCGGTGATGGGACATAGCGATGAAACCTGAGGGGCGTGGATAAAGCGCGTGAACCTGATCGTGTTGAAGTGTTCTGATCTGCGCAAGGAGCTGGGCAAGGTTAAGCGGGGAGATCCGGACCATCCACACATCGCTGAACCTCAACGAAACCACCATATTTCCTTTGTGACGCCCCTTCGTCACGCACTCACCAGCCCTCACCCCATTTGGTACCCTCCGGCGCCATTTAGCGCCATTTGAGCCTTGCCAGAGTCCCGTAGGTCGGGAGACGAGCCGTGGCGGGACGTGAAAGCATGTCAGGCCGGACATCTGGATCTGTCTACTCGGCCAACTGACGGTGTGTTGTTGCACGGTTTGGTGTTCCCTGCCATGTGCGACCACAAGTGCAGGCCACAATATTCCGTTCGGAGGATTTTCTTCAGTTTGAGGCGGTCTAAACTGAACATGGCTTCATCCCTGAGAGATGCTAGATCTGAGACAAGAAGCCAACCTCATCTGCGTCCTTCCATTTATCTCAATCTCATCAGTTGTCGCTTCACAACTGGCTAAACCCGTTACTTAGATTTGGCACCGCCTTCCGAAGCGTCCTCTGCTGGATCATTAAGTTCCGCGAGGTTGTAGCGCTTAAGTTTGTCAAAGTCAGAGCCTACGACGCTCATCCCGCAGATATTCTACCACTCATCAGTGCCTGCCAGGACGAAACACGCGCTTGATTGCAAGCCAAACTAATCTGAATCGCATGTGAAGTTTCATACCTGGTAAATCTCCACGAGAATAAGTAAGTCATAACTCTTCAAGTCGACTTTGTGACCAGGTCCTACAGCAACTGCCACCCTCTTGATGACATTGTCTCTTGTGAATTCCTTGTTGTTCCGAATCGATGTTCGGATAGCAAACTGTCCCACGAGAGGAAATCGTTAGCGAACAACTTTGGTTTCAGCCATCCGACATGCATGATCTGACGACACCTGACCGAGCAGAAAAACAACTCTCACCTTCCTGCCCACCTGGTCTGGACCATGAAAGTGTGGCGCGAGAACTTGTTGCGCGACGTCGTCAAGGCCTTTCTCGCTCGCTCTATCGATTGCTGTGATTGGCGTAAGTCTCTTCACGAAGCGACAACGCGTCTGCTCAACGCCATCTGCAGCATCATGACAGATACTTCGAACGAAGGAAACAGGCTCCACTGGATGGCGAGTTTTGAAGAACATCACTGGTAAAGTGAGTTTGATTGAACAGTTCATCTGCAGTGGCTGTCTGACTTACAGCACTGTGTGCTCATTTTGACGGATGTGAATAGAGGATCGGCACTGGGCTTGCGTATACAATCAAGTTCTTTTTTTATTTCGGCCTCAATGTCCCCTTCGTCCTCATCGGTATCCCCATTCTCAGCTGCTTTGCCTGCCTGGCTGTCACCATAAAGCTTGGAAGCGTACTGTCATCATGTCAATTGATCCAGAAAAGGAACATCGATAACCAATGCCGACAGGGTACTTGCCTCCTGGAAGAGGTCCCGCAAATCGGCGACGGACTTGGCCTCTTTGTTCATCGCGCATGTTGCCCAAATGCCCACATCACCCGGCTGAATCCCGCGAGCGTCGGCGGCCTCTTTTCGCGGCATTGTCCACTGCTTTTTGCCCTACGAGTTTTATTTAGCACTGCAGAGTTCATTGGAGCTGCAGGGCGAGAAAGAATATCCGGCCAAGGCCAGCTCTCCGAGTCATATCGACAGTTGCACGAGAATAAAAGACTTACTTTCACCCGCTTACTCCGGGCGTCATGACGTGGTTCTGGATCCGCCTTCCGTTTCTTCGGGGATGTATCCATGATGCAGTTGAGAGTTTGAGGAAGTATTGATGCAAATGTGGATCGCGGAAGGGGCAACAATTGACTCTAGCGCACTAGTCTATTCTTGGCCGTTAGCGCCTTCTTCTCAGGACATCAAGAGGTGTGCTGCCACCACAGCTTTTTGACACGAACTTTTTCGATCGTTGTGCAACAGTCTTTCCCACCCGGCGTATTTGAGGCGCGCCTCGATTCCATTACTCTGGGTCTGTACGACGCTCCAGGCATCCCGGACTCCTTTTCTCGTCCGCATGCGACAGGCTGAAAGTTTGACAGCGCATTTCTTCTCGTGGGCGTTGTTCTGCAGCATGCGCAAGACCCTGAATGTCTCTGTAGTCAAGAGATCTCTGTAATTCTGCAGCTATAGAACTCTATATCATTCTTGTTTCCACGCTAGCTAGATGTGCCTAGACCTCGAAAAGGGTCAACGAATATTAAGGCGAGGCTGGCATTATTCTATCAATGGATTACTGATCAGTGCAACTGATGGCTCTAACGCGTACGTGGAAGGCTTTCCAGATAAATGTCTAGATCTTTACCTCCTGTACTCAGCAAAGCCACTCGACTGCCCCGAAATCAACCACGTGACCATCGCTCTTTTCAAGATTCCAAGGTTTCCAAGAGAGACTCGGAATTCTGTTACTTCTAATGCACTAAGATGCCAATCCATATGCTCAAATATCTAAGTATGGAAGGGGCGCTTCCTGGGGCTTAGGTGTTCTTCACTTGTTGCATCACAAATCTGTGGACACTATACCAAGCATTTCGCCATGGACAGGGCTACAATAACCCCAAAGCAAAGCTATCTTTTATCCCCATAATAGCAACAATGGCCCTTATATCCACTGTTTCGGTACCCACATGATTCGATTATTATATTTTCTGTTCAGAAATTTTGGGGATATTTAGTCTGGCATCGCCACACCTTCAAGGAGATGGCACTTTGTATCTACCACTTAGCCTTGAAATCTGCACTCGTCACGACTTGTCACTCAACCCACATTCTAGAACTGCTCAGGCCCTTCTGATTTTGAATTCTCATTACTTCCAATACCCACCACCCAATCTTCACTGGGCGGATAGTTTCAGGCACATTCTCCGCCTGCAAGAGCAATGCCCCCACAAACTGCCGGCCACAATGCCGCACCTTCGCCCTAGATTGAATTCCCTACCCCTCTGCGCGGAAAACTCTTGAAGGTTCTGCCAACACCGCCCTAGGCACCCCCATCCATACATGATAATTGTCACCGGTGGAAACAATGGCTCTCGAGCCCCTATGCTTTACACAATCGATCGTTGCAGTCTTTGCAACATATGGCTAGTATGTTAGCACTGGATATTGGACGGTTTCCAATTCAGAGAGGAGTCCAAGTGGCTCATGGTGGAAGAACCATCATGGGTAGAGCAGAAGTTCATGCGTATAGAAAGCCTTGAAGTGTTCCCGCTGTATTTCCTAACACTGTGTTCTAATATAGACTTCTGAGCCGAAAACAAAGCTCTGGAGTTTGGGGAAGAGATGATATGTACCCTACTCGAGATAAACGTCCAGTAACTGGAAAATTTTTAAGGGACAATACTTTGGTCCTCTCCCACTGGGCTGTTAACGCTGAAACTAGCAGGATATGGTATTTATCATCAGTCTCTCGTCTAGTGAGCAGTTGAATAGAAAGACACGAGGTAGTGCAATTAATGAAAACGACGCTCATCATCGCGATTGATTTCGTAGGCGGGGAACTAGAAGAAGAAGGTAGCTAAGAGAGCCTAACTGTTATTACCCTTATGCCAGGACTTAGTTTGTCTGATAAATGATCCAATATAGATACTAATGCTCCAAAGAGATAGAGAAAAGGGGTACGAAAATCTCCGATGTAAAACATGATCTACATCGTCGACCGTGAGACCACGATCAGCTTCAAATTAAAATGCTGCAGCCGAAAAAGAAGATGTACTGCTTCTTTCGCAACATATGCAGGGGTCCAACTTATCTCTCAGGTTGGGCAATGACTACAGCGAGCTTACTTCACTTCAGCATAATCAACCCTCCCCACTGACCAGCCTGACAGGCATTTCCCTTTTGATTGATAACATATCAGGTATTCGATGGGATAAAGACACGTTAGATCACCTCGTCATCCCCACAAACTCGCTCGCTGTCGTCTAGGCACTTGTTCGTAGATGTGCAGAAATATTCCAGAGCTTGCCCTTCTAAAGGGAGAATGAGCCTGGTAGGAAGTCCGAATTTGTTTCCGGAGAGCGACTGGTTATTCTTCTCCATTAATGCCTAGGAAGTAGTAAAACGTTGACTACATGGAAGATCCCTTCAGCAGTGGAAATAATTGTGCTAAGCTAACGAAGAATAGCTAGTAACGGAACGTTGCAAGAACAGCTTACTTGCGCTAATCGCGCACTTTCAGTCTGGCAGAGCACGTGAAATTACCGCTATATAGCGTTACATCTCGAGATCTAGGGACTACCGCCGGTACGGAGCTTGTGCTGAAGGATATTTTCGAGATAACAGGGAGATGGAATTGCAGTAAGCTGGTAAGATATTGCCAATATGTGGCAGACCGCTAGTATACTTAGCTTTACTCCTCAATGAAGCAGATAAGCTTCTCCAGGAACGGCAATTTTCCGATATTGAACAACACATACTTCTCTACGGTAGGATTCACTAGCCATATCTAACTTTGAATATGCCTGCTGATCCACAATCCAATATCCCGCCAAGCTCTTGGATATTTCAATGAAATTCTACTGCTTACGAGTAATAGGGTCGGGACAATCAACGCCTTTCAATCGCGGATCTAGCTCGCGTTGCATCACCCTCCTCTCGACGAACCATTTCGTCTCAGATTCTGGGAGAACTTTCTCGAAATAGTCTAAGAAGATAGCCTTTGCCCAAATCAAGGGCGGCCTAAAGACCTTGCGAACACAAGGTCAACCGCCGTCAAATTCGTAATGTGGCAGTCACGGAGCACAAATTAGTGCTTGATAATGACGAGGAGTTGGGATTGGAACATATAAAGCAGGCAGTTGTACCAGAGCAAGATTTTGAGAACTATTTGAGGAAGCTGCATGGCCATAGTAATGAGGACTGGGCTCAGCAGGAGGGGCTCGTTTCCATTGCCAGCTCCAAAATCGCTGCGACCTCTTTTTTTTATTTATCAAAGTGAGGATAGAGTCATATGTGCTCTACTCGTAAGCATGTCCTCAGCTGTTACTTATCATACGCTCCTTGTTACTTCGCTGTCTTGGAGCGAATAGCGCTTCCATATCTTAGATTCTTTTAAGTCTCAAAATATTTCGCTACAGATTCTACACACCGTCAGTATTTCCCCCATTCTCCCTATCAGTAACACCTTCCGTACTTCTCGAAGCACTCCTCATCCCCGCAAGCTCATACATAACTACTGCTCTACAGCAAACTGTCGACAACAAATACCTCAAAAACACCCACAAACTATCTCTTGAAGGAATGAACAAAGTACTAGCAAAAATAACAGTGCCGTAGATATAATGCGCTATTGTAAAAACTGCTGTCCACTACGAAATAAACAAAAACTAATACGTCTCATCTCTCGTTCGGACAACAACAGGAGACTGATGTGCAGAAGGTGTAAACTCCCTACCAACCCACCGCATCAAAACATTTGTCATCGTCTGTTTTGGTCGCGGCAATGGCCCAGAGTCAATATAATTCCCAGCGCGAAGCGATATGACACCTATTCCGTGAATCGGGCCAGGAAGAATGCTCCAGAAAATCGGATGCCAGAAGACATCGCTAGAGAAAGAAGCGGCGGTCGACAAGCCGAATATCCAGCTTGTTTCTATGATATTCACGATTGCTGCAAGTGCGATGATGAACTCCGCGATTGTTACTAAGGCTCTTCCCACACTGGAAAATGATGGTCCGTATAACTTTCCCTTGCGATGGGTTAATCGACTTGATATATCAGGGTACACGAATGTCCGCAAGGGCGTCACAGCGGGTGATCCCAGTGCAAGGAAGAACGCCAGCACCGGCCTCCGTGTGGAGAGTAGAGCCGTGTCAACGAGTTCCGAGCCGGCCAGTGTGTCCAACCGTTAGTTACGGAGCCTTTTGGAGGTTGTATAGTACAGTTACGGAAGAGTCGGCTGTTACTAACTAACTGTACGGAGGAGATGACGTTGGTGTACGGTTTGGATACAGTAACTGAAGTATTATGAAGTAATTGCGCTGAAGCTAAAGACTATACCTAATTAGGAAGTTATAATACCCCTTGTAAGATCTACAGTTATTAATCTCACTAGTAACAGCAATGTTATGTAACTAATTCCTCTATTATTAACGCTAGTAGTTAATTCCTCCCTATTGTAATAGTCTTCTTAGCCTGTGAGAAGCACCGCTTGCACTTACATAAGGTTGCTGGGATTAATAGGAAATTAAGGGCAATATTAATCTTAAAGGCAATTCTGACGTTATAGCGGGCATTATTTAGGTGCTCCTTAGCCTGGGTATCTTGCATATGCTTTGAAGGAGTTGCTTCACGCGAGGACGGCCTAGATGGGCCAGGTAAGGTCATGCGGGCCTTCTCTAAGCGTCGGGATGAGGCAGCATGATATATCTGGGTGGCAGAACGGCTGGATGAGGCATGTGAGGATGAGGCTTGTGAGGATGAGGCCCGCAAGGATGGGGCCTGTAAGGTGGTAACACGCTGAGATGACCGCGTTATTAATTAGGATAGGAATTGGGACATTATAATAGGCAAAAGAATAAGGTAGATGGCATAGTTGCTGAATTTGTTAGAAGATTGCTAACAAAACACGCACTAACAGCATTCTCCGCATTAATCTCCGAACACGAGCCCCCTGGCCCTTAGCAACCTGCCTTTAACAGCCTAAAACTACTAAAAATCCTATATACTACTGTAAACGGTTAGTACAGCAGCCTCATGTATAGTACAGTATACTGAGTAGATGCCCTGTACGTACGTACGTGACCAAAATCGGTGTACTGCAGTACTGTACTATTAGGTGTACTAACGGTTGGACACACTGGAGCCGGCGACTGCTAAGATCGTAGGCATAAGGCCAAGTAGGACGCTCGCGGCTGCCATGTCGGCTTTGGTGACTTCTGGAAGGGCCTCAAGAATACAGCTGATAACAGGACCTGTGAAGGCTGCATTTGTCGGGCTGCCCCCTGAGACTCCGACTTTAGACCAGTCCGAGTTTGGTGACTGCGTGTGGAGGAAGTTGTTGTATTCCTCTGAGCAGTTGTTGCGTAGTGCGGCTTCAAGAAGGAGCCCGTAGAAGGGATACCAATGTTTGAATCTATTGGGAACGGCGCCCGTAAAAGGAAGGAAGGATAAGAGGAGACATGGTAAGAGAATACTTTTGAGGACCATGACGCTGCTAGATGTCACAGTGTTGCGGTATTCTGGTCGATGAGTGTGAGAAGGAAAGGAATCCAGCCTTGATGAGATTTAAACGGAAAGTGACAAACAGGGCTGAGGTTTGCATTTGTTTCGCAATCCTTGTTGGTGAAGATCTGTATTCAAAGAGGAATGGTAGTTAGGGGCGGAAACGGAACCGTGAGCCTGATCCTCCACACATTACTTTCGTTAGGCGCGCGTTTAAAAGGCGCTATCAGAACCTCGCATTGCAGTGCTCCAAGGCTATATAAAGATAAAAATAGATTAGAGGAACCCTGTCACTCTCTATCATCTTCCCTTTCTACTCTCCTCTCCTCCTTCCTCGGCGCCCTCCCCTCCTGCTTTCTCCACATCTCCGCCAACTCCGCCGCTTCCGTCGCCTCCTCAATCCCCTTATCCTCCCTGACCTTCAAAAACCTCGGGAACCTAGTACTCAACCCCCTCTCCTCACTCACTAGCCCAATCGCCGCTGTATATGTCGGACTAAGCGTGATGTCCGCAAACGCTACTTCCCAAACCTCCTGCGGTTCGAACCAGACATCTGGCCAACCACCTCCGCCATTGTATTCCACATAGGTGGGCTTAGTTTGTAGCACGTTTGCGTTCTCGGGGTCATCTTTGTCGTATTTGGCGCGGTTGGCGGCGTAAAATTTGTCAGTGAAGCCGGACATACATTTTGTGACGGCTTCTAGGGTCCCAGATTCGGCGTTACGGACGGCGAGGAGGATAGGGGACCACCATTTTGCTTTGCGGCCGTTGCCGTGAAACCCGCCGATCGGGATTAGGTCGAGCGTGTCAGCGGATGTGTTATAATCCTTTTTAACTTTGAGCCATGAGTCGAGGCGTTTGTCGGGTTCGTAGGTTGCAAGGAGGGCTTTGCGGCGGGAGGGCTTGGAAACATCTTTCTCGGCCTCTGTTGAGGGGGTTTTGGACTTGGAATTAGAGTTCTCACCTTTTTTCTTCGGGGTCATGGGTTCCGTGGGCTGCGTGTCTTCTGCTGCGTCAAGTTGAGCTTCGAGCTCGGGATTGGGCAGGTTGTCGAGGACTTTGACCATAATGCCTTCGCACTTGATCTCTGTTGCGCTTTTGAAGAATAATTGAACAGCTTCGACGTCGACAGAAGTCGCGTCCATGCTCTTAACCCAAGTAAAGTGGTTTGGTATTTCGACAAAGAGGTTCCTTAAAAGTTCTCTTCTTTCCCTAAATGGCCGATCTAGCAGTTCTTCACCGTTGAGGTACATGAGATCAAACGTGAAAAGACAAACGTCGATCTTTACACTCCCAATGACTACGTCCTTGCGGGCTCGGTTGGCAAGCGTTTGGAAAGTCTTGAGTTCCCCGGATTCGCGATCGATAGCGACAACTTCCCCTTCGAGGATGAAGCTAGAAACTCCCTCTCCTCGGAATTTCGGGACAAGAGAGACGAGATCGGGGTACTTATCTGTCATGACTTCTAGGTGGCGGGAAAAGATGGTGACTATTCCCTTTTCATCGCAGTGAACTTGCGCTCTCTGGCCGTCATATTTGAATTCGCAGCTGAAGTCTCTTCCTTGTAGTTTCGTGATCATTTCTCCTAAATCTCGGGTAATGCTACCAAGCATTGGCCGAAGTGGGATATGCAAAGCTAGTCCACAGCGTAGAAGCAATTCCTCGCAGACACCAATGTCGAGCAGCGTAGGTATCAGGTCATTATAATTTGGCCGCCGGGCAAAGCAAGCTTTGACAATTTCTTCGTTCTTTGAGTAAAGCTCTGCCAGGTCTTCCTTCTTTAGCTCAGAGAGGGATTTTTTATCTCGTATCTCGAACGCCGCATTTGGTGGCCTGGAAAGCAGGAAGGCGCGTGAAAGGGCGATGAGCATCGTAGTCTTCACAGCCCCGATGCGAAGATGCTGTACGAGAGTTCTCACAATATACCGACTTTCCTCGGCACCTCTGGCATCCTGAACAAGCCGCTCCACTATTCTCTGCTTCGCCTCGACACTGCCGTGGCCCTTGCTGTTCGCAATCTTGATCAACGAATTGAACACACTCTTGATTGTCAAAGGCTTGGGCTTCCGGAGAGTGAACGATTGCTTCTTCTTCGCTTCAAATGCCACATCCCCTGGATCTCCATACTTGTTGTATAATTTCTTCAATCCTAAATTATCCAGTCCGCAAACCTTCTTCAGCGCCTTCGATATCGCCGAGCCACCAAGACCCAGTTCGAGATCGATATAAGGGGGAGCGATAGAGTTTGTCGCCAGCCAGACCGCAGGTAGCAAGCTCTCCGGGTCGCCTTCAATTATCGTCCGTAACAGGTTTACCAATGTATCCACAATCTTTATCCTGCTCTGTGTGCCGTTGACTAAGACGAAGCATCGCGTCAACAAGGCATAGGTGGCATTGCCTCCTTCTGACGCCCAATGCTTTTGCAGATCTGGTATATGCTGTGATGGATCAAACTTGAGGGAACTCTGGTCGAAAGGGACGTTGGCGGATATGGTGTCTTCCTCTGCGGTGGTAGATTGGAGGGAAAGCGTATTATTCTGCTTCGGTGGTGCGAGATTGGAGGCCAAATTGGGGGCTGATTGGGGGTCTAGTTCATTAGAAATCCTATTGGCTGTATCTTCAGGCCGAATTTCCAGAGTGCCAGTCGTCACAGGCTTTCCAGGGTCTTCGTAAAGATCATTGGAGTGTTCAGCAGTCCTAATCCTATCCTCCTGATTCCACTCTTCTTGCAGCTTTCTTGCAAGCTCTTCATCGGTCAGTGGAGACCCATCTAATTCCCTCGGCCCTGGCGCATCCTTCATAGGCTCTTTCGAAGCTTTTGGAGCTGTGACAACCTTTGCAGCCTCTTTCTGCTTCGCGAAGAAGTAATCTAGACCGCGAACCGGCTGCTCCGAATCATTGTAATCGTTCTTCTTTCGGCGCTTCGCGGGGCTGCTCATAATGACTGTAGGAAGGGATTTAGTGCAGCTACCGTGAATCGTCCATAGTTTTTCAGAAGGCGAGTCTTGCAGGCGTCGCGAGTTAAGACGAGACCTTGGGGTGTATGTCATCATTCACCCGCTTGGACCACACCTTATTTCGCCGCTTCACGTGCTCACGCGCTAGCCCTCTCAACAACGTTGCTCCACCTGTTGGGGTTCTATCTCCATGTCCTCACGTACAGCGTTAAAAGGCAACATTTCGCACGAGGGGTAATCTCGGTAGGGCTTGTTTCGTTTGTGACGATACCAATGACTTCTCTACAAACATACGAAACCACGTCCACGTCCATCGCGAAGCCAAGACGTGTCGCACAGGTATAGATATCTGATATTCTTCTATCTCAACACAGCCATCTATGTCCCTTACTTCACTTATTAGCGATCGAGACTAAATACATAGTTTTTATTGTTCAGCGCATTCAGGCCATCTTCTAAACAGACCGCAGAACCTGTTCCACCTTCCCAACATCCCTCGACCTTACATTATCTGGATCATACTCCGGGGTACCCTCAATCTCCCCAGCCAACTGCTCAAGCGTCTTCCTCTTCGTCTCGGGAATCAGCAAGGTCGTAAACAGCCCCGCAAACATGAACACAGAGTAAATCTGCATAACATGATTTAACCAAGGCGACGCAGTCGACCCAGGAGGCGCCCCGCGCGTACGCAGGGGACCGATCAGCACTTGCGCGATAATCGATCCGACTTTCCCGGAAGCAGCTGAGATGCCATGGGCGGTGCTGCGGTAGCGGGTTGGGAAGCACTCGCCTGGCACGATGAAGGTGGTGGCGTTGGGGCCGAAGTTGAAGAAGAATTGCGCGAGGACGTAGAGAGCGAGGAGAGCTTGCCCGCTGAGATGATGATATGCAAAGCCGATGACGCAGAAAATAATGGTGAGGATGCCGAAGCCGGCAAGTTGAATGGGTTTGCGGCCGATGGTGTCGACGGTCGCAACGGTGAACCAATATCCAGGGATGGCACCAGCGCACGTGATAATCAGGTTACCGACAGCTTGGTTGTAGAAGATCTTGTATACATTTTCGCCCTTTGCGTAACCAATCTGGGTCAGGATTATCGAGTTGTTGAGGCCGAGGCCTGGTTCAGTTAGTCAATGGCCCTTTGGAAAGCAATGTCAGTTTAAGCAATACGTACCATAGAAGGCGACATCGAGCAGGAACCATGAGCCGGCAGTTCCAATCAAGACCTTTCCGTTCTTCCATCTGCAAACCCACGAGAAGAAATCAGACCACGAAGCCTTTGGGATCTCAAGCTGGTGTTCATCATTCTCCTTAGCACGAACGCGAGTTATCTCATCAGGGTGACCCTTATGGGCGCCAGTTCTAAATGCCCTGACATCAGAGCTAGCCTGAACAACGTCGCGGTCGACATCGAAGGTATAACGAGGGGTTTCTGGGATCGTGAGGCGGTAATAGAGAGCAATGCAGCCCGGAACGGCACCGAAGCCAACAACAACACGCCACATCTTATCGACAGCCAAGCCGCAAACACCATCGCACTTGTCGACCGACTTGGCCGTCATCAGAGACTCCTTGAAACCGGCAGTGACCACGAGAGCAACCATAGCTGCAGCGAACTGTCCGATGCCTTGCATAGCAAAGACGGATCCCATCATAGCACCTCTCCATTTTGTTGTCGCGAATTCGGACGTAATAATGGAGGATAGGGGGTAGTCGCCGCCGATTCCTTCAAGCTTGTTAGCCATGCGTTGACAGAAAGTCTTGTGCTAACTTGCCAATTCCCATGAGAACACGCCAGAAGACGATAACACCAACGATAGAGGCAGCAGGAGAGTTAGCGGAAAGGGCTTGAGCGACAGTTGCGAAGATGATCAAGATGAGTTCAAGACCATACATCTTCTTTCGACCGACGATGTCAGCCAGGATACCTAGTAGATGTTAATTAACATTCACAAGACATGGGGAAATACATACCGAAGCCAACTTGCCCAATGACCGTGCCAGTCGAAGTAGAAACCTTGATAGCCGTATCTGCTTTCGTAGGAATCTTTCCAGGAGACGAATGCGCATTGTGCCAGAAGACAACTCCAAGCATAGAAGTAACCATGTTCACAGCAAATAAATCGTAGGCATCTTCCACGATTGTCAGATCCAGAGTCTAAATTCCCATGCAACGCTCAGACACACCTGTGAAGAAACCAATACCAGCGACCACGATGGCACGGACATGATACCATCCAAACGGTGCCTTGTCGATTTCGGCCAGAGCAAGACGTCGACGCTCATTTGGGTCTGCAATGTGTGCGTAGTCGTTGTGGAAGTTGTGGAAGGCTGCATTGCCTCCAGCCGTCCTATCCACTGCTTAGTATACTAAGCCTACATCCAATTCAAGACGTCATACATACTTGTGGACGATCTGAGACATGGTGATTCGTTTCACTTGAATGAATGCAAATTAGAAGAGCAGAATAAAGAGTGAACCTGTTCCTCCCAAAGGAGCACAGAAAAGAAAGGAGGAGAGTTTCACGCGCGGATTGTGAAGGGTTTATCAATACCCCCCTCAGCTCACTACCATGCACGCGCGAGGTTGCCTTTTACAAAAGAGGCTCAAATTCCGCAAGCTGTATCCGCACTTAAGCATTTGCGCTGTGGAAGGGCGTTCTTGTGATGCAACCACGCCACCTCTCTGCTTCCAAAGCCGCCTTCTCTCGTACTTCTCTTGGGGTGGACCCTGCAGCGACATGTCGGCCTCTTGTCGTTCGCTAGAGAGATGGAGCGGGAACTCAAGATAAGTACCGGGAAAGCCTAGAATGGGAAAGTGGCTTGGAATTTCTAGAATTGGGTATCGCCTTTGTCCTCTCACACTCTGCGAGTTTGAAGCTTGATACTTGACTTCGGGAGACGGAAACGAAGCGATGTCGCCGAAATCAACCAATCAAAATACATGAATCGGGGGCGTGCCCAAACGACGGGTGAAGAGCACTCTGTCAGACGGGAGCGGAACACCACGGTGTGGCGTTTTGGCTGGATCAAGCACGCAAAGAGACAAAAGACAGCCCGGATGGCGTTTTAAAGTACATGCAAGCACTCGCAGAAGGTTTCTGGAAAAACACGGCGTTGGGCAATCGCGATTCGACATCTCTTGAAAGCATGCATCCTTCGATTAGGAACAGGCAAGACAGCACACGACACTCGCTGCTGCACACCTGTGATTGGACCACTGCAACAGAGGAAGTGGTCTTGTTATCAGAGGGACACATCTAGCAACATCTCACGCGAGCACAGCGTACGTCGTGGAATGAGGTATTGAACACTGTAAAGATACGACGATAAGCAAATAGCTCCGTTTAACTGCCGAGATGACCGTTGGGAGTGGGGTGTAGTCGCTAGATGATGCCGTGTAATGCGCCGAAAACGAGCACATAATAGTTGCCATCAATGGATTGTATTCCAACTCTTAGTCTCGTCCACTCTCATGTAAAGTTGGCGGCTCTAAGGTCAGTTTATCGACTAGATCGTGTTTGATGTGAGTTTTCCCTGGGAATTAGATCCGCTGAGGAAGAGAGATGTGTCAAGTTTAGGTAGAAGGATCTTCAGATTTCGCCTTTGGTTTCAGGAGAGCTTCAGGCGCAAAAGGGTTGAGGAGCTCCAGTAATATAGTCATATTTGTTGCAGATGAGCTTTAGTTGAAGATGTCAGATTCCCCAGGACGCCTTCGCACTTTCCAAGGTTGTGCCTAACATATGATCTGTGACCACAGAGCTGAGGGCACTTCCATTATGTCTTTACCCTTCACACTCTCACAATCCTCACGCTCATCGGCTAGAACGATAAAGTCCTCTTCTGCTGATCTTCGAATGAGTGCTGCTCGCACACAGTTGACTCTCTCTTCGCTCCCTCACGATGCAGCTCGGCAGAGTCGTCTACTATGGTCGCAGCGGTAAGTAGCGTCAGTAGCTTGGCAAAATGGATGAGCTCATCGTGTTGCTTCAGTCTCTGTTCCTCATTATAGCTGATGGGTTGGCTGGCTAACCTTCGTTTTCGACCCTAGGATAGAGTGAGTACTACTTACCCCTGCGACAATAATAGATATGTAGTTTTATCTACTTCTAATTCGCTCCTCCCGATGAATCCGCCAGATGTGTCAACGCAACAACAAAGGATAAACATCATTCTTGGCTTATCACATGCTTCGAGATGCAAGACATCACACAATCCGAAAAGGCTGCAATTGTGTAGCGAATATCACCGCCACAAGTTTGCATCACAACGAAAGCTCAAATACTCGGCAAAGCACTTATCCGCATTCGAACGGATGCTAAGCACGTGGCTGCACTGCTTCAATCCTCGTATCACCCACGTGAGGTATCATTTCTATGTATATTCTATATATGCGTAAGTATATCGGTCTGTCGATCTTCACGACATCTTCGTTACGCGTATCGACTTCGTTGGCTCTCCAGGTCTTCCGAGTCACATTCGCTAGCTATTTTTTATCAATCTATTCCATTTTCGGTCTTTCGTTTTGTTCCACGATACCAGCAGTGAGAAGAGCATTTCGAATAGATGCTTTCTCCCAACCTCACATTTCCAAGATTTTGAGCGACTGGTCAACCCCCTTTTTTCAATGGACAATTTCGGAAGCCCAAATGACACGGGCGCTTGAGCTCACATGTTTCCCCAGCGGGCAATTGCAGGCCAAGATATTCCCTCTCATCCGATGACAGCATATGGCATCTCGCATATGCGCTGGCCCGAATCTTGTCCTCCACTAGAATATTATCTCGGCGCCTTCTCCTTGTGCGTCAACTTGACGACAACCAATCTCTGTGTTGTCAATACCCAACTAAGCGGCTTACAGGCACGGGTGTGACTTCAGCTGCCCTCGAATTGGCACACCTGGGGGACAGGTGTAATTGAAATAATTTGTCTTTCGTGGAAGGAGGCAAAAAAACGCGTGGTCCGTACTCACCGCTGCAGGCTCGGTAGCATTAGGGAGTATTATGAGGTATCATGATGAGTGTATGTGGTAGTAATGCTGCACTGGATGCTCACCGCTACGTCAACGTCCGTAGAAGCAGGTATTTGGAATTTGGGCCGAAGGAAGATATAAAAGCACACTGAAGAGGCTGGGACATCGGCTTCCACATCACCAAGTCAAATCCCTCCGCTTCCTCTCTCTTCACGTCTCTAGCGACACCCGAATAAGACTCTCTCGTTTCACAAGTCTTCTCCCCAGGACACCAACGGAAACTTTCCCCAAAGTCGAACGGCTCTCCAGCCTCGCTACCACTAAAGCCTCTATCCTTACCGTACCACACCATACCAAGCACGAAAAACCAATTACGAAACACGAACCATGAAATCCCTCGTCCTCACCACCACCATCCTCCTCTCCCTTGCCCTCGCGCACCCCCTATCCGGAAACCCGAACCCCTCTATCACCTTCAACTCAACCTGCGCCACCATTCTCGCAGCCGATCCCACTCTCGAACTCTGCGCCGAACTCAGCAACAGCACCGACTGCAGCAATCCCATCACCGTTATCACAGGTACCGATTGCATAAACATCGATGTCGCGCAACTGGGTGCTATCGACGTGAAGAAAGGCACCGTCTTCGCGGGCTATACTTATGCCAATTGCAGAGGGAATCCGGATGTGTTGGCGGGGAAGATGTGGCGAGAGGAGCAGCAGGGGTGTGAGGCGTTCTATGGAGCGAGGAGGACGATTCGGAGTTGGAGGGCTGGATAGGGGAAGATATAGAAGCCTGGAGAAGAGATTTAGTAGAGGGAGTGGGAAAGGGCATGGTGGTACAGAAACTTAACCACTCTTTTTCTAATAATGTGGGTATATCAAAGGTGCCGATATATCGGTTAGCTTGGATGTGATTTTGAAAAATTCTCCGGCTTTTGGAGAATAAACTCATGTTTCGGATATCTAAATTATTTGTACATGGTAGCTCCGCATGATTACGTGCAATGCCACAGGTTATCATTTCCCTTCAAGGTCTTCCATGGGTCTTCCATGGAAACTGTGGATTGATCAGGAAGGATTGCTCAGTAATCGCCATCTCTTAGGCAACTCGTAGTTCTAGCATACCCCAATATAAGGTGTCTTGTACCCCAGAATTTCACGATGAACCGTTCCATTTCTTATTTCGTCCGTGGAGATGACGGTCCAAGAGCGATTGTGCTTCTCCGATATGATTCCGCAAGTCGGGATCGAAGTAGAAGGCGAGGAAAACCTAGTTTTGCATCTTGTGAGCATTGATGCCCATAGGATTATGCTTCGGCTACTACATAACGACTTACTACATAGAGAGTAAGTTATCTAACCGTCTTTGATGGCTGACCGCCTCTATATCCCTGTAAGCGTTGGCCAAATGTCTCATGTTGAAGAGCGCTCGTATCGGGTCCTCACCCGTTGGAAGCAAGAGGAAAGTGGTGGTGGGGAACACTATTCGTTTATGCCTACTATCACTAGGGGAGGGCTCCCGAGGTGTCGCAGAAAGCCAAGTTTATAGCCGGGGTGGATGAAGAAGATCTTGCACAAGAAGCTTTGATCAGGCATATATTTGCGTATGTAGCCTTCTGACAACAATATTTACAAACTGACTATTTGTCTTGGAACTGGAGAGCGTGTACAGAGTCTCGGCTTGCTGACTGCTGTCATGTGTATCCTGGCCCGCAATCAGCGCCCAGATTGATTACACATGGACACATGCGACAGACCAGAGTAACAATGGTGATGTGTCGTAGCAGATACCAGCATCCTGTAATCCATTTTAGTGCTTCTCCGGCGATCAGAAATTCTCTAGCTTCAGATGGATACTTGGATATCCTTCCAATCTTCGTTTATCTCTTTCTGCACATAGGATAACATAACACTGTCCATTGGGCCGTCAGACAGAACCACCTTCACCTCCTGTATTCTGTATGACTGTGGCGGTGTTGGAAGTGACAGGTCTTGATATTCAGGAGAGCTGGAGAGGGGGAATACATCCTTCAATTCGACATCCTTGTAAAAGTCTCTTTCCTCAATTTCCATCACCTTTCGCGCAACACGCGCAGCTATTTTCGAATCCCAGATCCCTTCTCTATGGGAAGCGGATTCGAGCAATCTGATAGCTTGAAGTCTAATTCGGTGGACGCGGCATTTGAGAGCCGTATAGTAAAGGGGCGGAATCCAGCCAATATCGACAATGCTTCTGGACATGTGAAAGGCGCTCCTAGGGAGGGGCTGCTGTGCGGGAAAATCAGGCAACCTACACTCCCACATATATGCCGATTGGTTTATAAGAGAGACGAATTGTTCCGTGTAGGAGTCAAAAATGGACTCGTCATCTAAGCAGAGACAAGCATCTGTCATCATGCTTGCCATGGTGTGGTATTCGAGTAGTATCCGGCCAACAAATCCCGGACGCTCTTGGCTCTCCAGATCATCTTTGGACGCCTCGTATTTAGCGAGCCACCGCACAAGCTCCGCTTGAATCTGTTGCTGATGTTCGAGTAGGGCAGAGGGGCGCTCTATCGTTGGGTTATTAGAAACTCGCCGTTGGCGGCCTCGTTCGGTCAGATGAAATATTTTGTTAAGTAGCCGTTCTAATTGTTGCCAAGCTCCGTTCCTGGAGAGAAATTTGGATGTCGATGGCTCAGACCCTGAAGTGTGCAGTATTGAACACGGATGTTTATAACTGTACTTGAAGAGCTCGACCTGGACGTGTAATCTGGAAAATGCTTCAACAATCCAATCGTCGATCGAATCGCGAAAAGGCTCTAAGAAGAGGATCCCGTCGTCCAATGTGGAAGTAGTTTGTAGCTCTCTGAGGACCCTTAGTCCGTTTTGGAGGTGAGTCTCGGCAGTTCTGAAATGGCCCCGAAGAAACTCTAGACAAATGAAGACCACGCAGGTGATGAGAGCTACACGTACAGATGCTCTATCCTTGGTCAAAAAATGGGGCTCAAGATGGCGAATCGCCTTGATGTAGTGTTGCAGCATGAATTGCTCCTGTTCGTCCGGGGTGCCGTCGTTTTGACCTTGGTCATTGGCGCCGATAATGCCCCGTTTTTGAACAGAACTCAAAGTAAGGATAGCATGTAAGACTGCTGGTTCGTTTTGGCTCGCCTGGAAAAGTAGTGTATCCCAGAAGGCCAATACGAAGGCGCCTGGCAATTTTTTGGCAGTCCGATGCTTGAACCACTCAAAATATCGTTTCTCTTCTGTGCTGGTCGCGAGGATGGAGGCATATGCCGGTGGCTGAAGATTAACGCTTCTGTCTCTCGAAACTACAAAAGATTCGCGCTGACCATAAAAGTTTCCCCCACCACCCCATATTCCATAGCCATCACACACTCGACCCGTAGAGACACATCGGTAACATGCTGGTCGGCCTTCATCGCATTTTTTCTTCCGGATCCTGCCCGCCAAGTGAGCCTTTGACTGTGCTTTGTGGGATATACTGCCTGCTGGCACGAACGATGGAACTAATTCAAGACAGGCATCTGGATCCTCTTAGCGCTCTCCTCTATATCAGCAAGAGGCTCAACAGTTCAAAGCTCCCGTGTCAATGTTCCGTGGTAGGCACCAACATGCCGTAATTGCAGCGACTTACTTGCAGGTGCGGCAGCCAGACTTCACCGTAGTTCTACGAGGTTTATTGGAATGAGTATCTCCACCCATGATTAGAGCTGTGATATCTCCCCTTCCAGTTTGATGGCATAACTGGCGTGTTGCAGGTTTCGCTTTGCCGAGGTAGTTAGAACGGGACGGGTTAATCTTTATCCACGGCGTTGCTGGATAACCGGAGCCCGCATCTTCTGGCTTCTGGGGAGGCTCCCGAGTCAGATCATAAGCACTCTAGTATTGCCATTGTACGCTCGCATTGCGGATGAGAGTGATCAGATGTTGCTGTGCTTGATTCAGCAAAAAGGGGGGTAATCACCACTAGACCCATCGCCATTGGCTTCGAGCGGGAAGCCTACGTGTTGATTGGCCAGCCGCCCGCAGAGGATCAAACATCAACGCGATCGGAAGAGAACTGCACCGGAGCACTGAACATCTCTCAAGACACTTCTCAATATCGCTTTCCAGCTCAGACATTATTACGAGGCTTAGCCGAAGCCACTCGATCCGTCTGCGATTGGCTTTGAGCGGGAAGTCTATGTGTTTATTGGCTACTGCAGCCGGGGTCAAACGAGGAAGAGGTTGCGGTATCTTCCTCCAGCTCGCACACTGTCACGGATCTCAGCGGAAGAATCGGGCAGACTTTTTCAAAATGAGAACTGGTGCTGTTGGCGGTATGTCGGGTTCCAAGAAGATATCGCCCAGAACGACTGCTATAAATTTCATGTATCCCATCTTCTTTCCATGCAACAACTTGCCCACGAGCTTCCAACGGTGAAGCTGATACTCTATTGAGTCTACTACATACAATTTATCTTTGCTCTTGTATTACCATGCCTGTCAAATCAGTCCCCCTCCGCAAATTGGGGAAGAATGGCCCCAATATCCCAGCTTTGGGCCTTGGGTTGATGGGAATGTCCGCTGGAATTTATGGCACACCTCCTAACGATGAGGAGCGATTTAAACTCTTGGATCGCGCAGCTGAACTCGGGGAAACCTTTTGGGATACTGCAGAGTAAGACACGAATCGCAATACTCTGTATAGTGCTTACACATGGTAGCATCTATGGCGGCAACGAAGAATTGTTAGGCAAATGGTTCAAGCACTCTGGAAAGCGAGATTCCATCTTCCTTGCGACGAAGTTTGGAATTCTTATGGATGGTATGCAGTTCAAGGGGATCAACAGCTCTAGCGAGTACTGCAGGCAGCAGTGTGAGGCGAGCCTCAAGAAACTAGGCACTGATAGGATTGATCTATGTGAGTTCCTCGAATCGGTCCTTTCGGGTTACTGTCGGATGTTATATTCAATCTCAATACTAACCCTCCTCAGACTTCGCCCATCGTGTTCATCCTGAGACGCCTATTGAGGAGACGATGCGAGCACTATCTAAATTAAAAGCGTAAGTACATCACCTAAGTAATATTAAGGGAATACCATCTAACAGGCTCCAGAGAAGGCAAAATCAAACACATTGGGTTGTGCGAAGTGAGCTCGGCTACCCTTCGCCGTGCCTATAAGATCGCGCCGGTCGCTGCGGTCCAGATGGAGTACTCACCATTTGTACTTGAGATAGAGCGAGAATCTGGCACCAATCTTCTGGACACCTGCCGGGAGCTCGGAGTCGCCATCGTATGTTCCTCGCCGCTTGGACGAGGTTTGCTCACAGGAGCATTCATGAACAGGGAGTCGATCACTGGTGCGGATGATATCCGTGGAAGTTACTTCCCTTGGTTTAGCGAGGAGCATATGGACGCAAACGCTAAGCTTGTCAGCCAGTTCAAGGCCTTTGCAGACAAGAAAGGGTGCACACCGACGCAACTAGCGATCGCCTGGATTCTCAAACAAGGCGACGATTTCTTCCCGATCCCTGGAACTAAGAAGATTAGGTATCTAGAGCAAAATTGGGGTTCTCTTGATATCAATCTTAGCGATAATGAAGAAGCGGAGATTCGAAAGTTTGTCGATAGTGCTGAGGTATCAGGCTATCGATCCACACCTGGATCCCAGGCTTTCGCCTTTGTAGATACCAAGGAGGAGGCTTAGAACTGGGGATAATTCATAGTCCATCACTTGTAGCTAGCAATTGATGATATTCGCCATTCAATATGGCAATTTGCACTTACCGCGGATTGTTCGCAGAGCTAATTTGATTTGCTAGCCCTCAGGTTGAAATCCGGGAGAACGTCAATAGGATGCAAAATCCTGTACCAACATCGTCCCTGCAATATTCTATGCCAGGTGATATGATGCTATCCAGTTCTAGCTTTCTCCCGCCTCTGGCGGGAGCAGAATGGTTTCTGAGTTCTCTTCTGCTGGAGTTGACGGGTGGCAACAGCAGGATATTCTCTCATTGTGACGTTAATCGAATCGTCTGAACGGCCATATCATTCATTTTTTATCTTTGTTGAAGTAGTGACTATCTTTACATATTGGAAAATAAAAGGGACTACTGCCGTATTGTATATATTTTTCGACTCTAAAGTACTGTCACCCTTTCAGCCGCTCAAAAAGTTACATCCTTATAGCTTCTCCAATTCTCAATTGATCTCGACAATCACTAGCTCCTTTAAATCCCTTAAGCCCTACAAGCGTTGCAATTCAACTCTCTCATATTTCTAATAATTGTCTACTAAATCCTAGGAACTAAGGAAAGAGAGTTACCGAAATAAATTTTCTTGGAACCCCTTTGACGCGTAACGGTACCCGCGTTCCAAGGTTGTGAATCTTGACCAGTTATACCACAAATGCTCCTGCATAAATTTGATCCTTTCCACCACACTTCACCTCGTTCACCCATCGCCAGATTCCACACGAAGGCTGACCTCCTCTGAGCTAGCTTACCCCCACACTCTGATGCCGGGTGTTCTCGTAGCCAAGATTTTAGCGCAACCCCCAAGAGCTCATGGATGAGGCCGACAAGCTCTTCTGGTGTTACTTAGGCGGGTGTTACTACGTCGAAGGCTACTGGCTGCTTAATGGAAGGTTTCCCGGCCTTGTGCCTTACACTCTCGATTTTATCGCCCAGATAGGACAGGTTGATGTTGATGTTCGCTACCATAAGCCAGTACCCTGTCCTAGCTACGGCGGAAGCTAGGAGGGAGCTGTCACGCGAATTTTGGCACACATTCCAGCACTGGTTTCTACTGGCGATCCGCATCGTCGTGAGTGAAAATACGACACAAAAGTGGGAGAGCCTCTGCGGTAAAATCTAATAGAGATAATAGTCCGGATGTAACACACTAATATCAATGCGTCCGTGTCCGTCGTCCAATTGGATGGTGCTACCCCTGATGGGAAAGGAGTCCATGGTGACTGGCAGGGCAAGACTCGAGCGCTGCTGGCGCATTGGAGACAATCAATCAAGGCTGGACACCACGAAGCATTCCCTCGTCCCAAAGGAGTTCCGTGGACATGTAGGCGGGTACCAGCGCTCGGATTACAAATATCGTCTCCTGCACCTCCAGGAATGGCTCTGCAGCCGTTTCAAATCAAGGCACTCGAACGGTATCACTTTGGCGGGCGGTACGAACCCTTCTCCCGTCCAGATCCCGCGTGCGAGGCTCGACTTGAGCATTAGGTAGAGTGTACGTTGCATACGATTGACAGCACACACAACTCTTGAGGACTAGCTCTCGAGTACAAGGCATAGTCCTTCCCCGGTGAAGTGAAGGCTGCAGTGGGCCAGCACGAGAAGACTTTGAGCCACATATAGCATGACCTCAGCAAGGCGTATTAGAGCTGTTTGATTACCAGAATAGGGGGAGGGGGGAGGGTGGGGGGGTTGAGAAACGGGACTGCAGGGCAGGCGTTCCTCTATCGACTCGAGCACGATCCTTTGTACGCGCACGGGAACCCGGCCATGGGTGTTCGGCGCGGATTCAACTCGAAATGGAGATGGATCCGACATATGTGTATTGATGTGGGGTGGAATAAATTGAATGGATGAATGGTTCCAGCTGGGATAGTTTGAATAGGTCCGGTAAAAGAAGGCTCAGAAAAGTATTCTAGTTCTGAAAAGATGCAGAATTACCCATCTTTGGAGGGCAAGACATTTCTCAAAGCAGTATTCTGTGGTGAAGTTAGGTTGAAAGATGCAGAAAGGCCATTACTGAAGCTCTTGTCTAAATCATTGGGTTAGCTAAAACAGGAAGGAGGAGGGCAATCTAGCGTACGGATGCTAAGTGATATCCTGTTGGGGCCCGGAGACTGAGAAGGCCGTGGCGAAGGGGTGTAATGAGCGGAGTCTTCTCCAGCAGCGTACTGCGGTACCCCCGTCAGCCCCATTCTGCTCTGGGATGATAGTGTCTCGGCCATGAATTAACGACTCTGCCAGCCCCAGCCCCACCCCATTAACCAAAACAGCGTAATGACCACAATGAAGATCACCTGGGTGTTGCTTATGTATAGCATGTTATCACATAACATAGAACTTGATTAGGGTGGATTTTCTCTGTTAAACCTATTGCCAAAATCAGATAAGATGCCAGGAAGACGTAAATATCTGTTCTTAAGGACCCCTATCATTTTTCACGTTAGGTGATAAAACAAAGAGGCCATTTAATTCCGTACAGGTTGAAAATATGACAGGTGCTTTGAGCGCGCTGTCCTCTGGCGGCTTCCTAAGAGTTTCGGTCATGTTGACAACGCGTAGCTATTACCCGGAACGGGTGCCGAGATTCGGCTGGGTTTTCGAGGGGAGCTGGTGATGGAGAGACAAGAGGGAGAATGGCTGCAACCTGGATCAGTGTAGTGTTGATTATTGAGGCTGAAGTGAGTATAATAGCAGTCGAACTCGGGGATTTAGGCCATGGGTAGGATGGAAGGTGGCGATAACTTTCTATGCATGGGGGCAGCGTAAGCGCGAGACTGGCACATTGACCTCGGAAGATTTTCGCTATCCTGACCCATCTCACAGCAATTTCTTGATGAGCGTAGTCAAATTTATGATGAGAGTAACGTGGAGAATAACTAGAGTAGAGTATACCTGTTGACCTTCGTGGTGGAATCAGGAAGAACGCTAACAGGATGCAGATTTCTCAAAATTAGCCCTATATGAGAAGACGACGTTACAGATCAGCACATCGATATTTCGAACAAAAAGTTGGAAATTAGTAGTAGAGGCTACAGGGTAAGTCCTTAAGATAATATTTGTCAACTCACAAATGGATATCTAGCGTAAATATGTATGTGCTGAGCGTGACCGTCCCAATAGTCTAAACCGTCTAAAACGCCCGCCCTTCCTAAAAATGATATCCATATGCCTCCCAATCGCTCTGTGCATGCATTATCAGACATCCGTCAAAGCACTCGTACCATGCGGCACAATAAATGCGCGATTTGTTTGCCCATGCAACATAATCCTTTGGTGTCCATGAAGCTTACGGTCGTGGCTCGAATCCCTCGCTGATTCCAGCCTTAACCGTGCCCCGCTATAGGGTAACGCCGGTCGTTGTGAACCCCAATGTTCGCCATGATCCTTTTCAATACCCAACCCAGCCCAACATTGCCTGACTGCCATACTTGGGGGATCCTTCTGAGACAGAAGAGAAGTCATCATGCACCTTGTCGAAAACAGCATTGGAGAGTTTAGGAAGAATTCAACAAGGAGGCGGTGCACAACGGAGTCCAGAGAGAAAAGTATCACCCGGGTTCAAGGTACATCCCTCCACGTTGATATTTGACTTCTAGAAAAATACCCACGGATCAGCCTGCAGGGTTGTCAAACCCGGCAAAAAGTCGTGGACGACGGTGCAAAAGACGTCGTGATTGGCCGGCTGTTCATCCTGCTGATCCGTGAGTAGCGTAAGCCGGACCTTCCGCACTAGGGTCTTGGCTTCGGGACTCAAGCGCCGTATGAAATCCAGAACAGGCAGATAGTTGAATCCATAGAAGTGGAAAAGATTTTCCGAATAGAGGATAGAGAGACATTCATGGTAGATGAGACGGTTCGTTCGGAGAATGTTGAGGGAGAGTTTGTCGGGGTGGGGGCGGGTCTGGCGATTCCATTTTTTGCTGATTACGGTCGAGTCGCAGTCGGTGTAGAGACGAAACTTTTTGGTGGATGAGGGGATTAGATAGCGAAAGATTTCACGCCGGATTTCGGATGGGATGCGAAGAAGTGGCGGGTAGTTGTCCAAGGCAGTAATAGTCTCCGGGATCGAGATCTGTTTTACGACTGATTCGCGCGATCGCGTTTTGATAGGTTTGCTGCTTTCCTTTGAAGATGTCCTCGGTTGAATGGGTGCGATCTAGCCCAGAATTAAAATCTGTTTCGCGATTGAGTTGCATACAAGGCTCACTTTTGACAATGTCTTGGCCGGCATGATCAACGTTGCATGGAGACGTAACTAAAGAAGAGAATAGACGAAAATAAGGTTAAACTAAAAAGGTATATGACAGGAATCGAGGTCGTTGGAGACTTTAAGATGCAGCAGAAGCGGTCACGAGGGCAGATGGCCGGCCGCGACGGAAAGCAGGTGGAGAGATGAAGAAAGACCTAGGTAGGGAGAGAAGCGCGCCACGGGTGCATAAAGGAGGGTATTTTAATGCGAAAAATGAGCAATCGGACAGAAGCGGCGTGGAAGGTGGTACAATGCATGGAAACCGGATGGAAAGGAAGCACAGTTGGAGGTCGTGAATGAGGCTGATTTGGCGTCGGGCCGGAGCAGCTTTGTTCCGAGGCGGCGGACGTGGGCCGAATTTTTGGACGCGTTTGGCGGCCTGGGGGACAGAAGCTTCTACGCTCGACATTCACCTCCATACGTACTTGTATTGCGAGTCGCTGTCTTATTCTTCGATCTCGTAACTATCAACACACGTCTTGCTCTCGGTATAGTCTGCCCACGATGTCGTTCGGCGGCCAAACACCCACCATTGTCGTGCTGCGGGAGGGTATGTTGTCTTAGCTTCTCTTTGTCTATTCTTGCAATAAAACAAGATATACTCACCATGTGCAAGGTACCGACCAGTCCCAGGGCCGTGGTCAGGTTCTTTCCAACATCAATGCCTGCCTCGCCGTACAGTCGACAATAAAAGGGACATTAGGCCCATACGGGGGCGACCTTCTCCTAGTAGATGAGAACGGCAGGCAGACAATCACTAACGACGGCGCGACCGTCATGAAGGTGCGCAAATTGTATATAACTCCACCACGCCCGCATCTGACGTTTGACAGCTACTCGACATCATCCACCCCGCAGCGCGAATCCTCACAGACATTGCCCGCTCACAAGATGCCGAAGTTGGCGACGGAACGACATCAGTCGTTGTATTGGCAGGAGAGATACTGAAGGAGATCAAAGATCACGTGGAACAGGGTGTAAGCAGCCAGACCATCATCAAAGGTCTGCGGAGAGCTTCGAATATGGCCGTAAATAAGATCATGGACATCGCTGTGGACACTGCCGAGGGCAACCAGAGGGATACGCTGCTGAAGCTTGCTGCCACTGCTATGAGTAGCAAGCTGATACACCGAAATGCAGACTTCTTCACAAAGAGTAGGCTTGTCCTTTCCCTAGATTAGTCGAGGCCTCAGAACTAACTGTATCGCTAGTGGTCGTCGACGCTGTCCTCTCCCTCGACCAAAACGACCTCAACGAGAAGCTCATTGGCGTCAAGAAAATCACCGGTGGCGCTCTCCAAGACTCCCTCTTCGTCAACGGAGTTGCATTTAAAAAGACTTTCTCCTACGCCGGTTTCGAGCAACAGCCCAAATCCATCAAGAACCCCAAGATTGTCTGCCTGAATGTGGAGCTTGAACTCAAGAGCGAGAAAGATAACGCCGAAATAAGAGTCGAGCAAGTCTCCGAATACCAAGCCATCGTGGACGCAGAGTGGCAGATCATCTTCAACAAGATGGAGGCACTATTCAAGACGGGCGCAAAAGTCGTCCTAAGCAAACTCCCCATCGGAGATCTTGCAACCCAGTATTTCGCCGACAGGGACGTCTTCTGTGCTGGCCGTGTCGCATCCGACGATCTCGAACGCGTGTGTCAAGCCACGGGCGCCAGCATCCAGTCTACCTGCTCCGACATCCAACCCAAGCACCTCGGCACTTGCGAGACCTTCGAGGAGCGACAAATCGGCGGCGAGCGCTTCAACTTCTTCGCAGGCTGTCCCGCAGCTAAGACGTGCACGCTCGTCCTGCGTGGCGGCGCAGAGCAGTTCATAGCGGAAGTCGAGCGAAGTCTTCACGACGCTATCATGATCGTCAAACGCGCCATCAAGAACCGAAGCATCGTTGCTGGGGGCGGTGCTTGCGAGATGGAAGTCTCATCGTACCTCCACGCATATGCGGATAAGAATGTCCCACATAAGCAGCAGGCTATCATCAAAGCGTTTGCCAAGGCCCTAGAAGTCATTCCCAGGCAGTTGTGCGATAACGCGGGTTTCGATGCCACGGATATCCTGAATCGGCTGAGGGTGGAGCACAAGAAGGGAAATATATGGGCGGGCGTGGATTTCTTGAACGAGGGTATTGCGAATAATATGGAGAAGTTTGTCTGGGAACCGAGTTTGGTTAAGGTGAATGCTCTGCAGGCGGCGACGGAGGCGGCATGTTTGATTTTGAGTGTTGATGAGACGATAAGTATGACTCCCTGATTTGAAGAATGGGTTTCCAAATGGATGCTAATGAGAGTTACAGAGAACCAAGAATCGCAGCAACCGCAAGCGCCGAACAGGCCGTTACCACCCGGGGCTGCGCAGAGAGCGCTCGGAAGGGGTCGTGGTAGGGGTATGCCTAGGCGGTAGAGGGTTTGGTAGATTGGTAGCTCAAGGAGAGCATGTATACCACATTATAGACATGCCGTGCTGTCATTGCACTGGTCATATGGTCTGACATAATGCGAACAAAACTCAGTCAGAACACCACCGTACCCGTAAGGTAGTACAGCCGTACCGAGTTGCTCCACCCACACTCATGCATACCTCGTCCATCCTCAACTCACATTACCCGCATCCCATTCAATCACCTCCACTCGCCCCCACTTCAAACCCCAATCCATAGCTCCTAACCCGACTCCAATAATACGCCCTATCATTCTTCAACCCGAACTCCGCCCAATCATCTGTCAATCGATTATAACTCCAATACCCCTGCCACACGAGTTTGTTATTCTTGGCTCCGCGCCCGGCTGTCCCGATTCCCAACACCATCTTGTAGAGATACTTGGGCGCCACACCGGCGGTTTCGATGTGGAGGGTTCCTTCCTTCTCTGCTTCCTCCCCACCTGCCGCCTCTCCACCTCCGGGGGCAGAGGGCGATGGTGCGGCAGGACCACTAATCCTCCACCTTCCGAGGAGTGCATCTTTCATTGGCGCACTCGGCAGATTGCCATGATTCTTATGCACATACTCTAAATGCAGCCACGGCACCACATCAGCCGGTTCTGCGGTCGTAAGCAACGAAATGCAGGTCCCGTCGCGCAGGAAGCGCAGGTAGCGGTAGTATGTTACGATATGAATGGGCGAATTCCAGGAGATAGAGGTAACGGAGGAGGCACCGGGACGTGTGTAGTTGACGGTGGAGATATAGCAGCCGTTGAAGCGGATGCGGGGGCGCAGGCGGAAGAGGGTGCGGAAGGTGGGGTAGAGGGTGGGGACTAGGAGGGTGGTTAGGGATGCTAGATCGGGTGTTGGACATTGTTCGGGGACTTCTTCAGGGTCAGAGTCAGGGATGGGGTTGGATCCGAGGATGTAGCCTCCTTCGCCGTCGTCACCAAGGGGCTTTCCGTCAATTTGGCATGCGAAGGTGTAGTGCATGGCGCCAAACCCGAACTCTTGGCCGAGGCAAATGCGCTTCCAGACGCGCTCTTCGGTCGTTACCAAGTAGGCGAGGCGTTTGCAGACGCTAGCTAAGCGGACGAAGGAGGACACATCTTGGATGGCCAGTTGGATTAAGATCTCGACGAGCATCTCCTCAGGAATGGTAGAAATTGGACATGGAGGTGGCGGGGAGAGATCCGTAGGGGCGGCTTCGCCTTGGATGGAAAGGTTGCTAAATTCATTGATCAGGGTCTGCAAGGGGGGCGGGAGGCCTTGTAGGGAGTGGTGGGCGGTATTGGGGACTGTGACGGACGCGTTTGACGGGTTGATGGCTTGTGGTTTGGACTTGTGTGACTGGTAAGAGGATGCTGGGAAGTGTTTGTTTTTGTATGTTTCGTGGACTTTGGAGTCGAGCTGTGATATCTTAGTACTCAATTAGATCCATGAACGTAGATAGATGGCGATTTACCCTAAATGCCTTTCGGTATAGGTTCACACTATCGCCCAAACTGCCCTGGCTTTCTTTCTCCACCGCTCTTTCATAGTGCTCTAGGGCAGAGCTAGGCTCTTTGGTGGAGCTCGCAGGAGAAGGACTAGTTTCATCCAGTCTTTTTCCATGCAGTTTTTTGCCAAGATCTTGGTAGGTATGGGGTTCTACTTCATCCAGCTCTTCTACGTTGTGATGACGTTGGGGAAGATGTGCCTGGGGGGCATTGCCATTCACTGCGGGAGCTTTGCTTGAAGAAGCCTGAGAAGTCTTCAGAGCAGTCGTGGGAGCTGGGGCTTTTCCCTTTGTCTTTGCCGAGACCTCCTCTCGCCATTTCTGGCGGAAAGACTCGAGCTCTGCTTCAGTGGGGTCCATTGTGGGCAGCGGAATTAACAATTTGTAAGTCCGATGTCAGTGTTCTGGTGCTTCCAAGGGAAAATGATGATGTGACGGCTGTCTAGGTCTAGTAAAAGCACATATCCACAGTCCGTGATGACTCTTAAAAAATGGGAAATTTGTTTAGGTAGCGGTGAGTTACTCACAGTTCAACGAAACGAAGCTCTAGAGTCATCACCTTGAAAGCGAGAATACGCCACTTCCTGCAGCCGCATCTGATAAGCCTAAAGCACCTCGGGAAGCAGACCGCCGACCCACGCCGATTCGCGCCAATACCCTAACTAACAAAGCGTGCGCTAAAAAGTTTCTAGTTTGAAAGCAAAAGCTTGCGCCAGGCCCGCCTCTTCCCTTGCATCATCACTCCGCTCGTCACCCACACCCACACCTCAACTCTTTCATCTGCCTCCATCGTCATCCGAATCGGACCTGGGAACATGCGCACGCCCTCTTTCTCACGCCTTTGGGATTTCTTGGATACCCCTCGTACCAATTCGAGGTAGACGGTTGTTCTCTTATTGCAGGGAACGGCGTCCGGGATGGCGACCGATAAGGCTGGGGAGATGGGCGAGATGGGGGTCAGTCTGGCGCAGAAGATGTTGTCGGCGGTGACCGGGAGCGTGTTGACGTCTCTTCTGGGTACGTTTATTCAGTCTTCATTTCTTCACGATTGAGGATTTCAGTCCAACATGGCTTTCTTGGTTGCGCATCTCCGCTTTTGGCCGGAGTCTTCTCCGCCAAATCCCCACACCGCAATTTCTCGCATAACTAACACATCGGCCCACACAGTAACTCCCCTCGATGTAGTCCGCGTCCGCCTCCAATCCCAGGCACATACACCCACAGCGTCGTCAACTCCGTCGCTTCGCACTTACACTGGGATTCCCCTCACCCAATTCCGTGACCTCCCCCCCAACCTTGGAATTTCCGCTTGCTGTAGAGAAGTCTTCTGGATCAACAACAATGCACAATACTGCGTTGCAGGACCTACTATCGCTCCTATACATCCCTCAGATGCCGCCTGTGTAGTCGAAGAGGCGGAACGACGGACGATCAATAGCACTTGGGATGGACTACGGAAGATTGCCCAGAATGAAGGTCCGAGAACGCTATGGAGGGGACTGTCGCCGACGCTGGTTATGGCCGTGCCAGCTAATGTAATTTATTTTGCGGGCTACGACTGGTTAAGGACCGCTCAGAGGTCGCCGTTTCGAAAGACAGTACCGGATGCTTATACTCCGTTGGTAGCAGGCGCGACTGCAAGGGTGCTAGCAGCCATTGCCGTGAGCCCAATCGAGATGTTTAGGACTAGAATGCAGGCCGCCCATCATACCAACACCGCTGCTGGGCACTTCCGCGAGACCATGGATGGACTGCGGGAGATGGTTGCTTCCCAAGGCGTTCGAAGTTTATGGAGGGGTCTGACCTTGACACTGTGGCGGGATGTACCGTTCTCTGCTATATACTGGTGGGGATACGAGAGCGCCCGAAATACCATTACAGACATGCGCGGACGATCAGAGGCAAAACACGATGGTTTGGAATTCCACATTGGCCGTGGCGAAGACAAGATTCGGCGACGTAGCCGCTCAAGGAGCAGGGAGAACCACACAGCGACACTTGTCGACAGCTTCATTGCCGGAGCTGCTTCAGGAGCCGTGGCCGCATTAGTCACAACTCCCTTCGATGTTGGCAAGACAAGACAGCAAGTTGTGAGGCACATGGGCGATGCCGCCGTCAAAGCCATTCGAGCGGAAGATAAATCCATGCCGCGATTCTTGTTGCACATCTTCCAAGAGCAAGGACTTCCAGGGCTATTCAAAGGATGGGCAGCAAGGTGTCTGAAAGTCGCCCCGGCTTGCGCTATCATGATCAGCAGCTACGAAGTTGGGAAGAAGATGGCAAACGACATCAACGAACGACGCGATCGACGGCATCATGATGGATAGCCTTGCAGTTGAAAGCTAAAGCCAAAGCCAAAGCCAACCTCAACTCTAGAAGTGTGCTCGACTACTACTGGTGCACACCACCCACAGTACATATTTCCAAACCGAACCTTAACGGCCGCACTGCATACCTTGTAAATTCTGCATGAATCAGCTCATCTTTTGAGGACGGAGTTTTTGGGACAAGATTCTACTCCTATTTGCATGACAGGCTTGGAATGGTGTTTTGGAGGAAACGAGCGACACTCCGGTCGTTGAATATATTGCAAAAGCGTGTAATGATATCCAAGCGCGGTTGCGCATGTAATATAGAAATTGCATCGTCATGAATCAGCTACTGTTAATTCATTCCGCCATGCAGCTGGCATCTTGTCTGAATCCTGTCGCAAGTTCGCACATTTTCGCAACATAACAATGACGTTACTGAAGACAGAGAGATGCGTCCTTTTGGTTCCCTCCTGGATTCTAAAAAGGGGGTTAACAATTGAATTCTTCCCTGCCCAGGAGGAACTAATTAACATCTGGAGAAACTTTGGTAAGAGCACGTGGCGGCGCGGGCAACTGACAACAACATCTGCGGACGCGCTCACTCACCTCCACTTTCTCCAATTCCTCATCCACCACTCAGCATCTTGCGCTCCAAACTCTCCCGATAAAGTCGCTATTCTGCACTCATCATGGATCTCGAAGACTTCGATGCCGTATTCCGCGGCTCCGAGACCGGCTACGACAAAGACACCGTCGATGAGATCTTGCAAAACCAGGGCCAGCTTGGCGGCAAGCTCTTCTTCCAGCGGCTGCTCGAACTGCTTGGGATTAAATGTAAGATAGAGTGTCATTGACTCGAAACAACTCCTCAACTAATCTACCTCTACAGGGCGAAAAGTCTACCCACCCCCAACCACAGCCGCCCTCCACGATCTGCACGCCCGCATCATCTCGGCCCCCATCTCACTACACAATAAACAATGCCTCCTCTTCTACATCCTCAAAGACCTGACCCCCTCCTACCAAGACCAAACCGAACTAGCCAGCGCCTTCGCCTCCTCTGTCCACCTCGAAAAGCGCTTCTGGACATTCCTCGAAGGCCTATGGGCGCTCGACCACCTAGAGCTCGAGACCGCAGTCGGATATCTCACACACCCATTCATCATCCCGACCTTCCCCGACGAAATAATGCTAGCTTTGTTGAACCAACGGCTCATGCCAGAAGGGGTGACGAATGCAGAGTATGTTCTTCCAATGGCGTATTACAATTGCGCGAAACCACCGTTAGTCTGTGAGGCCGCGAAAACGGAGTTTGTGCGGTATATGGCGGACCGCGATGTCACAGAAACATTCTACTGGATTCGAGGACGGCCGGACCACGAGCGGAGACAACTCCTTGAAGTCCTAGTTGAAGAGACGTTAGAGCCTCCGATCCAGCGGATTTCGAATGAGGCGTATGCGAGGGAGGATAGGGCAGAGGAGTTTGTTAGTTTGCCATTTGATGCGGTGGAGGAGGCGTGGGTGGAGGCGTTTTTGACGGAGGGGAAAGGAAGGAATTATAGAGGGGCCCAGGACACTGTGATCATGAGGAGGATGGCGACGGGGAGGTTGAGGGATGCGGTGGGAGATAGACAGGTTAAGGGGAAGAGGATTGAGCATGTTAATTGGGATGTTTTGAAGGATGGGGTTAGGAGGGGGTTGGGGCCGAGGAAGGATGAGGTGAACCCTTTCCCGACTTCGTAGGGGTGTTGGGGGTATAAGAAGTTTTAGCTTTTAGTGGAGCATAGCGATGGCGTTTGGGAAGTTTCTAGGGCTGGGTCGAGCGCATTTAGGAGCACGAGAAGGTATGTTAGAGGTCAGTACTAGTGGCCTTTACAAATAGAGTGTGGAATAGGTCTGCAATAGCTTGATCTAGCCAAAGGTAATTACACCGATATCCTAGACATAACACTAGACGGTTTCTCTCACCTTTCCTCCGAACTCCTTGGACCGTAATGAGTCGAAGTATCCTCTTCTACCTTCACCTTCCTTTCTAATTGTTTCTTCTCGGATAGAATATCGCTATCTTACTTTTCTTCGCGAAGGCCTTAGGGTACAATTGCTTAGACAGGGCTCTTCTTTTCTGGAGGACCGGCTTAAACTTGCGTACGAGCCCCTTTACTTTCTTTCTCATCCCTCAGAATTATCCTTTTACCTCATCTAGCTCACCTCATAATTGACTTCTGTTTCTCAAACTTCACTTACACCTACATCATCAACTTATTGATCTACAGCACTCAAATCAGCCCACACCACGCAGCTTGTACCTCAACTCCCAAGCTCGCCGCCTTAGTATCCTCACAAACCCACAAACTCGACAATATACCGAAATCAGGAGGCTCTACAGTAACACACCTCCTATCCACCCCCTCATTACCATCCTGAATCTCAGCACCGCTTCCCAAAAATGACAACGGAGAAACTCGAACCTAGCAATGATCTCCCGTACAGTTGGACCTCCATCCCGCCCCTCCTCAACTTCCGTACAATCCCCCAAATCCGCGACCTCATCCTCTCACCTGCCTTCCTCGACTCATGGGTTTATTTCCGCAACGAATCAGGACTAGGACCCAACGCGAACACTAAGGCCAAGCCCAGACCAATGTCCAAAGAATTCATAGATAAGTTAGCAGAACAGACATACCAAGCCATGGACTCAATGGCATTCTGCCAATTCGACCGACCAAGCAACGTCAGGACCATCGACGGAGGTGCAAGGCCCTGGACATGGATGACCTATCTCCAGTGCTGCGTCTACCAAATCTGCCGAAACCTGGCATGCCCAGGGCAACCCTTTTCCTCGGCCTTTGAGCGGAAGTGCTTGGCAGTACAAAGCGGTCGCTCGCTCGCCCTGAATCGGATTCGTGGCATCGTCATGATCCTCTGCAACCTTATTTACCGCTACACCACGCTTCCACCCAGCAATGTCATTAGAAAAATTGAGGAATTACATCCCGTAGCTGATCAAGCGAGATCCCCGATTCCAGAGATTAGAAGGAAACACGTGCTTGCGCGGATGGGGGTTGAGGAGTTGAGAAAGGCGGTGCTGGGCCAGCAGTGGAAGGGAAAGGGGATGTCAGAAAAGGAGTGGTTGGTGAGTAAGTTGGTGGAGAGGAATGCTAAAGGGACGATAAATGATCCAGTTGTGATTGACGGGGATTCTTCCGAGGTGGTGATGAAGTCGGCGGGGAAGAGGGGGAGGGAGGATGAGGTGGGTAGGGATGGGGTGAAGAAAGCGAGGTTGGCATGATTGGCTGTGTTTTGGTGGGGCTTGGATCGCGCAAAGGAGATGGTTTTCTACTCAGCGACGGTAGCAGGGGAGTTTGTCCTTGGGGGCTTTCTGATGCCATGGCTTGGGTATTGATGACCAAGGGATTTTTATATGTGGCTTAACTTTTTGGGCCGGTTCTTTGGGCTCTTGGCGCTTGGAGTTGTTGGTGTCTGTCATTCTTTCTTACGGTATGTCTTTTTCAAGAGTCTTTCCTCGAACCTTAATCTCCTTTATTATTCCTTCAAGACTCCTTATTTCCGATATTGGAACATCTGAGATGGTACGGAGATATTTGAAACCACTCCAATTTTCTACCTCACTCTTTCTTGTAAACTCTCGTAACACATAGCAGATAGCCGTTAGTTGGTCGCCATCGATTCCTCATTGGCCACACTGTCGTGATTCCATGTCGCGTAAATAGCCCGCCGGACGGTGTCTTTTAATGCGCAAGCCAATATGCATTAGAGTTTCTAGTGACGTGGCGAGCTCGGTCATATGGCGGCGAAAATGGGTTGTGTTACTCCAGATTCAGAGGGGATTTGATAACAGCAGCGAATGTTGCATATTCTAGTAAATGAAGAGATTTCCACTCCTGAAGTAGGCAGTGCCCGTTCTCTGGATGCTTGTGTATTTTGCTGTCTTCAATGGTGCACTGCATGGCGCTCCTACGACTAGTATGCCTTTAATTCCCGGAATTCAATGTCTTCAATATCCCCGGAAGAAAGCCCACCGGCGATAAGTCTACCATTGGTAGTGAATCGTATTATTTGAAGTCGAAGTTCGTTCTTGAATGTGTCGATAAGTGTGCCAGTTTTGGGATCCGAGACGATGACAGTACTGGTGAAGGAACTCCTAAATAAAATCGCCATGAAAGTGCTGTTATGTGAAAACGTTACCATCTTAAAGGCACCTCCGGAAGTGATCTTGCTAATTGTGAACTTTGTACAAAGTGTTCCTTCCCTCAAGTCCCATATTTTGAATGTACATGAATCTGGTTCAATCTCCCTTGAACGGTATTCAGCCGCCAATCGATTGTCATTGGAGAAATAAAACAAGCGAGGCTGAAATCGAAGATCGGCCGAGATTTGTATCACTTTCGTGAGTATATCCGTATTGAAAATGGGAATAATTCTAATCAATTCTCTTGTCTTTACATCCCAGGATTTAATCGTGACTGCACTGGCTACCCATATTTGCTCGCTGCTAAGGTGGAACGATTGGTCCCCGGGATCCAGGCTCCAAACAGTAGGGTGCATATCTCCTTCCAAGTCCAATATCTTGATACTCATGTCGCTCATTATTGCCAAGAGCTTTCCATCAGTAGAAAACTTAAAGAGGTTCTTGTTCGCTCTTGGTATCATAAATGTGTGGGTTAATTTTCCGGTCAGATCCCAAGTTCTTAGTCTCCCGTCGGTGCATTGAGCGGCAAGGAGATTGCTAAGAGGTGAGAATCTCATCTTTGTAACACTCGTCCCTACCCGGAGAGTTGTATGTATCCTCCCGGTGGTCAAACTCCAGATATTGATTGTTTTGTTCTTGTGGGAAGATGCCACGAAATCCCCAGTGCGCGCGACTCTAACTAATTTCAGTCTATTCCATGGGTATCTAAAGGTCCATGAAAGAAGTTCGTTCTGTGTCGACGAGACACAAGGAATTTCAGCTTGGCCTTCCGTGACAACACAAGTGTCTAAGTTGGAGACAATTGTTGGTTTTTGGTTAGCATTGCCTCGAGTAGAGGAAAAAGACGGCTGTGATTCCTTTGGAGTAATGGAGTCTATGTCTTCAGCAATGGCTGCCTTATCCTTGCTAAACTGTGCTTTAATGGCGCCTGAAAGTTTTTTGTCTTGGGTTAATTCCCGGGTAATTGTTGTCTTCTCAGTGCTCCATTCGCCAGACGGTTCAGAGAGGTCGTCCAGTGAACATCCCTCTAGACCATCCTGGATGTCTTCAAATCTGCGGGTATGTCAGTCTTCAACTAAACAAAAAAGGTGAAGTAATTTACTCGAGTGATACTGCTGACAGCGGCCTAGGAATCCCACGTGGTTCGATTTTCATCCACTCATGTTTAACGGCTTGTTGGGCGTCTAGACGATCCTCCGGTGACGCACGCATGCAGGCTTGCACGAAATCCATAGCCTCTAGGCTTGATTTGTATGCTTCCAATGATGCCAATGGAAAGGGTAGCCGGCCCTCGGTGAACTGGAAGAGGTCGTAAGAGCTCTTGAAAGTAGATCCTTTGGTAAACAATCGAAATGCAATTTCCCCGAGCGCCCACATGTCTGCAGCCGGCGAGGAAGTGCCAGATATATTTTCTCCATTTGGAGAGAAGCCATGCCATTCCGGGGGTACAAAGCCATCAGTACCTTTTCTTGTCGAAGGGCTGTTTGTATGATCTTCAGTGCGTTTGCTGATGCCAAAATCTGCTAATTTGACCCACCATTCCTGTGGCGGGTGAGAGTGGATCAGAATATTCTGCCAATATTAGAACACACTACGAGCAGATAAGCGGGTGGAAGAAGGAACATACACCTGGCTTCAAGTCTCTGTGGACAAACCCGTTTTCATGCATTGCATGCAAACCCTCTAGTATCTGAAACGTGACCTGCTGAACATCTGGCTCAGGCAAAGGTGGAGCAGCCCTCAGATAACTGTCGAGATCGCCCAAAGGAAAGTATTCCATGGCGATATACAGCTCGTCTTCAGAGTCATACCAACCGAACGATCTGACGAAACAGCGTACGTACTATAAGGGTTGCATAAGCCGAGAACTAGAGGATTATATATGAAGCTCCTCACCTTCGGGTGCGAGAACTTGGCCATAGCTTCGAGCTCACGAAAGAATTCTTTTGTTTTGTCGGGCTTCTGCAGCTGCTTGACTGCACGGAGTTCAGCCTCATGCTTTCCTTTAACACATTTCTCCAACCAAACACTCCCAAACCCGCCTCTTCCAATCAACTTCTCGCGTTTCCAGTACTCTTTTCTCTCGATAACACGCTGCCCGGACGTTGGGTCAGCTTCGCTATATATGTGCCTCGTGTAGCCCGAATGGAACTGCGTTTCAATCTTCGAGTCTTTAACGAGGTCGGGTATCCGGCACATTGTTTTATGAGCTGAAGCTTGTGTGAATTTGAAGCATTTAAGAAGCTGTTGGTGATGATGAGTTAGTTGAACAAGGCTGAAAAAGTTGAGCCAGGCAGCCATGCATCAGCCTCCCCGCCACACTTACCCCAAAGCCACCAGTTTTGTTGGGCCGGAAGAGGACAAGAGAATGAAGGCAAATGCAATACTTGCATATTAATCACGCTCATATGCAGTCATCAACGGGTATCTTCCGCACAAGTAGAAGGCCAATCTGACGTCGAGTTAGATAACTGAGCGCATTCTAGAGCCATACCTATTTAGGAAGGGTTCGTTTCGCCGAAGGCCACCTCTGCTCCGTTTGGCATTAATTACCGAAGATTCAACGTGATTGAGAAAAACAACAGTTGTCTACTAAGCACAAGAGATAGCAATAGTTAGTATTAAAGCATTGAATAATACGTGAACATTTTCCTAAAGGCTACCTAGACTGAGACGTAGATTTCCACTTAGAAACATGTGTCAAGGAAGAGAAGGAGATTATTATATCGTAAACATTCGCGTATTGGGAGAGAACACCTGCAGAAGCCATGATACCCTTCTCTACCTCGTTAAAACCCTTGTCCTCAAGATTAGGGGAAGGAGGCAGACCAACTTCGTGCTGTAGGGTCATCTGAGCCGATTGAAGGAGTACTTCTCGGATGGGCATGCCTATACTCTGTTTTTCTGGAAGGGCTAGCGTTCTATTCGGGTTCTCGCGGCCCGCCTCGTCAACCTTGCTCTCGCTAGCTAGGTTAACGAGATCGTCAGTCCTTCCTTCCATGATCCCAGGGTGAAGTACCTTGCCAGCTTGCTTTTAGCTCGTAGTGAGTTCCTGTTGGCGATGGTTCCCTTGGAGGATCCATGCTGTGACTTGTCCTTGTCGCCCGCTCCTACGGTATTGTCATTCTTATGTGACGGGGTAGGTGCCAGGTGGAGCCTCCGCCGCCGCTCGATCTGAGCTTTATTTGAGTATTGAGGTATTGTCTGGTCACAGTAGTGCCAATTCAATTCACCCCCTCAACTCAGCCCCTGTCAATCCTATGCTCTTCTCCAGAGGCAAGACTAACAACTTTCGTCTCATCGAAATGTTTCTTCTTATGTTGCATCTCTCCACCATGTTCTTGCAACATCTTCTTAATTTCATCCACGGCATATTTACCAATCACCACCCTCTTGACTGACAATCCGCGATTATTCTTGTCAGCATCATGTGCGCTGATCCAGGCTTGAGCGAACAGACTTCGGGCAATCCGCAATCCTCCAGGAGACCCTGCTGATATATTCCCTCCAAGATACCAAGGGTTTTCGACGCGGTCGAAGGAATGAATGAGAGCACTCAACGGGAGCGCTGATTCGGCAACGAGATGCGAGGAAGCATATGGACGGATAATTTCGTATGGCACGCCATGAGGAGAGTAGATGACTGACAAAGTCTTCTCACGGTCATTGTAGGGCGCTGGGACGAGAGTGCGGGGCGAAGATGCTACCGTCCGTGGGGATCCCGGAGATGCAGGAGGACTAGGCGGAAGATCTAGATAGGAGCCTGGATTTGCAGACAGCACACTACACGGTGGGCGATAGGTAATACCAAAAGCATGGTGCAGACCAGATATGTCTCTTTTAGCAGGCATCCATGTCACAGTAACTTCGCCACACGAACCACGGGGAGAGAATGGGGGAATGACTAGGCGATATATTGACTGGGAATCGCCCTCGACATATTTAGGTAAGGCATAAATAAGCTCAGGCCGGAAGTGCTTCCATGAGCGAATCTTCCGAGCGGCAGACGGAATTGCGAGGATGGTCGACTGACACTCTCGGGGGAGTTGTCGCAAGGTCTCCTCGTGGCAGTGATCCGGTTTATCTTGAGAAATCAGAATGATGTCGGGCTCCTGTTCTAGTTCTTTCAAGGATGAGATGCAGGGCTTAGTCTTCTGTTCAGAAATAGAGAATATTGTGCTGAGAATGGTGGCCGCTCCTGTGAGCCATGGATCGATGAGGATTGTGAAGGAACCTGGAAACAGACCAGGAGAGGATATGGGGGCGACAGGAGAGGAGAATGTGAGGAGGAAGGCGGTGTCCCCGTTCAGACTTCGCACTGTCAAGGACATGGCAGCTCGCGGTAGGAGCAGTCAAAGACGAGGACGAAGGCGGACATGAGGGATAAGAGGCAGATAGATCGGGGGGAGAGGAGACTGAAAACGAAAGCCCAGCCGTCATCAGGCAAGAATTGAGGGCTGCTCGAGCCCACAGGGCTGATGGCTGCGGTGTTAAGGTGCGCCACCATTGCCTCAGGGAAGCTGTACCCGGAGCTTACAGTCTTGGCCGCTTGGTTTGGGGTTGTAGAAACGAGAGTCAGGAGGAACGGGTGCAATAAAACTAATTAGCGATGCCGTCCGGCAACAGACTCATCATCACCGCCTAGCCACGTTTTCCATATTGCCCTCTGGCCCGGATTCCCTTCCCTCGAGCTCTGCTGTGTCTTCTGCATCTTTTCCCCCACAGCTCGGCCGTCGACAGTCGACTTGGATTGGGCCAATCAGCTGCCGCGACGGGGGGGGTGACAAATCGCGAGACGACTGGCCGATCGAAACATCCAAGCAGAACGGGCCAACGACGTCGGCGGCAGCAGCAGTTCCCGAGTCTCCTTTGCGCTTTCATCATGTCATGTCTGGTTCCGCGCGAAACACCAACGCAGTTGGTGTGAAGCACCCTGCGACCAGTGTCGTCCTCGCGCCGGGAAAGGGCTTGAGGGTGCTCTGAAACGCTGCGTCCATCACGCACTAGCTACGGATATGGGGCCAGCTTTTCGCTGCCTTGTCCCTGGCAGCCGACACCCTCGCCTACTAACTGCTCTGCAAGCAATTGAGGGGACACGGGGACAGGCTCTGTGTGCCCGGCGCCCATGAGCTAATTTGTAGGCCGCCCATCCACAGTAGATCCGTCGGCACTCACGGCCGCGGCTGGAGCTGTGTGCAATCAAGTTCGGCGGATTGGGGGCAGCTGGCTGGAAGGGATCGGAGCTCTCCCCTGCCCACCTGTCAGAGCTCCATCCATTCTTGCTCAGGAACCTGATGAAGACCACCACTCTGTGTCGCTGCCAGCTGAGCTGAGCGGAAGGGACTGGCCCGCAAGCCCGCTGCCCTTTCCTGAGTGGCGAGCAGTAACTGGCCTGCCAATGCGCACAGCAGCTGTGCTAGACAGGTATCTATTCGACATCTTTAGAGAATTAACGGTGGGCTCGGTGCGGGTTTCATCAGGCCAGGCGTCAAAAAGGGTATGCTCCGGGATCAAAGAGAGCTCGCGCTTCCCCCCACTTCTTTCCACATTGCCCCTCCTCATTCATTATCCGCGCCAGCACCCTTCCACAGCTTCCAGATAGCTACCACAGCTTGCTTTGTCCCCGAAGTTCCTGTTTCTCAACCGCTGCGAGGGCTGCAAGGGCTGTCAGAGCTTCCCTGTGACTGCATTTGAGCTCTATACCTGCCATTGAAGCGCCCTGCCCTGCATCGGTCGCTATTGTCGTTCTCTGCCCGCTTCGCACGGTCCCTGCCCGAGGGTAGGTAGATGCACCTTGGGATATGCCGCCGCGAGGCTCGCTCACAGGATCTTTCTCCGTGTCGGACGAGAATAATGTCGTCGTCTGCCCGCTCAGGAACCAAGATGGGAGTGCCTGTCGGAAGCGGTGCACTGGCGTGAGTCCTCCCCCTCGAGTTCCATTCCTGCTGTCGCTCTTCCCACGTCATGCAAAGGTCCGCCACGATGCACCGGAATAACACTCCTCGCTGCACAGGAAAAGCGCTATCGGTCTATGCAAGAGCACATTCGGCGTGCGCATCCTGAGTACTATATAAGCAAGCTTCCCGCGACCGAGGAAAGCTTCACGTTGATGGTCAACACACCTCCCTCCGAACGACCTCCCCCACCTCCCCCTCCAAACACCTCCGCAGGCCCACAAGGTCGGTGCCCAAGTCTCTCCAGCAATTGCAGGGGCTGACATGCAGACAAGGCTACGGAGGCGACCTCAGTGCCTTCTACAATGACGAGTATGGTTCGAGCACGCCGAGGACTTCGGACGAGATGCGCCGAGGGTCGCTTTTGCCCGCTGCGAGTGCAGCCGCTGCCCTCGCATCGCTGCACCACCACCAGCCAAACTACGACTGGGAGTCAGATCCAGTGAGAGCTTCTCGGTGTCTTTTGCTTATGTTTACTAACGCAATTGCTGTGGCAGGAGGCGGCCTCAGAGCCCGACGCGAAAACCTACAGACCCCGTGCACGCTTTGCGCCTACTACCCAGGAGCAGCACTTGACAGCCGACGAGCCATACTACACCTCTGCCTCTCTACAACGTGAGCTACTACCTTCATCCCTTGCAAGGTCCCCTCCTGGCCGCTCGTCAACGCTTCCGCCCGTCCCCCGCTCCATCAAGCCGAATCGACCTCGAAAATCATCAGTGGGCCAGAATGCTCGCAAACCAAAGCACGAGCGTACAAAGTCGAAGGAGCATGCGCGGAGGATGAGCCACGATAGAAAGGCATATTCCGCTGAACCCCAGACCGCTGCGGCACTGTATGGGAAGAGATGGGAGGATTTGATTGACGCTGCAGCTTCAGCGACAGAAGAGGATAGTCGAGATCTCACTCCAGTGCGTCTTCTTATACTTGTCCCCTGTTTAGCTTACTAACAGCGCAGGTCCCTGGCTCGCCCCACTATTCACCGCAAATATTGAACAGGGCATCACTTCCTCCCTTTGTGGCAGCACAGTTCCAATCATACACTCAGTCACCACTACAAAACACGTTGACACCTCCTCCACCTGACACATCTGATTTACAGCCGTTCCCTTCGGTCGAGTCGTCGATTGAATCAACACAGTCCGGTCAAAACTTCCACATCTCATCCCAGGGACTTTCTGATTCATCTCCTACCTACCCACATCCCGTACAGATTTACTGCGCCGCCTGTCGAAAACTATCAGTCCTAAAAGAAAGCTATGCATGTTCCGAATGCATATGCGGGTTATGTCAAGACTGTGTCGACGTTCTCGTTAGCGAGCAGACTCGAGGTCGAATAGCCCGCTGTCCGCGGTGTGGCGCCATAGGCGGCAAGTTTAAACCATTCCAGCTCGACATCAGATGAGTGCAATACATTTCGACAAGTATTTCATGTAAAAGCTTTCTTGACTTTTCGCTCCTTTGCCTAGCATTCTCGTTCATTCTTGGCGTTCTGGCTGTTTGCAACGACATGGGGCTTATGAACCCCGCGCCTTGGTAAAGATGCTTTAGATGGAATATGTTTAGTTGGATGGATGGATGGATGGAGTTTTGTGATGATTATTTGAATGAGCATAGACCACTGATATAAAACTTTCTGGCTAGGTTGGAGTTTGTTGGATGGTAAAACCATGCTGTGGATTTTTGGTCGACTTTGACTGCTCCGGCCCTTGGAGGCGGGCAGCTGTCACAGTACGGTCCTTTGAAAGATAGAGGCAGGCAGAGCCACTCAGTCCTTTGAAAGATGGAGGCAGGCGGAGCTACTCGGTCCTTTGAAAGATGGAGGCAGGCAGAGCTACTCGGTCCTTTGCCCATGGAAACTACCTAGGTAGCATACTACCACTATTGACAGTAGATATCGCGAATTGACTCAGTGGTTGCACATTCTTTGTAGCGAATTTTCCTACCCTGACTCTGGACGTAGAATTACAAGGTGTCGTGCAGCACCGAAGGTGTCCGGTATGCCAGTCTCGATCGCGCTCGGCTTTCCTTTCTGGAGCGAGTTACAAAGTTCGGATCTGGGAATTAGATGAGGGGATTTGACAAACATCCTGTCTTCTATTATTCTGTTTGGGTTCTGGTGTTTTCGTTTGTAGTGTGAGCCGTGGTTGAAGTTATGGTGCTATATGGGTTCGGCAATTCTGTGCATATCGAGACGTTTTGCACCCGTGGATGGCGATCGCCTGATCTAATATCTCGGCAACCACAACCTTCTTCGAAGGCTCGAACGCGGTTTAAGAATACAAAATCCTCATTCTAGGCTGTTTGACCCCTCGGCCCCTCACCCTAAATTTTAGAGCAAGCAGGGACAGCTGTCAATGAATGCATGACATTAACTGACATGATGCACGCCCGAGAGACGACGCCACGTCGCTTGGCATACAGGCAATGGTATCACCGATTAGGAAAGGGAGTATTGTTGGCGTTTGGCGGTGCGGATCGAGGAATGCTGGTGGGACCTCGGGAGAGGATATTGATGGAGGGGCCGGTGGGTTCTCACCGCTTGTTTTTTTTTGGTACGGTGCTTTGGGTCGGTGGGTGGTCACTCGATGTTGGGAGCGTTGGTTTTAGTGCTGGTGTTGGGCGACTAGTCTATCATTGTTTCTGGTCATGTGAGGTTGGGAACGGGCTTGAAAACTGAGGGGATTCTATTGGGGAGCTAAAGAGGGGTCTGGGTGCTAGGAAGCGATTTGCGTGGTCAAGGTTTGAGTTTGGTTTTGGGTTTTAGAAGCGAGCACGCGACGATCTGGAGTGGGAATGCGTGGTTGGCTTGGCGAATGACTCGGGCAGTTGCGGTTTATGCGGTGGTAATCGATGTGGCCTTGCGGGATTGAATTAGGTTGGGTTAGCCTGGGAGGGAGAACGAAGTGGGAGAGGTAGGTATATGTATCTCGAGTCCCTGCATATATATCCTTTCCTTTCCTTGCTACCAGGACTGTACTCTATTCTTCCCTCCACCACCGTGACTCACGTCTACAAGGATAACAACACTTCTCCCGATCATCACCACCTTTACCTTCACGACTCTCCCACTGTGGACGAAAGACTCCTCAACATGCCTCTCGGTCTAAGGAAACTCTGCACAAAACTGAAATCCAAATCGAATCCTCCCTCCCCCTCAGAACCTCCAACACCAACCTCAATATCTTCGTTTGAAGTCATCAGACGAAACACGACCGGGGGTGTACCAAAGAAGCTCCGTGAGCATAGACGAATGGATTCTTTTCTTTCAGATGATGGGGTCAGTTTGCCGGCGAGTGTGGTTTTAGGATTAGCTGCGGAGATGGACATGGAGAAGAAGGAGAAGAGGAGGTCAAAGTTTAAGGAGGAGTTTGGGGAGGCGGAGAAGGGTGTTGTAGTTGATGAGGTTGGTATCCATTACAATATGCAACACAGTGTAGCTTGACTAATATGTCTGGACAGCGGCTCTAATTCAATCCCACCATACACCAGACCCAACGAGCTCCAGGCAACATCTACGACAGCTCTACCGGCACCGGCGTCCCACTTTTCAGTGGTCCCTTAGGTGGCCCACCTGCTTTCGGTGGTGGTGGCACACCCCCTTTCGCTTTTGGCGCCCCATCCTCCTCTTTACTTTTCTGCTCACCCTCTTTGAAATAATCGTCCAGCCCACCACCCGCACTGGGACTCACATGCGCATGATGCGCTCTCTGCTTCCGTTTCGGTAGGCCATGACCTGCGGCTGTACCCGTCGGAGGCGGCGGAGACTTCGAAGGTATCGCCATATTCGCTGGAACGAAGAGTTCGGAGCTAGGTCCTACGGGAGGAGGATTGGAGGCGGAGGAAATTGGGCGTTTTTCGTCGAAGGAAGTGGACTCAGTTGCAAATAGCGTTTCACCAGGCGCATGCGGCGGTTCTTCAAGCGGCGCGGGAATGCGATGTAGCGCACCAAAGCCCAATACACAGCCCAGCGCCCCCTCACCGCCCCAGCCCCGCGATGGAGTGATAGTAATAGGGCGCGTAACATTGTACTCATGATTGTATACAAAGAGACGGAGGGGCCGGTTTAGATAGTCTTCAACTAGTTCACCTAACCCAGATTCTCCACGGACTAGGCCTTCGGGACTGCCTATTACGTAGTCGCCGTAGGGAAGAAGGCCGGCAACGTCGGCGGGAGAGTCGGGGATTACATCAAGGATGTGCCAGACATCTTCTATGATGGAGAGGGGAGTCCATTGCAGGGAGAGGCCAAGAACGGGGTTTGTGGCGGGAATTGGGAGAAAGATTTCGCGGATTTTTTGACCCTGGGGAGGCAGTTAGCTACTGAGGTAGACGATTGTGATATGAGTTTTGGTCTCCGATAGAGCATTTCGGCTGAGGTTTTAAAATGTGATATTTCAAATTTAAAAGCAGCATGTGGCTATGAATGAAGTTTCGCAAAATAGACGGACAAGCAAATATAGACAGAAAGTGAAACCCTTCGTAACTGAGGTAAAGATTTGGAAATTCGACCCTACCTTTGCGCTGAAGACGCCTAAATTAATCGTAGTCCCAGCACAGTTGCGGACCTCCGTAGCAAAAAGATTTGGATCCGGATTATCCTAACCATTCATTAACTCTCATCCTCAATTTTCATCTTCGTTCCATCAGTAGACTTAACACAACTTACAATAGTCCTCCCATTAATTCCAATGACAAAGTCAAACCAAGGGTCAAGGGGCACATCTGAATTCGTGTTCCTCAAAACCTGGAATCCAAAAGCGCCATGAATGCTGGATTGCTGTTCTTCGGCACCAGCGTCTAGCCGTGCGATGAAGCGGTTGAGAGCACCAAACATGGTAGTGATCGGGTCAAGTGGTTGTGTGTCGTTGGGATGGCTGATGACCGGGTTCCTCGAGGCCAGGTGTTGTGGCGCGCCCGCTGTTTCGGTTGGTGTGGCCATAGCTTCTGAAAAGGCGCTAGCCGGATTTGGACGCATTTTCGACGAAGATTTGAGTCCGCGAACACTTGATGGTTAGCGTGAGAGCCTATTATCCGAACCTCGCATAGTGGCTTTTCTCGACGTTCTTAATTGGCAATCAGGACGTCGTTCCCTACGTTGCATTCCGGAAGGAAGGCAGGTATTCACTAACCCGAACAGGTAAGGCGCGCTGCTCAATATTGACAAAAATCGGAGGCTGCAGTCATGCTAAAACAACCAACACCGCTTTGATGGGCGCTGGCATGTCGTGCTCATATACAAGGGCCTGACTGATCTGAGTTCATAGTAGCTGAGGAAGATTGCGAAGGGGCAATTATGGAGGCCCCACCCGAGGACGGGCCCATACATCAATGGACAAGTCAAGATGAGTTTCCGGCGAGGCTCAAGAAGTACAAAATTTTATCCTTAGCATGAATTTCTCGGCGCTAATGGAATGGTAGATACTGGTGGCAGCGACAATCGATCTGGGATCGTTACGACCAAGGAATATGGATGACTGAGGATGCATGGTTTGGTGTTACCCCAGAGCCCATTGCGAAGTAAGAAGAAGCTTGTGGGTTGACGCAGAAGCAAAGTGTGTACTAATTTTTTTTTAAAGCAAGATTGCTGCGCATGTAGCGGAGTCGGCTCCAAAAGAGAAGAACATCCTCATTGATGCCTTTGCAGGAGTTGGTGGAAATGCCATCGCGTTTGCTCGGCAGGGTCGATGGGATCAAGTATTTGCTTTCGAGAAAGACCCTGATGCTCTGAAATGTGCCAGGCATAACGCTGAGATCTATGGAGTTGACAAGAAAATTGTGTGGGTTAAAGGGGACTGCCTTTCCGAGATTTCTCGACGATTCAATGGGCAGAAAGATAATATTGTGCTGTTTGCCAGCCCTCCATGGGGCGGTAAGCAAATCTTCTACTATTTATCCAGTAGCTTCTAACAAGCACAGGTGTTGAATACGGTGACGAGGATGTCTTCGACCTTTCGAAAATGGAACCATATAGCCTTGAATTTCTCTACGAAAAATTCAACAAATACAGCTCTTCTACTATTCTCTATCTCCCGCGTAATTCAGACCTCAACCAAATTGCCAAATATGCTCCAGAAAGTAAGAAGTTAGAGGTAGCCCACTATTGCATCCGGGGCGCCAGCAAGGTATGGAAGTTCTTCCGAATCTACTGATGTTTCTGCTAATATCTCATGGTAGGCATTGTGCGTCTACTTTGGCGATTTTGATTTTGAGTCAGAATGAGCTTAGTAGGCAGATGAGAGTAGTCACTCCTAAGAACAAGATTAGGAATTAAAACTAAAGTCACAGCGCAGCCAAACCCAAATTCAGGAAGGCGCTTGGCGTGAAATGAGTACTCCGTGGCCGTAGCCATGAGACCGCATGAGTTTCGATGACTCATGTCATATTATCCTGGGAAAACTATTGTATCTATGCAATGCATAAATATTCAATGGCCTTTGCACGCACTACGCAGTGGGTGAATCCAGATGAAATTTGGCCCATTGGCGAGGGATCTGCACGTGATGCGCACGGGCCACCCGCGGTAACTTGATTCACGTGCAGTCGACCTTCATCCTTTCAACCACCTGCGCCTGCGGGCAGTCTTCGAACAACGCCCTCAAGCCCCCACCGCTTCACCTGGACGAGCCGCACGCGCTGGGTCGACGATACAGCCCAGCCAGTCTGCAGATGAACCTTCGCCCGTAATTCTATCCGATCAGGGTGGCAGCATCTATGCGATTCATCTCGCTTGCACACCACCTTTCTTTCACCCAACGTCGCGCCTTCACTATTGCTTTGTGAAGCAGCAAAACCGACGACTCCCCGCCTCCTGCCATTTCTTCTACCCTCTGAGCGCACCCCAACTGTGTAGGCAGATCACTCTCCCCGATGCCGCACGCGACAATGGATTCCGACTTGGAGCCCTATGCTGCGCAGCAGCAGCGCGAACTCGACGACGAAGCCAAGATTCTAGCAATGATTTCTGGAAATAGTGGAGGTACCGATGCCGACGACTTCCTGAAGGGCGTTGCGGACCGAGACCTCGATGTGGGGGAAAAAGCTGACGACGCCGTCGACTACGGGGACATTTCGGATGACGATGACCTGCCCGACGAGGAAGACGTCGTGTTTGGGAATGGCGTACAGCATGCTAGTGGGAGCACGGTACAAGACTTTACACCGGACGGCTTTGAGCAGGATGATGATTTGGACGATTTGTTCGGCGATGGGATGTCCAGTCCGGTCCAAGAACGGTCACAGCAGGACCATCTCCCCGCTTCTTCTGTCGAAACACTCGCTTCAGGCCAGGTGGCAGGGTCGAAGGCTGCAATAGACACTGTCACGTCTTCGCTCGATGGCCACCCCGCATTCCGTCCCGTTGATTACGGTGTCATGCAAGAGGAGGAAATTGACCCCGAGCTGGCTGAGCAGATGGCCTTGTTTGCACAGGCAAGACGAGGGCAAACAGAACGCGTGCCACCTCCTCCACAAACATCCAAAGAGATCTTCGATCAAATATGGCCCGATTTCGAGCCCGACATGCCACCGCGCTTCTTTAGCTTAATACCTCGAAAACGCGCTTTCTTCGTCCCAAAGACACCCCTTAAAGTCCCGAAGCCCATCCAGCCGAACAAGGTCAACCTCGATATCGCTCCCGACCAAGAGAAAGCCTTCCGACTACCTTCCACAAGTGCAACAACCAAAGTAGGCCGACAGTTAGAGGCTGAGCAGCAGGGCATCATCTATATCACTAATGGCATCGAAGAGGATAATCAGAGCGGTGATGAGATGGAACTGGACGATCTGGACAACGAGAATGAACAAGAGATGATCGGCAACGTTTCGTGGAACGACTTGAAGATCGCTTGCGAGGATTGGGATATCCCTAGTGTTGATACACCCTCTGATACTGAAGAACTTCAGACACCTCCAGATGCGTTCATAGATGAGGGCGATTGGATGCGAGACCTCGCCGCAGAAATGAGCGGACCTCCGGCAAAGAAGCGGAAACTTGGGGAACGAAAGAACCATATTCAATTCTCGGTCTACGATCACATGAATATCCCCTCCTTGGATGATCCCGAACTTGCTACGTCGAAAATCTCGAAGAAGATTATTCTAGATATGAACGACCCTCATCTTTTGCTTGACGTCCAGCAGCCAAGCGCTGAACCGAAGAAGCCGCGGACATTAGGCCAAGAATTTAAACGAGACAGCCGTGGCAGTCTAGCTAACCCGATGTTCAAACGGTACAACATCTCCAATGACGACGCCTACGATGCTCTCAAGGAGAATGCCCAACAAAAGGTCCGAAGTACGCTAGGACATATGAGTATTGAACATAGCTTGCCCGCCCTGAAGCTTCAGTATCCGTTCTACAAGGTTAATCTTTCTGACCGCGAGCTTCGGTCTTTCCATCGCCCGTCCATCACTTTCAAGCCTGGTGAACGAGTGTTCCCCATTAGTCTCAAGCCAACGAAGAGGAAGCACAAGAAGAACCTCAAACCATCCGAAGCTTTTGCGAAAGCCGAAGATCTCAACGTCGGTGATGGTTCAGACCTCCTGCTCGCCGAGTACTCAGAGGAATACCCCACTACTCTCTCTAACTTCGGAATGGGTGTTAAGATTGTAAATTACTACCGCCGGAAGGACAACGAAGATGCTTCGAGGCCCAAGCTGGATCTCGGTGAGACTGCAGTGCTACTGCCCCAAGACAAAAGCCCGTTCTCCGTGTTCGGTGATGTGGAAGCTGGACAGACTGTACCCGCGTTGCAGAACGCCATGTACCGTGCACCTATCTTCCAACACGACCCTAAGTCAACTGATTTCTTAGTCAGCAGGAGCCACACTGGTACTGAGGGATCCAAATACTACATCAGGAATCTTCAAAACTTGGTGACGGTGGGCCAGGAATTCCCGTCGGTTGAGGTACCTGGAACGCACGCACGGAAGGTGACGGAAGCTTCCAAGAAGCGTCTGAAGATGCTGTCCTTCCGTATCTACCGAAAGAACGCAGAAAAGAACGCTAGGCAGCCATGGCTTAGCAACGAGATGATCAAATATCATCTTCCAGGTACCGAGATTGCACAGAACCGATCTAGGATGAGAGAAATCATGTCATATGATAAAGAAAAGGCCACGTGGTTCCCCAAAGACGGCGAGACTATCCCTGACGAACCGTCACTGCGGGCGTGGATTAAGCCTGAGGACATTTGCCTGATCGACTCAATGCATGCAGGCGATAAGCATCTCACGGATGCCGGTTTCAAAGCCAACGAGATCAAGGACGACGAAGACGCTGAAGAGGGCGAAAAGCGCGAACTCCAGCTTGCACCGTGGCACACCACCAAGAACTTCTTGAATGCTTGCGCAGGAAAAGCGATGCTGGAGCTTCACGGTGACGGCGATCCAACTGGTCGTGGTGAGGGCTTCAGTTTTATCAAAGTATCCATGAAGGGCGGTTTCAAAGATATCGGTCAGAGCACTGCTGATAAGCTTGATGCCAAGAAAAGCAAAGAGCTTGGAGGCCATAGCTATAACGTTGCGCTCCAGCAGAAACGCTACGAAGAGGCCATCAAACGCATCTGGAACAAGCAGGCCGAAAGCCTTCGCTCCACTGTGGAACATTCTGACGTGGAGATGGATGTCGACAACGGCGACATGCGCCAGAATCAAGGCCGAGGGCGATCTGAATTCGGAACCCCTGTCGCCCTGATGCGCGACGACGATACCATGAGTCAGTTCAGCCGGAACAGTCAGAACGACACGCGTGGCAAAGTCCTCCGCATCAAGCGCTGGACCAAGAACAAACACGACGAATACGAGCAGCAAGTCGTCACCATCACAGATCCGGAAGTTGTTCGACTGTACTCTAAGCGCAAGAAGCAAGAACGTCTCATGAACATGCGAATCGACGAAATCAAGCCAACCGGAAATGCGGAATTCGACGCCCAGCAACAACTTAAGCTCAAAGCTGAGCTGGCTCGTCTTACGCGCAACGTCGAACGTCGTGAAGGCCGCGAGAAGGCAAAGGGTCTCCATACCGTTCACGCTCCTGGCGGCGGGACTCCTGCGGGTTTGCCGACTGGCAAGATTTCTGGTTCCACGCCGAGGAAGTGTGCAAATTGCGGGGAGGTGGGACATATTAAAACCAACAAAAAGTGCGTTTGATCCTTATTCCTCCTTCCCCTACTATCTGTTACAACACAGCAAGTATTCTTTGTTGATGCCACAAGCTAACATATTTCCTCTAAGACTTTGCCCTCTGCTCAATGGTCAGAAGAAACAGAGCGATACTTTCCGTGATGCTACTGCTGCATCTCCGGTTACCGTCGCGGTGGCCCCGACGCCGCAGGTTGCTGGGAGTCCACTTTGAAGGCGTGTTCTTAACTAATACCTCTGGTCAAACATGGAATTTATTTTGGCTTAAGATTGCTTGCTGGCGTGCGTGCAACGACAGATATTGCGACGGGAGTAAATGAATGGCGGGTTTTAATTCTTTACTCTCGGAAATGATTTGCTGTCTTTCTCTCTTCTTGTTCTCTTTCCCTTTTTCTTCAGCATAGCATTGGCGTTGGTATTATTGAAGTCTTCCTCATGGCCGTGAGCATAGCATGTGTATTGGCGCTGGACGGATGGTCGTTAGTAGAGAGGGTGTGGCGTGCCATGGCGTGCCGTGGTGTTATTACCTACATTAAGGATGGAGGGCCAGGACGGGAAGGAGCTGTTCCTCTTGCCTGGGGGGTGGGGAGCGGGAGACTGTACTTTGCGAGCAGGCAAGCAGGTATTATGATTTCGAGATTAGACAGACCAATGGTGGGCGTGATGGTAGTCTGTAGTAAGCAGATTATTAGGAAATCTTATCCAAGTTCTGGAAGATGCGTCTTGCGAAGTCTGTGATGTGAGGGCTCGAGCGAGACGTTTTTCGGTGTACAGAGAGTTTTTTTAAGAGAACAGCCCCCCTCGATGTTGGGTCAGGCTTCGTAGATTCAAGCCCATGCTGCCATCCCCCAATTCTCCCATACTACTCAATATTCCAAATTCCACTCATCCATCTTCACCATTCATGCATACGTGCGTGTGTGTGCGTGCAATCAAACTCCTCTTAAACCCCTTAACCTAACCGAACCTAACCAACATCTGCTTTCACACTCACGCTACCATATTCATAAACACACTTCACTTCATCCTCAGGCGAAAAGAACACCGATTCCTCCGGATTCAGGTACTCTGTTGATAAATACGTGTGTCACATTCGTTGTCTTTTCCGTCCTGTGAGATCCGGAGTTTTGATATAGGGGATGGGTGGAAGTGGTGTTGGAGGGTGTTGGCCTTGTCGCTACAAAGGGATAACAGAGAATTGAAATGGCGAGACTGCATGAATAAAGTGGCACATGATGGTAGTCACGTTAGTCACGTTAGATCTGGATCTATAGCACAAATCCAATATATCCAGACTTCTATTGCCTCTATCTCTCTCTCAGTCTCTGTCTCGCTTTTGAAGATCCCCTCCAGCTACCCCAGCCCATCCTTACACTTTCCCCTACTCATTCAACCAGCAATCCTCCACAGTAAATATATTATCGTACAGCCAAGAAGAAAATTCGCACACAGGCAGGGGCATTGACATCCGTATCGCTCACGCTGAGCATAGGAAAAGCTAAAATAAAAAATAAAAACACAAGCGTCTAGGGAAGGTGAGTATGATGTCGTGCGTGCAGTGTAGTGCAGCTTTTACAAAGAGAATGGAACAAAGTAGCGCGAACGTCTCCCTCTGTCAACACGGCGTTACTCAAAACGACGAAACAAGCTCGCTCCGATTATCTCATCTCGCCATTTCCCATTGCAAGATTCCTCCACACAAACTCGTCAGTCAGAACAGAGATCGCAAGAAAGAAGTAAAGGAAAGAAATGTCAAGGCAGGAGTTCCACGAACTCCACCGCCTACGCCAATGGTATCATGCCAGGGAAACACAGACAGACACACACACACACAAAGGAGACTATGTAGGCGATGGCAATGCAAGAACAGACCAGACTGAGACAAAGAAAAAGAGGAATATGCAAGGCGTGAGTGAGATTTAAGCTAAGTTTTATGACAATGGGGAAAAGGAATACGCAAAGAAAAAGATGCCCACTTGAAGTTCGTGGTCTTGGTCATAATTGGGGCGGTGAATGAGAGGCACACGGGTTTGGCCTCGTCAAGCTCGGATGGAATGTTCAGTTAGAGTTAGTTCACCCTAACAACTGTTTCCATTGGCGGGAGCGGCAAATCCTTATCTCTCCCTCTCCCTCTCTGTTCTTTCGGAGGCGTCGGAGGTCCAGAATGTCTGTGCGTCTCATACGTATCCTTCGGTGGAGTCGGGGGCCGTTCTTCATTCACACCATCACTATTCCCAGTCCCCAAATCCTTCGGTGGCGTAGGTGGAGGTCTATGATGTGAGGGATCCCTCGATTGAGATGGTGCTTGGTCTTGCGGGTCTAAGAATCGGACATCATATTCCTTCAACGGCGGCGGTGGAGGTTGTAGACTTGCTTCTGTACTCCTCCCACTTCTTCCACCCGTACTCGAGGACTCGAAAGCTTCTTCTACGACAGGAAGAGTGGTGCCGAGTTCGCCTCGCTCGGCGGATGGGCTCCTCACAGCGCGCATTTCGCGGTTGGGGACGTCTTCTTCGGACGCGCCTCGTTCTTTTGACCGTTGGGCTTGATGCTCTGCTTTTTCTATTACGGCGTCTGTTGCTTCTCGATCTCGATGTGCCATGTTGACACCAGAAAGTCTCGGATCACTGATTGCATTCTCTGCCTCTTCAGCCTTCTCCCGCTCAGCCGCTTCCCTCGTCTTGGTGACACCACTGATGAATCTGACAAACCGATCACCATAACGTTCGGGGGGTATAGCCGAGATCTGGGACTCCGTGTTCATCATGCCCTTGAAGAAATGTTCGGCCCGTTTAATCAAGGAATACTAAATCCACGTCAGCAAACTCCCGCAGGTCCGAGTATGCAACGAATCTTACATGAGTCAAACAGTCGATAATCCCGAGATAATAAATCTCCTCGCCCGCCGACTCATCCTCATGCGTGGCCCTAAATCCACCGTCATCGGCGTAAAAGTAAAAATTCTTCTTTGGATCCTGCAGTTCATCTGGCATCTTACTCGTCGTCTGGTCCATTGGTATGGGTTTCTGCGTCTTGATCTTCTGTCTCAATTCCTTGGCCTTCCTTGCATTCTCCAGCTTCGATGGCGTCCGCATGAGCATGTTTGGTCCTGGCTCTTCGGCTTCTTCTCCGCCCGGTTGGAAGACCTGCAGCGTCTTGTCGCGTAGATTCTCTTCGTTACCACGCTCCAAGTCGTGTATACCAACTAGGAGTGAGTAGTCCATTATCTTTAATTTTTGTAGGAGCTTGACGTCTTTTTGCATTTGCTCAATGAAGGCATTCTTCTTGGTTGGCCCGAATTCCAAATGCAGGTTTCTTCGTAGCCAATTCAGATCCTTCAAAGTGGCTCGTGGATTCTTCTCCAACTCATCCTCTTTGAAATCACGTCCAATTGTAGATCCTTTCAGGTCAAACGTTCGGTGGATATCTCGATGTGGAGGAAATAGGTTATTCATGACGACGAAGTGAATCTTGCGGCCATACGGAATCTTGACGCGATGGAGGCCGTAGAACTGTGAGAGCAGGGTGTTTGGGTTTTCTTGCACATGGTTGTAGTAGTCTTTCAGTATCTTCCGGAGGAACTTGTGCTCGGCGTGATGGATCGTCTTAATGATGTACTTGTAATCACGGGAAAAATAGAAGAAACTACCACTCTTGCCTGGTGAACCAAGTTCTGATAGAATGTACTTGCTGGTCAGGGATACGAGGTAGTCTGCGGGATCTAGCCTGAAGGTAGATCGAAGATGGCGGAAGACCCAGGGCGCGTAGTCCTTGAACTTGAAGTCGTACTTGGCGGACGGCGTTAGTTCGTTCCCAGTTCTGCATGCATGTCAGCAAACCCCTCCAACAGTAATAGCAAACAAACCTACATATCAAACGAAAACTTGTGCTTAGCGTCAAAGTCAGCATCGGTGAGCTCTCGGTCCATCTTTGCGTTTGTCCTAGAAACGGTGAATCTTATGCCCGTCAACATATTGTATGCCGTGACCCAATTGACATGGTTCTGATCGACTTTTGTGCCAACGACCACGCGATCATCATCCTCATCTTCTTTCCGCTTCCTCTTGCTTGCTCGCTTCTGCCGAATGTGTTCTGCCCACCGCGCCGCATCCTCGTCTTGCGGCACCTCCTCAAGATGCATGTCAGAGTGTATGGATCGGGTAGTCCTCCTAGCCAGGGATATTGACCCTCTCCGACGGGTGGGAGTATTGGGTGAGAATCTACCGCTCGCGGTCACGACGTCATCCGTTGAATTCTGGAAGTCCCTAGCGCGCGACGTCGACGCCTTGGGAACTTCGAGCGTGTGGCGATGCTGCAAACGATACGGCTGCTGATGCGTGACGGGGGTGTTGTGATTGAAGGCGGGCGGTGAGGAAACGCGGTACGTCGAGGACGAATTCGGAATGTGAAGGCTAGCGTCGATGGTTGTTTGTGGCTTCAGATCCGACTCGTGCTTGGCAGGAGCAGCGGTGGTAAAGTCCGGGAGAGCGTCCTTCACCCCGTCGGTCGAGTTTACGCTACCCAGCTTAACGTGCGTGGTTCTGCAGCCATCCTGCGTCTCACTACTGTGCACCGAGGCGAAGTAGCCGTCATCCCTGCCCGACAATTCGCCGGAGTTGCCGCGACTCTCGGATGATTTAAAGGGACTCTCGAAATCCACACTCCAGCCTCTGCCGACGGCCTCTATGCTCTGATTATGTGATATGGCCTTATCGTGGGTCGCCGGCTGGATGGACCGCCCGTTTGGCACCGATTGCATGCCAGGTGATCCGTTGGCTAGTTTGCCGTTCATGTAGGGAGTGTCTCCATTCGACAGCCTATCTGCATAGTCCCTTCCGAGCTGCGGTTTGTCTGCTGACGTGCGCGAGGGCAGAGTGAACAACGACTGTGGCTGTGGTTGCGGTTGCGGTTGCGGATGTTTGTAGGTCGAATTGTCGCCGCTGTCTGCCACGAAGGAGGGCATTATCTGGGTATCATGAGGTGTCACACGTGGCAGCGGACGAGACTGCACTCCGATCACAGGCGGAGCGGAGTTTGGGACGTCTCCGGGGTTCTCGTTGGGGGTTGCTGGGATGGGCGTGGTTCCAGAGGGCTGTGGTTGTAACGGCAGGTTCACGCTGGCCGTCGTGGGGTGTGATAAGCGGATAAGAGTGCGATGAATTGGGTGCACAATAAGAGGCCTCTTCGGGGCAAGAATGGGGGGGTGTGGGGGGGGGGGGGGGAGGGTCTATAGCAGGTCTGGGATGGCTTCTGGAGTTGTCAGAGAGACAAAGCAAGGTCGGCTTTCGCAAGGGTCCGTGCCAAGTTGCGCCGCGCCGGTAAACGGATCAATCCACTCCCAGCGACCGACACCGAGACCGCGAACCAGAGTGCAAGGGAGACAACGCGCAATCTAACCAGCAAATAGAATTCACCGTTTTCCAATCAGACACTGCGAGGAATTGTGAACGGTGGACTTGTTCAGATCGCGGTTTCCTGGCCTGCAACGAAGATTCTCCTCTGCGCAATACTCAGGGGAACATTGCATAGCTCGCAAATTGGGCTGAGTCGTGGAGCCCAAACGGGAATAGCAGATGAAGCAGCAAAAACGTGTCCCAGCAATGGGGTGGAGCCTCAGCCACACTCCTCCTGCATGCCAGCCTCCCAAGTCCACTGGCGGCCTTCACGGAATGCTTTCTTTCAGCCCTCTCCCTCCCCAAATTCAACTGATATGAGAATCAACCCTACCCTCATGCTATGAAGACTGAATATTCCCAAAAATCCCTCGTCACAAGCTCTCGTCCGGAGAAGCTTTGGCTTGAACTAGTTCGGATAGCCACTGTCCACATCCACTATCCACTATCCACTCCGCGTGCAGCGTTTCGGTCACGGCCCGCCTGCATGCGCCCCCGTCAACCTTCTGGAATCTAAGGCTTAAGAATAGCTCACTCATTTCAAATTCCGAATTTCTTCAGCTGCCAACTCCAGCCGCTCACCACCCTCCATCTGCACTGCATTCTCGGTCTCTTTAGGCCATGATATCATTTCGCAAATCTGCGCCATGAAGGGAGTGGAATTGATGTCGTAACAACTGCCCTGTAGACGTGTTTCACAAGAATTGCTTCTTCTAAACCGTCATTTCGCCTGCATTATGCGGCTCCACGACATGTGTTTGTGAAGTTTCATGACATGAATCAAAAATATATTGAATTGGGTGATGTCCGGGGAACTTTTGTGCCGTATTACACGTATCTCGTACTGGAGTTATGAGAAGACGGGAATCTGCTTGCGATCATAGAGGGATACGATGTGTCGAATTCACATTTCAGGCAATTGAATGAGTTAAGTCTCGACTTGTAGTGGTTCATTCCAAGATATGTGCTTTGAATTGATCGAGCACGTAAGATACAAGGAGCGGAAAAAGCGGCGGAACTTGGCTTCCTTCCATCCCCATCTTCGCATCGTTTACTGCCCGCGCTAGCCCTTTTTCCTTATCGCACGTGGACCTTGTTATCGCCAACGTCACGTCACGCGTTGTGTTGTTATGATCGGAACTCCTTGCCAAGGGGTATCCCAAACCTCTCACACATCACTTCCGGGCGAAACCGTGTCAGAGTTGAAGTATATTTTCGATTCATTCTCAGACGATAGCATCACGTCCCGCGCTATCATTTTCTCATGTGCAAACTCAGCACATAAAGAATAAACTACAGTGATCCCATAAACGATAGCAGACGCCGCATGAACGCCGACACCCACTTGAGAATAACCTGACTACCAAAAAAACGGCGTCCTGTAATGATGAGAAGACACCCAAATACCACTACCGACTCCCATGCCTGTATCCGGACCGACACCTCGTGGAAAGAGAAAAAGGGGATATCACGTACAATGCTCATACACTAGGCCAACTTTCGTAGTCGTCCGGATGGACGCTGCGATGTACTAGCCCAGCAGGAGAGCCTTGTTAGAAGAACGAGAAAGAGAGGAAGGTTCAGGAAACCCCGTTCATGCCTCAGCCTTCTTTGGTGTTGCCTTCTTCGGCGTCGCCTTCTTCGCTGCCGTCTTCTTGGGGCCAGTCTTCTTGGGGGCAGCCTTTTTGGTGGGCTTGGCCGCCGCGGCGGGAGCCTTGGTCTTGGTGACGCGACCAGACTTGGTCTTCCCAAGCACGCGGGACACCTCGTCGGCCACAGCTGGGGCGGCAGTAGCGGTCTTGCGAACCTTGCTAGCATTAGCTTTGGGTTTCGCTGCGGCGACAGGCTTCTTGGGAGGAGCCTTGGCGGTTGTCTTCTTGGTGGTAGCGGGCTTAGCCTTCTGTAAGTTGTCAGTAAGCCAGGACTTAACAATGATGAGGGGTAGAGTAACCGTAGCAGCCGGCTTCTTCGCCTTCGTAACGGCGACAGGTTTCTTCTCCTTCTTCTCGACCGCAGGTTTAGTCTCCTTCTTCGCTGGGGCAGCCTTAGGCTCCTTCTTCGCAAGCTTCACAGTACCGGAAGCACCTAAAACTGTTAGCATCCAGAATCAACGAGCCAACACGAGAAAGGTCCGCCAGAGGTAGAAGCCAGTTTAACAAGACGCATAAACCAAAATGTAAACACAACGGAGGTTAGGACCTGAAAAGCACGGCGCTTACCCTTAGGACGCGTGAACTGGCCGCTCTTTTCACCTGACTGAATGGCGCGGTTGACATGCGATTTAAACATGGCATCGGTGACATCGCCTAGGCTGTTGTTCGCTTTGATGTATTTCTGGATGGCTTGTCGGCTGTTGGAACGATTCGTGTTAGCTGTGTGCTCAGGCGACTCGAGCTGGAACCATGACGTGGCGCAGGCAGCACCAGCATCATTAAGCTGGAAGAACTAACCTGGAACCATTTCGCTCCTTGAGCTATATACCAAATATAACGCGTCAGTAACGTATTCTTCAGGTTCAGATGTACTATGAAGTAGGCGTTGTGATTTGGGGCGGTCGACATGTTTTGGTGTCGCGATCACGAAGCGAGGATCGCAATGCGCCAGGGAAGGATAGACTCACGTTAATGATCGCATCCTTTACCATATCTGTGAAACATAATTAGTATTACTCGGCGATCACGATAAAGCTTTCACACACCCAACGCGACGGCGTGGTGGCGCGGAATGGGCGGGTACATACCAAGGTAAGATGCATGAGCGGGAGCGGCGGCAGCAGCCTTCTTTGGCGCAGCAGCAGTTGACTTCTTGGGAGGCATTATAAATAGTAGGGGTATTAGATGAAGCTTAAAGATCTGGGCTTTCTAGCGAGAGGCGTTTGGTCTGGTTCGATGGTGTGGTGGTGGAATACAGAGCTCAGGGAAGTGGTGGGTGGGCGTTGGTGCTGCGCGAGCTGCGGGGGTTCTTCGTTTTATACCATCGGCGAAGCGAGAAGGTCGACCTCAGATCAACAACAAGCCGTGCAAAACCAGTCCATGCCCAATTAGGAAGGATTAAGGCATAATTCGATCTGAGGCCAGCAGCCCGGGGCGAGGGAATAGGCGCATCACACGCTCACTGGATCTGTGGGAGCGCCGTTTTGTTGGGATACCCCCCGACTCACTGTGCTTTTCGTCTGCTTCTCTTCTATCCTGTTCGCCCAACACAGAAATTCTCTAAGCTTCCGACCCGTTATTGGCTTGACGCGATGCAATCCTATTGCTGCCTTCGCGCAAGGCAAATGCTACATCCCTCGATATCATTATCATTATTGAAATCGCTGTCCCTCTGACTAACCGTGTGACTCAAGAGTCGTTGCCTTCTCTCCATCCCTCGGATGTATCGCCGTCTTGTTTTGGATGCACGCGTTGCTTCTCTCCGAAGCCCCCGTGTTGTTTCGATTCCGCCTCAACGCTTCGCCACCATCTCCCACCCCCAAACTCAACCCGAACATCTCTTGTGATGAAAACTTCCCTCTTTTTTCATTGTCTTCTGATTTGCCGATCTTTTTGCCGCATGCGGTTGACGATCGCGATGGGGTTTGGCGTGTCAGGTGAGAGTACTTTTGGCCCAAATGATCACGCGTTTAGTTGTGGGTTCTTTGGGCATGACGTTGTCGTGTTTCCGCCTGTCACATATTGTCACGATTCCCCCATCTTCTGGTTCCTTGTCTCAGGCTTTCCCTCCCATTTGACTTTGCTTCTCGGTTCAGCCTTGGGTTTTACGTTGACATCCAGTGGCACAGCTTTTACAAAAACTCCCTGTCAGCAAGAACCATTGATAAAACCACCACCGCTCAATGCCAGATTAAACCCTATATCTATCTCCCCAAAGAACGAATAAAAGTAACATCTTCTGTCCATACAGCTCCTTCACGCTATCCATCCTCTACACCACTTTCTCAAACGCCTTCTGCTCCTCCTCACTCTCCCCCAAAAACCCCACTGTCCACCCCCAAAGCGCCTCCTGCTTCTCCTTCACGTAGCTTTCTTTCGAACTCTTAATCTCTTTCCTCCCCTCAAAATACACCCCATTCTTCCCCTTTCCCCCCTCTCCCACCGCTACCCACGCAAGATTCTGTCCACTCTCTTCTGCAGAGTGAACATTTTTCGTTCTCACCACTACTCGCAGCAGCGGAATAATCCTCGGCATGATTTTCAACCAAATAAACCTTAACACTGGACTATATTCCCTGGCTAACCCGGTGCCAGGCATAAGTCCTGGATCAAAAGCCATTGCCGCTCTCCCAGACTTCGGAGTCGAAGCTTCGAACCGGGAAGCGAGGGAATAGGTCCAAAGCACATTGCACAATTTACTCGTTGCATATCTCTGCCTTCCCTCATTCTGCATCTTACTCTCATCACTCGGATGTGCGAGTTCTTCCCCAGACGTGAATTTCGCATCTGGGAGGGGGGTTTTCTGCGCGGGATCATGCGTTCCGGAACTTGTTACTACGATCCGCGCATCGGGCGCCAGGAAAGGCGCTAGTAGATGGAATAACAGCGCGTGTCCGACGTGGTTAATTGCGAACGTCTTCTCGATACCATCAACACTATACTGTACATCCCCTGGGAACTGCAATCCTGCGTTTAATACCAAAGCTTGGATCGCAGGATAATTACTGCTTTTCCAGTTTTGGGCGAATGTGCGAACGGCGACAAGGGAGGAAAGGTCCAGGAAGAGGTATTTGACGTTTGTCTGGCTCAGAGTTTTGTTGATTGTGGCGGCGGCGGAGTTTCGGTCGGTGCGGGAGGCGATGATGATGAGGGCGTTGGGGCACTGTTTGGCGACGGAGAGTGCGCAGTGGTAGCCTACGCCTTGGGTGCCGCCGGTGATGACGATGCTGCTGGTGTATGTTGCCGGCATTTTAGCAGAAGTAGATGGTGTAGGTAGACTTCAAAATAGGAATATTTATGGGGATTGGATTTAAAATTGAATCGAATATGGATGATACGGTCTGCCAACTGACCTGGCCTGGATAGAAGCAACTGGGTTGTAATATAATGAACATGTCTCCACTTTATGTTCCCAAACTTGTCCTGCAGATAGTCCCCTCCCTGCTATTTCGCACGTCCGAACAAGCTCCATCGGACAAGCAGCTCGTCCGATGCACCTTGGCCACCACGTGAAGAGTATCATGATATTCGTATCTTTCTTCCGATCGAAGCATTCTTCCAAAAGCAGTCTAGCGCCATCCATCAGGGATGCTCCTGATTGGCCAAGGCACAAATCGCCGGAACTTCAGTTGTTTGATCAGACAAGATCAGATAATCGGGGAAAATATATATCAAGCAAATCAATACAACGGATCTATAGCGCGCTGCATTAACTCCGGGGCCAGGACCTCCAGAGTTCGTCAAGGAATTTGTGATAGACTTGGTGGGAGCTCTTTTTGTGAACTTGGTGGGCAGTCCGATATATGACAAGCTGCCACTTACAACGAGCAGTGCAACAAAATCTAACTTGGAATAGAAATCAACACCTTCTCAACGTCCTCCTGAATTCTGGAGTCTCTCCTGCGCTTTATCCATGTTTTGTGGTTCGCTATCTATAACATTTTGTACAATCTGAGTACTTTATCGAGGCACACCTTAAGATGTGTGACTGTAGGGTGTTCAGTTTCAGACTACGTTCACAGTTTGTTAGACTTGGCTTCACGCGTTCGATGTAAGAGAGATGGTGGAGGAACTCCTGTATTCGAGTACTCATTCGATTACAAGGCCACTGTTACCATTCGAAGTCAAGGGGTAATGTCCCTAAGCTAGCTCAGCATATTCGAATGACGCATAGCCTTCCTCTATGTAGTGTACAAGGTGTGGTTCCTTCCCTGCCATGCCCAGCTCTACACTTCTTCTCTCTTATATATTCGTCTAGCGCCCCCGCCAGTCGTTCCGCTTACTTGTAGAAATCGAATTTATCCGCCTCAGTCGCCCCCTTGACTTGGCTTGCATACGCATCCTCAAGATCACTCTGAATGATGTTATACCTGTTCTTTCTAACTGCCCGAAGGCCAGCCTCTTGCATGATCGCCGCAATCACCGCGCCAGATAATGGATCATTCCTGACAATCAGACTGTCAAGGTCAACCTCTGGGCTCAAACTCATCTTGCTAGCAATCGTGCTGAAAATGAGGCGACGTTCGCGACGATCGCGGAGAGATGGGAATTCAATCTTTCGGTCCAAGCGTCCCGGGCGAAGAAGGGCTGGATCAAGAGTGTCGGCGCGGTTAGTCGCCATGATGACCTTGACGTTGGAGGTCTGATCAAACCCGTCCATTTGGTTCAGCAGCTCGAGAAGAATACGCTGAACTTCGCGATCGGCACCGGTCTGTGCATCGAAGCGCTTTGTGGCAATGGCATCGATTTCATCGATGAAGATGATGGAGGGCGAGTTTTCGCGGGCCATGCGGAAGACGTCGCGGACCATACGCGGCCCCTCACCAAGGTACTTTTGCACGAATTCGGAACCGACAACGCGGATGAACGATGCAGTTGTGCTGTTGGCGACCGCCTTGACCAACATAGTTTTGCCAGTCCCTGGGGGCCCATATAGCAATACACCACGTGGTGGATCGATACCGATCTGCTTGTAGAGGTCGAAGTGGGTGAGCGGTAGCTCGACGGCTTCCCGGATTTCCTGTTTCTGCATATCGAGCCCACCGACATCGGCATAAGTTACGTCGGGTTTCTCATCTTGGCCCAGCATGGCGATGGAAGAGTCGGCTTCTGGGGGAAGAATGTCAACGAGGGCATTTGAGTGGCGGTGGAGGGCGACGGAGGATGAAGGCTTGAGGAGTTCGCGGTCGAGGGTGGACAGGATACGGACGACATAGTTAGAGCCAGTTGATGATTGTACTATGCCGGTACTGCGAGTGATTAGCCTTCGAACGCTGGGGATGAGAAGGGCAAAGTGCCCTCACTTCTGGTCGATAGCCTCCATAAACTGGCCGATGACGAGCGGCACGCTCTGAATCCGCTTGATCTCTTCTTGCGCGCGCACAAGCTCTCGCTTCAAACTCCGCTGCTCGTCTTTGATATACTCTTCCTGAAGGTGGATATACCTGGCGAAGGGTTAGCCACGAACCTGCCGGAAACTTTGCCATAGGGTGATATTTACTCTAACTGCCGTTGAAGCTTCTTAAATGTCGAATAGTCATCGTTACCCTCTGTTGCGAAGCCTTCGAGTGAGTCGAAGTTCGGTATTGATGATGGGAGCTGCTTCTTGTGAGGCGGAACAGTGTTGGCAGGGTTCTCAACGGCGGCATCAGCCATGGCTCTAAGAGGGTGCGATTGAGGGTCGTTATGATCGGGATATGGATTAAGGAGCCCGAAGATTCGGCTGTGATGTTTCTCTGGACGATGGCAGGTAGGGGCGTGGTGTGGTTGTTGTTGTGCTTGCAACCTTACTATTCTCAAATGTCGACCTAGCTCCAAGGCTTCCAGATTGGTTTAGCGCGCCAAGCCAGAGACGAATCACGTGGCTCTCTTGCACGACCTCCACCTTTGTGAAAGCCGACTTCAGTTCGCGAGTAGAAGACGGCGGAAACAAGAGTGCATTCCTGCATCGGCGCAAGTTCACTTTTTAGTCCTTCACGAGATGTCACAGTCATCCTCCTAGCATTTCTCAGCGTGATCTTCGGCCGCCCATTGCTCATCACTGCCTTACCGTAAAATGATTGGTCTGGTCCAAGCGTAGCGGCGATTGCAGCATGCGTCGGGAGAGAATCCATCGTTTGATATGTTTCAACGCACGCTTTCGGCCAGAGGATGCCACCTTGTCACCGCCTAATTGTGCCCTGGTCGAACGCAAACTCCCGATCGAAGCGCGTCCAGCCCTCTTCCCGTGCACCAATGCGAGACAAAGCTGGCGAGACTCGCTTCATTGGCCCTTGTCCCGCATTTTGCTTTTCCCATGATCGTTCAACTGACACCCCAAAGTCCGTGAGTCAGGTTTCTCTCGACCGAGCGAGGGAACGATCCATTCACGTAACCTGGTTTCTGATCGACACCACTGCCGAGTTTCGTAGTTTCACTCTCTGTATCATACTTTCGTCTGCTATCGTTCCAGCGGCACGTTCAGAATGCCAGTCCCTTAGCACCAGAATGTTAACTCGAACTCTCATGTCATAATTCCTTCGTCTCGCGTGCGTGAAGGACGGGTAATGGGCCGGAGCGTCCTCCAGCAGATGTACCACGCTACGCCTGAGGGACGATAGGAGTGGGCGACCATGTGTACTAATAAATCATCACCCCGGTCGTTTATCGGCGGGCCAAAAACTGACCAAATCCGTATCACCCGTCGGCATTGTCTTTCTTCTCAGATTTCAAACCGCCTGCCTGTCAGCTGGTTTTGGGCTTATCTTACGAGGGGCGAGACTTCTGTGAGGAACGTATTCTGCGACTCCAACCCACGATGCCCGCATGATGTCGCCCCGTTCCCTCGATCCTTAAGAGGAGATGGGCCAGTTTCATACCGCCGAAAGTCCTAGTAGTTTCTTCACTGATGAAGAGTTGAGAAACTGAAGCCGAGGTGTGTCAATGTGGCAGGCACCGGTACCTCTGCGCAATTTTCGACGATTTCCGCACTCAACTTCGGGATTGAGAGGGAGAGCCATGGGAGAGGCATTTGGTGGAGTCGCAGCAGCGCTAGACGCATTGGGTCCTCGGCCACCAAGCGGCCCAGCGCACGATAGCAGTCACAACATCTGTCAGGCACCTGCAAACTGTGAGTGGGTAGGTGGAGAGGATGTGTTACGAGGACCATATGATCACACTTTTACCCCGGAATTTCGATAAAGGGAGTTAGCCTAGGTTGGCTACGTCAACACTGGACAGCCACTTTTCTCCACTCGTCGCGCCGCGAACGCGTTCTACCGTCATGCAGAATTTCTGCTACGCTCTTCCCCTCCCCTTGCTTCTGTAGACATGATGAAATGCGTTGCTGTCAATTGAATTCTCCTCATTCTTCACAGCCCTCAAGGCTACTCCAGCCAGTCCCGTGATGGCACTAATGTGCTTACCTAACCCGAAGCGAACCATGCAGCGCGCTCGCTCCGTACTTGACATATCAACCTCATCCGCCGTTTCGCGCCTGAAGAGTTCCGGTACGTCAATCAAACTGTCAAACATGTCAACCCCGTCTAGCCCCCCTCCCCGGCTTGAGTAAGAGGGCCCCCAAGACGTGGCGGTCTGCGCGCGTCACGAAGCCTCTTCTCTCGTCTCCGCCCCCCAAAACTTCGCCGGGCCAGCGACATCAACGACCCGTCGCGATCGCGTCCACGAAATCATGCCCATGACAGCTTCGCTAACAAGTCCCTGTACAGGTGGTTTGACGCTCCATCGCGTGGTCCGACCCCCTCACTCACCTCTGCTATTCTCATCATCCTCATCCGACTACCCCCAATACTCGAGGATCAACACAGCCGTCCTCCTCTCTCACATTCGCCATGGATTTCCAAAGCCCGCATACGAATGGAGGCTTCGATGCCGCCAATAATTTTATCGATCCGAGCGCAATGTTTGACGCGCCAAATCAGATGAACGGCACACGCCCGTATCCTACATCCTCAATACCTTCAAAACGCGACTCGACTGGGGCGTCGTTGTCGCGCTCTCAGACTCCTTCCCAGCAAGGCCAGTTCGGATTTCAACAAGGATTCGCCCACACGCCCTCTCCCACTCTACATACACAAAACTTTGCTACCGGCGCAGTCCCTCCACAAAGGATGCAAACTGTGTCTCCCGCGCAGAACCAAAACATGCAGCAGATGTCTGCGATGGGTTTTATGCAGGGATCGCCGATGCCGCAAGGATACAACCAGAATTTCGGAGGACAGGTTCAGATGCCCCAGCTGACACAGAACCTGCAGAGCCGGCAGCAGGAGGCCCAACGGCAATACCAAATGCGACTGCAGGCACAGCAGCACCAACTAGGAAATCTAGCCGCAAGCAATATGGCTGCACAACAACGGCATCAGATGTTTGCGAATCCGGCAGCGCAACAAGCCGCAATGCAGAGAAATATGGGCATGGCACAGCAACCGCAGAATGCGCAACCACAAGTTCAGAGCTTTTTGAAAAATGTAGGTGCCCTAATGGCCTCAATGCAACGGCCTTTCAACCCCCAGCCTCGCGTCGCCGGCCGTGTCATCAATCTGCAACAGCTGTACTATGCTGTCATGAAACTGAGAGGCTCAAAACATGTCACCCAGACCGGCTCTTGGCCAAGAGTCGCACAGATGATGCAAATAGACCCAAGGCAGTTTCCGCAAGTCAGTGACGAGCTGCGGATAACCTACGAACACAACCTCGGGCCCTACGAAGCCGCCTATCTCATGAACAAACAGCAACAGCAGATGAGGGGAATGGCCGCGCAACAAGGGCAAATGGGTGGCATGGGCCCTATGGCGGCGATGGGAGGAATACCCCAACCTGGCCAACAGATGTCGCCAACCAGGCAAATACCCCAGGAAGCACAAAACAATGCTGTAGCCCAGCAGCAGTATATGCAGCAACTACAGAGGTCACAGACCATGCAACAGCGACAAACAGATATCACAACACCCGTCAAAACCCACGCCGCAACGCCCAGTATGAATGGTTCGGGTACCCCTCAGCTCGACGGGAAAATGTCCTCAAATGCATTTGATCAACATAGGAAAAGCCTCAGCCAGCAACTCGAAGCCACGCCCCCCCAAGGACAAGGACCTGGATATGCATCACCTTCCCCTGGACCTAGCAAAGTAACGCGCCTTATCCCACAAGAAGTATCGGCTCCTGTGATTCGGGAGAAAGTTGTCCATGAAGCGGAAGATCCGACATTATTCAGACCCATCACGAGAACAATTCACGAAGCGTGGGGCGGCCTCAGTGTTTTCACACCGGAATTTGATCACCTCATAGCACAGACCGAGATGTATAAGCCGAATATGCCATCATTGGGTGAAATGGGCGTTATCGACATTCGTGCACTCACCATGAGCATTCGATCTGGCCTTCACGCAGAAGCTCGGCTAGCTCTAGACATATTTGTGAAGCTCACCTACGAGCAGCAAATCGTTCTGGAGCTAGACAAATGCGATGATTTGATTGATGTGTTAGTTGAGTACGCCGAGGATCTGCTGGACCTATTAGCCAACGACAACCCTGAAGTCTCAGATATCCTAGATCTCTCGCCATACGAGGAGGTTGTGCGAAGTTGTCGGGTAGAAATGGATAGTGTGCCAGAAGTTCATGAGTTTGGAACCAAGGAGTACGAACTGGAGAGAACAGCCGATCGGCTGATTGCAATTACAACAATCTTGCGCAACCTCTCCTTCCTTGAAGTTAACCACAATCAACTTTGCAACCCCGCCGTTCTGAAGTTCATGTCCTACGCAATACGACTTGTCGGCACTCGCATACTCCTTTTACGGACTCACATCAACACCGCGGATTTCATGAAGGATTTAATAACATTCTTCTCCAATACTGGCACCAAGATAATACTACCTTCCCGCGACGAGGCGTATACTATCCTACAATTCCTGTGCGCGTTCGCGCCCTGTCCCCGACCCGAGTTACCCGTCAGGTTTGCACCATACAGCCCAACGCTCCATCGTTGCCTACCGGCTGCTGTTGACAGTCTTGCTAAGCTACTTGCGCGTGACGACCCCAATCGGACCTTCTACAAGCATGTATTCGCGGCTGAGTCAACGTCGACACCACCATATGACCTTTTGACCCGCGCGTTTGCTCTTGCTGTTTCTGTCGTACCAGAAACCATGTCTCGGAAAGGCGGCGTGAGGGAGGCCCGTATTGCAGAAGCTCGGAAAGCTTTTCTTATCCAGGGAATGCTGGCTGCCGACATTCTGGCTTCGCTTGCGCCTGGTGCAGAGAGCGGCGTCTGCCGTTCATGGCTAGAAGCAGAAGATGGCTGGGGAGAAAACATGCTTGCATTTACCATGTTTCTCACTACCATCGACCACACCGCTCCCCCACCTCAAGTGCAATACCCAGGTCTTCGTCCCGGTGCCCCACAAAGGCAGCGCATGGAACCTGATATCCAGGGTTTCCACCTCATCGTCCATCGTGCGCTTTCCATGCTAAAACGACTTGGGGATAAATCAAGAGGTGTCGATGTTCTGGTGAAGGGCGAACACCTCACAAACGGCAACACAGAACATGACGAGGATTCAGATGAGGATATGGAAACTGTTGTGAACGCGGGCACGAAGTGGAAGGTGAAGACAGACGTTTTGCCAACGAGAGGCCATGTCATTGGCGCGCTCCTGCAGCCGGATATGGATCCTCATGCGCTAAGACTTTTCTGCGGTATTGCCGATTTGGATAGGGATTGATGTCTAGCTTACTTTTCGGTTGGTCGGGGCTTATGGGCGTGTTTGGGAAAAGAGACGGGGGATTATATTTGGGGGTGACACCGGCTTTTCATCTTTTGCGTGTACTATGATATTTCCTGAATCCCATTTATGGCACTGTGTGTATCTGCTATTCACAACTCTGCTCTGACTGAGGAGCTATCTATACCTCTGCCCTATTTCCCTCATGGGTCTACATATTTTGGTCTTTTTCGTTCGTGGCGATTGGCGTTGAAGCAGTTTGCTATTTTCTTGTATGGGCTTCGATACACTGGGATGATATGGTGTGACATGCGTCGTAGGGAACTGGAGTATCTGGGGAAGTGTGTAGTGGGACAGATTTGGTAAATTTGAAAGACGAGCGAGCATTGGGTAAGATGGGCTTCAGTGGCGTAGGTGTGAATATCGTCAGACGCTGGTGCACAGGAACTGTGTAGAAATGTGATATAATTCATAGGTGGATGTGAAAAAATTGTGCCACAGATCTACTTGCTTTTGGGTGCACGTGCGAGCGCGTTGATATGTAGATAGTTCCAACATTTATTCTCATGATAACCGTGAGTCAACGGAAGGGACATATGGAGACGGGACCATGGAGAGGATTGGAAGTATGAGCATGGATGCCTTGGGTTGTTCATACTTTTTTGTTAGTGGTCACAGTGTTTCGAAACACTGTGATAAGGCCTCACGGAGCATGAAAATCACGAGGGCGAACGGATTGATGCATGCTAAAAACAAGTGTGAACCTTGTTATAATCTGATAAAAACCCCACCGCTGACGCAGGTATTTAATTATCAAAGGTTATGCATAAAGTTTTCCAAACCCGCACTACCTTCGCTATATCCACTTTACTCCTTTAACATGCATACGTGAGTATGTACAAAGTACTCTCGTCTCACCCATAGGAAGATTGTAAGCTCATTTTCAGAGAATCAATACAGAGTATTAGACGAGCTGTATGCACATTCAGCCTGCCTGTTTCGATTTTCGAGCAAGAGGGGTATTGATGAGAAGGTCCAACTAAAGGTTTAGATAACGGGGAAGGAGGGTACAGAAACAGCATCAAGCTATTTTATTAGCCCATTCGAAACATCGCCGTTCTTCGCTTGTTTTATTCCTCTTATGTTTCGAACACTGGTGTTGGGAAGCAGGCCAGAACTCATAGCCTAGTTTTGCATCAATTTTGAACAGCTCCCAGCAATGCTATAGAAACGAGCGCTATGGCTAGTTTAATTCCTGTGACGGCTCTATGGAGATGGTACTAGAATATTTTATTTTCTTAACGTTGTATGGGACTTAAGAGGTAAAACTAAGAAAAACCAACGCTTTCTATGCCGTTTGGAAAATGCGGGATCTATAAACCATTAGCATATCTGATTTACGCACTTAGACCCACTTAAATCATCGTCTACACACGTGATTGTGAAGCTGGTGGTTGACTAGATTTTCAATTCTACCTCTTTAGCGACTTTGAGCAACATAATCATCATTTTTGAAGACATGAGGGGGGAGTTGAGGGTTCTAGACCCATGGCGCATTATTCTGGCCGCTTATGAATCGGTGAACCATGAATACTGATTAATGAGATTTTTTGCCCTGTATTGAATTTGAGACGTACCTTAGTTAGAACTGTGAGCTCTACGTACAGTACACTAGATATTAGCGAATAATATTGGCGCTCTATGAACCTGACTGTGCCAGTCTTCCTGTATGACTTAATTTGAAGTACTCTTGGGAGACTATACGAGTAATGAAGGAAACTTTAGGAAGCCTTGACTTCAAACGGAATCGGGTTTAGCTCTTGAACAGTAAGGGAGAAGTTTGATGAGAAAGGTCTGCCTGCTCTCTGTGGATTCGTGGACAGTGACTTCAAATCTCTGTGTTGCAAAGACAATAAGTCGAAGATTGATTTGCTTTAGAGAAAATGCCCCGGAGCCTACTTTAATATAAGCTTTGAAATATGGCAACGATTTGTGAGTTACTGATAAGAAGTTATTTGATGTGGCATGTACAAGTTCTCTTGGATTCAGGGTCATGGAAGCACTATGGCAACTTTTGAACCCTTTCCCATAGATGTCTCCTTCATTTACTTAGTTTAAGAATCTGGGAGCCTAGTGCTATTAATTTTGGTTTGCTCTGATTCTGATCTAGTTCTTGGCTCTAAAAGACGATGATCTGGGATAATTAGAGTCTACTAATATGTTTAAGAAAGGGTTTAGTCAAGTTATAAGCACTGTGAGAATTTTAATTTTTTTTTTTTAGCTCTTTCACTCACCGCATTGATTTGGGTGAAGCATCTTTGGAAAGTTTGAAGCATTTTTGCTTATGCTATTGGGTGAATGGCATTTTCAATCAGCCTTGAGATCCTGGTATAGATGAATGGCTACGCCCCTCATGTTTTATCTGTTGGCTCGGGAGCTTCCATACAAGTCATCGCGACATGTTTAGTGAATCCAGAAAAGACTACGGAGCATAGGCTCACCCACAAGTCCTTGAAGGTGGCTACGAATATTGACTACCACATCATGTGATTGGCATGTACTTTCGTTCATGTGTAGATTTTGTTGGTCTACTCCTATGTCGAGTCCACTTCTTCAAATTCTATTCTCTCTAGTATGCACAATGTTCTTGGAGATTTTGGCCTGCTGGTGTCGCTCATCTCTTAATGTATCTGGCAATTTTCTCAGTCAGGAGACTGCAGGCTGGCCATCCGGCCAACCGCGACCGTTTTCGCTGGTGTCTAGTTTTCCTAAGCTCGACAGAGCATTGTATACTCTTCAGAATACTTTTCGAATGTCCGAGCTATAGAATATTGCCCGACACCATTCAAAAATGGAGAGTTCATGTTCTATGGAGAAATGGACGTGGGAATTTGTTGAGCAATAAAGAATCTAATATGACTCCGAGGACTGCATAAAGCAAGTCTAAATTAAATTTCTAGGGTAAGTTTCCAAGACTTTATGAAGTAATACGCCTCCTTTTGGGGCCCTGAGCGGCAACATTGGCTTGCCTTATTGGGTATTATTGTAGGTGGAAGTAGTTGGAATGAAGACTTATGATGTATCGACCAAGGGGCCTCTTTCATCTGGATTTGTTCATCTTAAGTGTATTTGGAGATCCCGAGACAGGTTCCAGTTGACCACAAACCTCGTCTGCATCGATTTCCGAGATTTGGTCATTTAGAGAGGATCATGGTTTAAGCCATTTCTGCAAGCAAGAATATCTCCTTTACTCGGAATCTCTGGGGTTTGAGCCCCTTTCTCCGTGGTCCATATGCTGTAATTTTTCGATACTTGGCCGAGGAATTTTGCGGTTAGGGGACTCTAAACCATATACGGATTGGATCAAAGTTTCTCGACTCCAGGTTCCATAGCCGATCGAGGTCTTTTTCCGAGGTCAGGCGCTGAGAACCGGATGCCGGAAGCTGAGAGTCACATAAATTCTTTGGGCCATATTTCGATGACACTCGTGTCGTTTCCGAGACCTAGGGAGTCATAGTCAATAGGGGTGTTCTTTGCGGGACTCATGCGGAGCGCATTTTCCATTATTTTGACATTTCTTGACGCCACCGTGTCTACGTGGATTTGGAGTCTAACTGCGGCGTCTACACAGCATATACGCTACAAAAATGAAGTTTGTTAGAGAAGCGGGAAAGAGTTGGAGATCACAGGTACCCTTCATTACGAAATCCAGGAGCTCAAGTTGATCATGAAAGTACTAGTTTCCCATTTACCGTGGTTGAGATATTTCTACGTCGATGAATCCTTGATGAACATCGATCGAGGCAACGGGAGGTTTGGCATGGGATCGCCGACCCATAGCTGTATTATGCGCCTGTTTCTATTGCCGCAATCTAAATTCCGGAAAGAGCCATCCCTTATAAGTGTCCTTTCGAAGTCCCGGAACTTGGAGAGGTCTTACTTCTAGTTATACTCCATGCGTGTGCACCGTATGTAATTATTTCATAGGAGTAGTTTTGCTAGCAACTCTACAAGCATGCGAAAGTAGTAACCTGATTTTCCCGTAAGTTGGACTCCATATCCAACCACGATGTGTAGTTGGGTTAAGCAGATATCCGCTTATTGATATCGTTTTTAAGTGTTGTGAATAGGACGAAGAATGGAAAGTAAACACCTATCTCTGAATATTTTTGGACATCTTGCTCATGCGACCGTCAGCCACAGGTTCTCTCCTGGCGCCTCCTGAGAACGCTTAATTGTGAGCGAGTATCAAGTCCAGCGAAGAACCCAGGAGAGTTCAAATATGTTGAGACTAACTCCCCAAGGTTAGGAATATACATCCAGAATAGTTCGGGAGCGGTACGGTCGACATACTTGTGCCTCCTCGCTCCGTCGATGTTAGGGATATGCAAATGCAAGGTACCAGAAGATGCTGAATCTGGTAACCTCTTTCTGTACGATAGATGGTAAATGGTCAGTGGAAGTCACTACCCTCCAAAATTCTCGGTTTGTGGATTTCGAACACAAATCGTTTTCTAGTACTAGTCTAGTACAACCACCTGGAAAACGATGTCTAGCTATTGGATTTTTCTGCAATCAGAACTGTGTACAGTCGGTGTTACACATTGCCGCAACGCAGGTCCCCATGAGTTTGCCTCACGGCTGGCCGACAAGCGTATCCCTCTTCCCTTCCACAATCTCCTGCTCAATCCTTGCCCTCCTCGTCTCCTCCGCTTCACTGCTAACATCTTTAAACACAGCATCCATTTGCTCTAAACTACGTCCATTCGTTTCCGGAACCAAGAAGAAGGTAAACACAAGTGCAAGGAGACAGAAAACAGCGAAGAAAGTATAAGCACCATATCCAGTGTTCTGCACAAGAGGTGGCGTAATTAACCCCTACTATTTGTTAGAAACTGTGAGAAGAAAGAAAATGAGGAAACCCAACTTACAATAATAAAATTATTAATCCAGTTTGAGCACGTCGAAAGCGCCACGCCCTTCGCTCTCAGCGACGAAGGGAAGATCTCTGATGGCATGGCCCATGGAACAGGCCCCCACGTTGCACCGAAAGAGAACATGTAGAAGAAGAGGAAGGCGACGGCGACCCAACCTTCAGCTGCGTAGTCGGCCCATCTACCGCCGAACTTTCCGACGAGGACCGCGATGATGAGGTGCGAGATGAACATTAGGGCTGCGCCGATGAGGAGTAATGGCCGACGGCCGAATCGATCCATGGTCCAGAGCGATGTCGCAACACCGACGAGTTGGGTGACGTTGATGACGCCGGAAAGAATGAGTTGCATCTCGTAGTCCTGGCCTAGAGTTTTGAAAAGCGATGGAGAGTAATAAATCAAAGCGTTGATACCGACGAACTGCTGGAAAAACATGATTCCGCAACCGACAAGCGTGCGCCTCCAACATCCCATCTTGAAGCAATCTGTCTAAGAGACAATCTCGAGCTTCATACGACTTGTTTTTCTTCCATCTTGAAGTTGAGGATGGCGTTCCTGGCTCACTTCCTGCTTAAAAGCAACCTCAGCCCGGATCTCGCACCATTCTTGTTGCACACGGGAGTCAGTTGTAGGAAGTTGACGCAGATTTGCGAGATTCTCGAGGGCCTCTTGATCGCGGCCTTTGGAGGACAGCCAGCGGGGAGAGAAGGGTAAGAAGAGGATTCCGACGCCGAGAATTAGGCCGGGGATCATCTGGATAAGGAAGGGAAGTCGCCATGCCCATTCGCTTCCGATATAGCGTGTACCGTAGGTGATCCAGAACGCGATCACGATTCCAAGAACGATGCTGAATTCCTCGAGGACGAGAAGTGCGCCACGGATTTCGGGAGGTGCGATTTCGGATATGTAAAGCGGCGCTACCATGGACAGCCTGGATAAATCGTATCAGCGTTTAATTCGCGTAAACCAATTACGGGTTCTGAGAAGAGATATCGTGAGAGCCTTACATGCCAATGCCAACACCACCAATCAATCTCCCGACCGTAAGCATACTATATTGGACAGCCGCCGTCTGCAAGATACTTCCAACCGTGAAAATCGCAACACCAACGACAATCGAATATTTCCTTGAGATCTTATCAGCGAGCCAACCCTGATTCAGTGCTCCAAGCAAAGCACCAAGCTCAAGCATGGCAGTCATGAGACCCTTCCAGAATCCGGCACCGGATGCAGTCTCGGAAACGCGAGGAAAGACATGAAGGAACTGTTCCATTACGAGGGTTACAGAAACAACTCCTTGGCTGATTAATATTAGCAATTGTGAGATGAGTTTTGAATGAAGTGACTTACTCATATCCGAAGAGCAGACCTCCGAGAGTGGCGAAGGATGCGCATAGAGCAACATAGTAGCTGGAGAAGAGGCCGCGGAATCCTTGGAATAGTTAGCCAAAAGTCAAGATTAGGACGGAATCACGCATACCAGATGGTCCATAAGGCTCCCTCGTAGTACAGGCCTTGTTATCATGATGAAGGTCCACAACCTCCTGATGAAGGATCGGATTAGACATCGTCGGAACGACGTCAATATCCTTTGTTTCACCCAACCTAGAATCCATAGCCTCCTTGACGACGTTGAAAAGCTGGAAAGGTATAGACAAGAGATGGCCGAGTATCTTGGCATCCACACAAATGAACAGAAACATAGTGGACGAGAATCTACCCCTTATTTATACAAATTTTGAATTCACCAAACGAAAGCGGAGTTCTTAGCGCAGAACGGCTATTGCAATACCTCCACAAGGCGGTCATAATTTCCTGGTCAATGATGCTGACGTTGAGGCTCCTGCGCCTCGTCTCGGGGGTTTTGGAAGGGTCTCGAGGCACTTGGAGTCGGGCCGTAGCATTTGGAGATGAAGGGGTCCACATAAGTTGAGAAGTATGTTTTTGGCCGTGCGCACTGACTGGCGTAGAAGTCGAACATGGGATGAAGTTGTAAGGCGTGAGATGGTCACGAGATTGTAGAGTTGAATCTTCGGAGAGAAGTTTACTTATCCCTGAAAAGAGAGCGTATCGGAACACGATCACGCTGTAAATAAGGGTACAAGGCGTTGATCGCCGCCAGCGAGGCTTCGGGTAGGGCCCGCCGTTACATATCCGGCGCCAATTTCATCATACTGCATCAAACACCGCGGCAATTGCTCGGTCCCGCCGCAACTGCACACCCATCTTCTCCAGGTCAGCTAACCCCCGCAAAGGCCATTCTACGAACGAATAGGAAAACAGCCGATTTCTACCCGTCACGTGGTGGAAAGATATTGCGGCGTCAATTACCACGATCTCGGGAGCACAGCGCCGACACGTGCTATTCCCAGATACTGAGGAAAAGTGAGCCGACAAGGCGAACGACCCCTCCAGGCCTTGGAGAAAGATTGTTCCAGGTCGCAGAAATTCCCTCCGCATTTTCTCGAATGGGAAGATTCGGGCGCTTGATTATCAGGGAGACCGTTGTCTATTGATTCATGAGCCATTGTCATGTAGAAATAATTCTAATCCAGACACCACTGTCAACTGCCGATAGCAACCTTCGTGTCTCTTCTAGGTACACCAAAGATCATAGAGATTTGTTTAGAACTGCACTAGTCGTAAGTGAGGTGATCGGACCTTTCCCAAAGCGAAGAAAAACCCTCTTGCCTATGTTGGCATCGCCAGGATATTCCCCAAACCTCTTCCGCCTCCACCATCACCTCCGGCTCCTCCTCGACCACTTTCGCCAGAAGGCCTCCTCGAGCTGCTAAATCCTCCTGACCCTCTCCTACTCCCAGTCCTTGCAGCCCCTTTCTTAGATACCCCAGAGTATCTACTACCGAAGCTACCTGACTTTCGTCGATAACCATTCCCGCCCTTAAACGAGCCTCGTGCTTTGGAGCCGCCCCTATAAGACAATTTCGATGTATTCACTCCATTTGATGCTGGCGTTGCTGACCTCGCGGCTTCTAATTGCGACCCTCGTTTGTTGTACGCCTCAACTCTTGGGTCTAGAGGTGTAGCAAAGTGATGACTCGTGTGGACAGCCTCGTCATCATCAAAGTCTTCAAGAGCGGAGTCATCGTAGTCAGTTTCTTCCGCTCCCTTTTCTTCCTCTGCTTCGCTACTACACAGGTCAACCACAACTCGGTGATTCGGGTCTAGCGGTCGTTGTTTATCGACACCCTCGTCCTGCGCTACGCGGCGCCTCGCTTGCCTCTGCCCATATATCTCCTTCGTGTTCTGGACAAGTGTGAGGAACTTTTTGCCGTAAAGTCGCACCTGCTCTGGATCTATACCGGGGATTTTGAGAAGTTGAGTTGAGGTTGTTGGAAGCCTGAGGGCCATCTCTCGGAAAATGGTGTCCGAGAATGGTTTTTTGCGAAGGTCCTTGCTCATCAGTATTTTCTCAGCCGTGTTCCTCGCTCCCCTCACGAAATCTTCCATTATGTCCCTTTGGAGATCGTCTAACCCAGATACCCTCTCATCTACAGTAATGGGAGCACCGAGTGACTGAACTGTATGCAATGCCTTAGACCTCTTTGGAGGAAGTGGATCGTAAGCGTCCTCGTCATCTTCGTCGTTGGAAACTGCAAAACCGTTGGGCCTATTGCTACGTCCGTGCCTAGACTGTTCGTCCTCTTTCTCGCAATCATAATCTTCTAGATCATAAGTATATTGTTGGATGCGTCGTTTCGATAGTCGCTGAACTGGAGATGGAATATTGGTTGAGGGATACTCTGAACGAGAGGCAGCAACTTGCTTCTTCTTCGTGGCCGGCCTAGGAACTGCATGTTTTCGGGAAGTTACACGAACTTGCAAGCTCAGTTGCTTTCGGCCAGTTGTGTAGTCACCGCTCCTGTTACCGAGCTGGTAACAGTTAGCTGAAGGTTTACTTCGAGGGCGAAGAACTTACATGAAGATAATTGGTGACGAAATTAGCTTTGTTCTTAACGCTCTTTATAGCTAAGGCATTATCGTCGAGCAAGCGATTGAACAGACGATCGACGTCACCCCGGTCCATAGCTTTACCAGCCCCGAATTGCCTAAGATTTAGAGATTTTAGTTTCGAACTGCTTGTTCCACGGAAGGCCTCTGAGCACTGATGGAGTGTGACTTTGTTGTCTTGGACTTGTTCGACAAGCTCTAAGGCTGAAATAGCGTATTTAGTAAGATCCTTGGTTTCAAAGGTTGAATCAGATTTGCAATTATCGCAGGTCATATTGCAATCCGCCGCGTCGAATCGTTCACTGAAGTAGCTCAAAACCTGTACTCTCCGGCAATCGCTCCTGTTCTCGCAATATTGAACCATATGCTTCAGCATATCGCGTTGTCTTTGCTTTTGCTGTGCGTTCCCGTCTCCTTCTTCAATCATCTTATTCAAGATGTTGGTATCCGCATAGCCATAATAGAGGTAACACTTAGAGCACTCTCCATCACGTCCGGCGCGTCCTGTTTCCTGGTAATAGCCCTCGAGACTTTTAGGTATGCTATGGTGAATGACGAATCGAACGTCAGCCTTGTCAATACCCATACCGAAAGCAATGGTGGCAACGATGACATGATAGACACCATGTTGCCATTCTCTCTGAATCTTCGATCTCTCTGCAGGCTCCATGCCTGCATGATAATAGTGTGCTTTGATGCCAAGATTTACCAGTTTCTGCGCAACTCCTTCGCATGTTTTCCGTGCAAGACAGTAGACAATACCGCACTCGCCACGATGCTGTCCCTTGATCAGGTCAGCGATGCTGTTGATCACTCCTTGACGTTTCTCTAGAACCTCATAAGAGAGATTAGGACGGTTGAAGCTCTGGGAGATCCGGCGGCAATCTTCAATCCCCAGATTGATCATCACGTCCTTTCGAACAAGCTGGGTAGCGGTGGCGGTGAGTGCGATAATTGGAACTCCTGGAAACTTTCGCGTAACTTCTCCAAGCGCCTTGTAGTCGGGTCGGAAATCGTGACCCCACTGGCTAACGCAATGAGCTTCGTCGATAACGATTCTGGCAAGTCTGCCCCTTTCATAGAGATTCTGAATGGCGTTGATCATTCTTTGACTCTTGCTGACCATCTCTGGTGTCAAATAGAGAAGTTGCATGAATATCCCTGGCTCGGATTCCTTCAGTCCATCGGTAATGAAATTCCGCTCTTCTACTGTGGATTCACCGTTAACAAGCTGAGCCTGCATGCCGAAGCGCTTTCGGCATGCTTCAACCTGATCTTCCATTAAGCTCAATAGTGGGGAGATCACAATCGTCACCCCGCGCGTCTTTCCGGAACTGATGACTGATGGAAGCTGATAACAGAGGGACTTGCCACCTCCAGTTGGCATGAGCACGAAACAATGTTCTCCTCCGAGAGTAGCATTGATAGCTTCAAGCTGCCCGGGTCGAAAGCCTCGAAGCTTGAATTTGTGGACCATCGCCTGCCTTACATCTCGAGACCATGGGAAGTTCAATCCGGGATTGACAAACTGTGACTGTGATTTTCGAGGGGACCGTTCTGGCTTCCGTTGAGGAGGTCGGTTGATCGACGTTTCGCGAAATATATCTCTGGGTGAATCTCGAGCATGATTTGGGGCCATTTCGCCCTTCCAGTCAAAGTCGCTTGGCCCACGATTCGGGAAGTCCGCTGGATCTTCAAGATCAAAAAAGTCCTCATCGTCGTCATCACAAAAGTTTTCATCATCACCACTATCGCACGGTAGTGATCCCATGTTGTGGCTGAAAAGATCTTTGTCTTCGAAATCGTTTCCAAAGTCTTGTGGTGGGTGAAACGATTCATGCCGACTAGCTTCGCGGAGAATAGATCTTTGGGGGAGCGAAGTTGGGGAGCGACGACGTTGAGGAGTTTCACGGACCCTATGGGATTCGTCTTGCGTTTTTGACCATCCTTGGTTGTCTGAGAGTGAATTAGGCTGGGTATCTGGCTCTAGATGGAGAGGTGGAAGGGGATTCGACACATATGGATCCCTAGAATTGATATGTTGCGGAGGTGTCCTAACTTCACGGACGGATATCTGGGTGTGCTTAGCGTACTGTGTCTGTGGAACATGGCTTGAGCCGAGACAGACGAGGGAGGTGGACCCCTCCGACTTCGGAGTGGTCTGGGTTGATTGAATGATGACTGCGCTGATGTCTTCCTCGCCTTCGTCTTCAACTTTGCGTTTAGGATGATCTTTAAGCCCTGCTTGCTCGAGATAGAAGGAGAATAGAGCTTGGATATCCTCGAGAGATTTGAAGATTTTGTTAGAAGTTTCACCATCAGCGGTGTTGAATTCTCCATTGTTGAGGTCATCCTCAATCTTTTTCTTGATCTCACGTCTCTTGGTACTTAGGTCTTCGTGCTTCTCTTTTAGGAAAATGAGTTGCTCGACTGCTTCCTTCTTGAAGCGAGATTTCTGCATCTTCTCGGTCTCAGAAGGCGCTGGCCTGCCACACTCTTCCACATGTATCGCAAAGGCCGCCCGGGCCTTCTCCCAGCTGGCATTCGCAGCAGCTAGATATTGGGGAAGTTGAGCACCTTCGGTAGTCAAAAAAAGTTCGACAGCTTTTTGAATAGATTCTCGGGTTTCCTTTGATAGCTCCGAGGAGGTCGGCGGGGTTCCAGCTTGAACTGTGGCAGCTGCCGGTGTCGATTGTGTTTTCTTGGGAGATGGTCGCTTCGTTGAAAAAGAGTGGGGTTCTGCAGGGGTAGAGATAAACTCGGCTTTGGGTTGCTGGGAACTTTCGAGTTTACGAGGCTTTGTAGGAGATCGAATGGGGAGAGTCGGTAAATGTGCGTACCTGGTTGACTTCTGGTTTGATATCTTCCCGGGAGCAGGTGTTGGGTCCTTTGGTGGTGACTTGGCTAGTTTCGTGGGCGAGTTCGGCTCCATGTCCATTTCGTCCATGCCATCAAAATCATCCTCGGAATCACACACCGCTATGCGGGCCTTTTGTTTTACCGGTGTATGCGTCCGCTTGGTGCGTGATGTCTCCTTGCGGATGCTTCTACTGTTCTTCAATGGGGAAGGGCTACGAGCTTGCTTCCCTACTTTCCGAGGTGGAGTAGAGATTTCTGAAGGTGCACGACTCACTGATTTTCGTTTTCGTGGCTCTGGCGATTTCCGATGCTGCATGTCTACCATGGCTTCATCTTCATCTGGCAACCAAAACTCAAAACCATCGTCCGGATATCCATTTCGTTCTCGCTGTACGACACCTGCATCTCCGCCAAGGGGATTAGCGGTAGAGTATGGAGGTGGTGGACCGAATTTGTCGATGTCGGAAAATCCTTCCATCTCGAAAGGATCGGGTTCGAGCGTCGGCGTCATCTCTCTAACTGGCCTCGGCGATTTGAGCGGTCGAAGATTGTCCTCGAATTCATCACTTTTCCGCTTTTTACCCTTATCAGCGCACCAAGGCCTGGGAAGTTGTACATCTTGAGAGTCTCCAGTCAAATCAATAGCATCAACCTCGTTCATCTGGGCGCGCTGTTTCCGCGAAGCAGCTGGCCGGGACGTGGGAGTATCATAAGGATCGGGCTTTTGGTGTGGCGCACGTTCATCCATCCTATCCCGGCCATCCCTCCGAGATCTGTTGTTCGAACCCGTTGGAGTATCACCGTAAGATGGTGCGCATGCTAAGGGGAACCTAGGGTTTCCAGTCCCTGGTGTAGAGCGTAACCGAGCCATATCCGCTGCGTTTGTCGCTGGCAATTGTCTCTCGGTAATATCCTGCCGAGATTCCTCTCTCGAGGTGGGCGCGACTGGCTGGACGATTGGTCTCCTCGCTTCTGGTTCGGGTGCATTGTTTGTGACAGACTCTGAATTAGAAGAATCGCTGTGTGAAAGCGTTGCTGAGCTGGGTGGGGCGTTTGGATCGTAGGCAACGAGTGATGTGGCCGGTGGAATGAATGGCTTCTCAGTCAACAACCACTTGAGATGTTCATTGAGGTTGTTCTGAGGAGGCATCAGGATATAGCATCGTCGATATGAAGGTCCACATTGGTTTGAATAGCATGCAGCGGGGGGAGTAGTGGCGTAACAATGGTGTGATGTTGAAGTTGCCGTCGGTTACGCGTTGTTCCGTCGCGCTTTCCTCGCTGACTAAAGGCACGATAACACGTGATCTGACTAGGCCTCCGCCTCTGTTCCTCTCCTACGACTCCTGAGAACCTCAATATTCTCACATAACTCCCCCTTTTATGTATTGCTATGTTTGAAGACCCACATATGATAGCAAAGCTCTCGGCCGCGATCGCAGGTCTCCATACTGAGCCTCCACCCGAAGATGTTCTCCCATCTGAAATTGCCCTGACTCATGCCCGTGAGAAATTGATCCAACACTTACCAACCAAGGGTGTTGGACTAGAGGATACGATCAAGCACTTGAAAGAGGATATTGTCCCAGGGTTCAATGCATCCAGCCGTTCGTCCAATTACTATGGTTTCGTAACTGGAGGAACCACACCAGCGGCAAGTCTGGCAGACAACTTAGTAACTGCCTGGGACCAGAATGTTGGAGTGCATCTTCCGAAAGAGACTATCGCAACGGAGGTGGAAGACAAAGCTCTCTCACTGCTCTGTGAGTTGCTAAACCTCGACCCTGCACAATGGCCGTATCGTACCTTTACGACTGGAGCAACGGCTAGTAATATCCTCGGCCTGGCGTGTGGTAGAGAGTATATTATTGCAGAGGCAGCCGCTATCCGAAGTTCCTCTGCCGCGAGTGTTGGGCATCTGGGTATTTATGAAGCCTTGCACCGCGCTGGCCTTGACAAGATCCAAGTCCTGACAACGGTACCCCATTCGTCTCTGAGCAAAGCAGCTAGTCTTATTGGAATGGGTCGCGCTTCAGTTAAGACTATTGCTCTCAAAGACTCCCCACTCAAATTCGACATCCCTCGCCTTGAGAACATGCTCAAAGAAGCGGGAACTGCATCTGTTGTTGCTATCTCTGCTGCTGAGGTCAATACGGGATTATTCGCTACATCCGGACTGAACCAGATGAAAGAGATCCGGAGAATTTGCGATATGTATGGTGCCTGGATACATGTCGACGGCGCGTTCGGGATCATGGGACGCATGCTAACTTCGCCTTCGTACCAAACCATCATCAATGGCTGTGCGGGTCTCGACCTCGCCGACTCTATAACTGGCGATGGTCACAAACTCCTTAATGTTCCCTACGACTGCGGATTCTTCCTCTCGCGGCATCGGGACATCGCGTTCCATGTCTTCCAGAACCCGAATGCTGCGTACCTTAGCTCTGGCCTTAGCACTGACACTATCATGTCACCCTTGAACATCGGCATTGAAAACTCCCGTCGACTGCGTGCCTTACCTGTCTACGCTAGTTTGATGGCGTATGGAAAGGACGGGTATAGGGAGATGTTGGAACGACAGGTTCAGCTTGCGAGGGCCATTGCTGAGTTTATTATTGAGAGCGACGATTTTGAGCTCTTACCTATCTTTGCTGGAGAAAAGGACGAAGTCTTGGGTAATGTTTATATGATTGTGTTGTTTAGAGCAAATGATGAGGGTTTGAATAAGGAGCTAGTTGACAGAATTAAGACGACGAGAAAGATCTACGTGTCGGGTACTGCATGGGAAGGGAAACCAGCTTGTCGGTTTGCAGTTTCGAACTGGATGGCAAATGTGGAGAAAGATCTGCCTGTTATTAAAGAAGCGTTGCGGGGAGTCGTGGACAAATACAAAGCACAGAAATAGACGGGCAACCGGACACCCAAACCCAGGTGTTAAGTTAGTACTCCAAATCACCACCTCTCATTCGCAATTTCGCTACCTCTCACTAGCCCACCACTAATTCATTAAACCCTTATCAGTCTGAAGGCTAGGAAAACGGTGAGGTTTGGACAGCTCTATCGAAATGTGTCGATAGGGATATGAGATGTTAGTACGGGACCGTTCGATGCTATGAGGCTATCCGCCTCGGTTTCATGGCAATTTTAGTAAGCAAAAAGCAACAACTAAATTTCTTTGGTGTGACGATGAGAAGTGAAGGTTGCTGTACGTGGTTACAGTTGCTTGCAAAACCGACCTTCCTCTCAGGAACCGCGAGATCTTCCCTGCGGCACTCTTCGCAGCCCCCTTACCAAACTAAACTAAGCGTTAAGTAAGGGTCGTGCTTGTATTTACTTCTGACTTCATTAGGCGGCCAGCTTACCCTTGCGCGAACACGATACGGCCTTTACCACTAGCAAAAACATGATGGACAATTCAACCATCCTAGGTTGTACTAGGCTAATCCGTTCAACTGGCCTGACAAGTCGTGGCCAATCCAAATGAGTCATCGCTAGAGTAAGCTTTGGGCTTTGGATCCTCAGCTTACTTTGCTGATCGTGCAGCATCATATTCCTCTATGGGTTTACTGGCGACCCTAAACGAACCTGGATTCACAATAGAGGAGATGGTACACATTGTAACGATGAAGATGAGCCACCTCCGAACGGTCGAAAATTGAATCTGTTCTCGAGGCCGCATCAGAAAGACACCCGCCGAACAGTATTTTGGCCGAGAGACCTGATCCCGGGTACTATTCCCAATACACGAGTCTTGACATATTATTATGATACACACGAGCAGGTATGAGCCTTCCTTTTCGGAAGCTTGGATGAGGAAAATTTAGCAATAACAAAGGAAGAATAGCGATATAGACGAACAAATCTCCTGTGCCGCCGACAATGTTCATACGGAGCACCGCGTCGGTCAGTTGCAAAGTCAGGTTTGACATTCGGAAGACAGACGCCGACATACCGATTCCGGCTTGGCGACACCTTAAAACTGTGAACAGTAACAAAGGGGCAAACTTTAGCCCACTAACAACAGAACACAGCATTATAATATTGCATTAAAACACCTAGAATATAGTAATAGACCTAGTAAAATATATTTATTTGCCTTAAAAATCTAGAATATTTGCAAAAGTGGTGGAAAGTTTTATAGGCCAATTAGACATTAATCCGGCGCTTTTTTAAACTAATAAGAGAAAAGACTTGGCAAGATGTACAGTGAATAATAGAGAATAAGACATAAACTTGGAGCTCCGGTGAATCAGAGTACAGTCTTTGAGATTGCATGTAATTTTCTCATTGCTTTGGAGGCTTCGCGTCGAGCGGAGCCAAGGAGACTAATATTATTCGTGGTACACAGTCTATGAGAGACTTTTGTCTAAGAGATGTTGCGGAGATCGATCGGTTGCTGCCAAGGCTAGACCCATCTCTAGGCCGTCCTTGATTCCACAATTGGTATTATGTTTTTTGACAGCTTATATGCTGGCACTGACCCTCGTGGCTTTCTCCAGCGTAATGCCGAGAAGGCTATTAAGGCTGCTGGGTTCTCCGTTAATAAGCAGTTTGCTATTACACTTTTGCTATTAACAGAACGCTTAAGGGAGCTGAGAGACGAGTCTAGCCTCATAGCCTAGGAGCAGAATTGGACTATAAACTCCTTCCAGGAACAATTGGGTGTTACACTTCTTAGTGGTTTTAAGGTAAGTACGTCGACACACCCCGTTTCATTACTAATTAGGTTTAGAGGCCGTTGATGATATGTCTTCCCATCTAAATATTCCAGCTATTAAGATTTCCGAGCGTATCAGAAGCAATCATATGGAAATATGTCGCTTTACAAGACTTAACAATGTCAAATACAGAAAAGTTACTTCCGCTCTCTACAGGATAATAGGATCGATTTCCAGTTATAGGTCCAGGATATGGTGTCTTTTTTTGAACATATTAGCGAGCGTGTTGTATTTACCAGTATCAAATTCCAAGGCAGTTTTTTACTACCCTTAAATTACAGTTTAGAAAAACCCAGACCTTGTTCTGGAAGGAAAAGAATAGCACATCTAGGGTATAACTAGCTACCTTAATAGCGAGCTAAAAATTGGACAAAGTAAGAGAGCTTAGCAGATCTGAGCAGAGGTTTAAGAAAAGTCCTTATGAATTCTTATGCAGGCTGCCCTTGTAGTAGGAATACTGAATAAAGAACACAATGGTGGCAGCATACATGCGTTCTTAGCAAAGACTTCGGGAGATCCTTAGCAACCTGCATAAGCTATTGCACGATATTTTAACGTGTCGCTCTCACAACTAACACAAACCAGTTCTATTTCTTTAATGGGTGCTCTTTCCAAGACAGCTACTGAGCCTGGGCTAGTTATACTTTGCTATTCTTTCTGGAGTTGAACCCAACGCCCTATCACGGCGGGATCTTGATGAGAACCTGATTGACGCTATTAAGGGATTCATACTTAATTCTTCTAAAGGACTCGCGGAAATCACGACACCTAAGACGCAGAAAGTTCAGTTTATTCATGAATCAGTACAGGAATTTCTCTTAAAAGAAAACAGGCTAGAAAACATTCCGCCTGACCTGGGAAGAAACCTCCACTGCCAAAGCCATGAGCAGCTGAAGCATTGTCTGAAGTTGAAAAAGGCCTTCCAAAAGCATCGTTAGAGAAAGGTGCAACTCTCCGCCAATCAGCTTCTAGTTCACTTCCCTTCCTAGAATACACCATACATAATGTTCTATTCCATGTAAATGTGGCAACGGAAATACCCAAGATAATTTTCTCCAGACTTTCCCACTTTCCCATTTGATCCAGCTCGACAATCTATTTAAAACCATGACGTACGCAGACATGTAGAAAATGTAAGTCTTCTCTATATATTAGCAGGGGGCAACATGTCAAGCTTTTGTCACCCTTCGGGAAGCTTATCAGCGAAACTGCCTCCAGGATATGGACTCCGTAAACTTTGCAGTCAGTACCAGCAGAACTATAGTAGACAAGACTACTTGAAGCGCGACTTCAAATTCTTAGAACAAAGACCTAACCTGTCATATTTAGTGGAGCTCAGCGACGAGGTAACATTTGCTTTCCTGCTTGAGGCGGGCAAGGTGGACGTCGACTGAAAAGATAAAGACGGATGGACACCGTTATCGAGGGCGGCAGCGGACGGGAATAAAACTATAGTCAAGCTGCTGCTTGAGACTGGTAAGGTGGACGTTGGCTTGAAGGTAAAAGACGGACGGACGTTGCTATCAAGGGTGGTAGCGACAGGGAATGAGACTATAGCTAAGTTAATGCTTGAGACGGGTAAGGCAAACGTATAAGGGGGAGATACTAGTACTACACCTTGCAAACTATGAAGCCATTGAAAATGCTGTAACTATACATACACATATATATACAATTTTTTTAATAGAGATATGCTAAGCTCAGTTTAGCAAATAAATATAAAGAATCTATTTCATAGAGGAGTCTGGGGGACAACTTATATTTCTACTATACAGCTGCCTCACGATTGGACTCTGAAGGGTTGATTGATTATGAGAGAGTAGAGTCACATGTGGTGTAGCTTATAAGATGGTCATTTCATAGAGAAAGTTAGAGGTTCACTCTTGTTTAACGTTTAGTTAAGTTTCGTCAGACAGATGCCAAGAGCGGCAGGAAATTCCGGCGGCGTATTTAGGTGAGGGGGGTTTTGCAAGCGACTTGCACAGTAGCGTGTTCTTGTCGCGCAACGCCAAAATAGTGGCCCGTGCACATAAACAATCAAACAGTGGACCTTGAGACGGATACATTCATCAAAGCAAACGACACAACACAACGTCACTCTAACACCCCGAACACATCAGAAAACATGTCGGCCGCATCTCCTCGTAAGTCCACACGAGCGGCAGCTTCACGTCGAAAAGCCCCGATCATCGAAGATTCAGACGAGGAGGAAAACACACCGCCACAAGTCAAGCAAGAGAGCGAGGAAGAGTTTACACCCGCTCCACAGAAGGTCATTCGACGAGGGCGGGCACGTAAAACGGTTGATGAGACTGCGACACCAAAGACGTCGACAAGGAGGCGCACTCGCCACGAGGATGCGATCGAGCCTTCGCAAATATTTAGTCCAGAGAGCTCGGTAGTCGAGCCAGTATCTCCTACGAAGAAACAGTCGCCTAGGAAGAGGAGTAGTGGGAAGACCACCAGAAAATCTCGCGCCTCAGTTGCCGGAGGCGTCGTCGAAGATTCACAGCTCCCTACTCCCGATTGCTCTGTCTCGCCTGAGCCCCCGAACGTACCTGGCACCCCGCTTGCCGATATCACCGAGAATGCTATCAACGAGAGTACAATCGTGCCGGAGACACAAAATACGGTTGAGAAAGTCAATCCCCACCACACTGTCTTAGAGAAACCCATGGACATTATAGTACGCAAGCGTGCCGCGCTACCGGTTGTCCAGGAGCCCGCTGTTCCGAAATCGCGCCTCGTTATTACATATCTGGTCCTCACAAACTTCAAGAGCTATGCGGGAAGACAAGAAGTTGGTCCATTCCACGCTTCATTCTCCTCCGTGGTTGGTCCGAACGGGTCCGGTAAATCGAATGTCATCGACTCTCTGCTGTTTGTCTTTGGCTTCCGCGCGAGCAAAATGAGACAGGGTAAGATCTCCGCTCTTATCCACAATTCGGCGGCATTCCCGAATCTGGAATACTGTGAGGTGGAGGTTCACTTCCAGGAAGTCATGGATCTCGCTGGTGGTGGGCATGATGTTATTCCAGATTCGCGATTGGTTATCTCACGACGGGCCTTCAAAAATAATGCGAGCAAATACTACATCAATAACAAGGAGTCGAACTTCACCGTAGTCACGACACTTCTGCGGGACCGGGGTATTGATCTAGACCATAAGCGATTTCTCATTCTGCAAGGTGAGGTTGAGTCGATTGCGCAAATGAAACCAAAAGCAGCAAACGAGCACGATGACGGCCTGCTCGAGTATCTGGAAGATATCATCGGTACCTCCAAGTATAAGACGCCTATCGACGAAGCCGCAGCCGAAACAGAGACGCTCAATGAAGTATGCTCCGAGAAGAGCAACCGGGTTCAGCACGTAGAGAAGGAGAAGAGTGGGCTTGAAGACAAGAAGAACAAGGCTTTGGCTTTTATCCGAGACGAAAATGAGCTGGCTACGAAACAGGCCGCTCTATACCAACTCTTCATTTCTGACTTCGACGATCACATTCAAGTCTCTCAGGAATCCGTCACTCAGATGCAAGCGCAACTGGACGAAGAGCTAGAGAAGCACCACGGAAGCGAGGAGGTCATCAAACAACTCGAAAAGCAGTACAAGAAGGGCACTAAAGAGTACGAGCAACTTGAAAAGCAGACTCAGGCGGTGCTCAAGGAAATGGCTCGCATTGATAAGGAAACTGTCAAGTTCGAGGAAAAGAAAAAGTTCCTTGCTGGCAAGCAAAAGAAGCTGGAGAAGGCCAAAGAGACTAGCAAGTTCGGCATCTCTGAGTCTGACACCCTCGCAAAACAGTACGCCGACGACATTGAACGGTGCGCTGCTGAGATTGCGGATTTGGAGAAGACCATGAAAGTTGAAGAGAAGGAACTAGAGGCTATCCGTGCCAGCCTCGCCGGAAAGACCCAAGGACTTTCGGACCAGATTGCAGCCAAGCAAAAGTCCCTTGAACCTTGGAGCGCGAAGATAAACGAGAAGCAATCCGCCATTGCCGTCGCTCAAAGCGAGCTCGACATTCTTCGTGAGAAAGAGAACGCCGGGGCTGTAGCTATCTCGGATGTCGAGGCAAAGATTGCCAGTTTCGAAGAAAACAAGAACGCAAAAACTGCAGAGCTGGAAGAGTGCAAAGCCGAAAAGAAGAAGGTCGAAAAGGGTGCCCAGAAAGTCAAGGCTCAGATCGATGATTTGACACAGAAGGAGCCTACGATCCGAATGAAGCTTTCTGGCGCAAGACAGAAGGCTGATGAAGCTCGCGCAAGCCTTTCCGCAACCCAAACCCAAGGCAATGTCTTGACAGGGTTGATGCGACTCAAAGAATCCGGGAGAATCAACGGGTTCCATGGCCGACTTGGGAACCTTGGTACCATTGATCAGAAGTATGACGTTGCTATATCTACTGCATGCCCTGCCTTAGACAACTTAGTGGTGGACTCCGTTGAAGTTGGTCAGCAATGCATCGACTACCTCCGAAAGAACAACCTCGGACGAGCGAATTTCATACTCTTAGACCGACTTGCACACCGCGACTTGTCCGAGATCGAAACGCCAGAGAATATCCCTCGGCTTTTTGACCTCGTGACGTCGAAGCACGATAATTTCAAACCGGCGTTCTTCAGTGTCTTGCAGAATACTCTCGTTGCCAAAGATCTCGAGCAAGCAAACCGTGTGGCCTATGGTGCGAAGCGATGGCGGGTCGTGACCCTAGATGGCCAACTCATTGATAAGTCTGGTACTATGAGTGGTGGTGGCACCCGAGTTGCCAAGGGCGGAATGTCGTCCAAGCTTGCTGCAGATGTCTCCAAAGATCAAGTTGTCAAGCTAGAGCATGACCGAGATGCACTTGAGCAGTCGTTCGCTGAGCTCCAGCAACAGCAGCGTGAACTGGAAACTGCGCTTCGGGAGCTGAAGGAGCAAATTCCCCAACTCGAGACTAGGGCCCAGAAGATCGCTCTGGAATTGGATAGTTTCGATCGCAACATTGCCGACTCCCACCGACGTATCAAGGAGCTGAGCGCCGAACAATCTACAACTAAGTCAGATAAGGGCCGAATCTTAGCACTTGAGAAGAGCATCGCTTCTTTGAAGAAAGAGGTCTCAAAACTACATGCTGAGACCGCAGATGTGGAGGCCGAGATCAAGGCCTTGCAAGACAAGATTATGGAAATCGGCGGTGTCAAACTACGCAGCCAGAAGGCTAAGGTGGATGGTTTGAAGCAGCATATCGATACTCTCAGCGAAACAACATCCACAGCGGAGGTGTCAAAGTCCAAGGCAGAGAAGCAGCTTGTAAAGTACCAAAAGGCATACGCGGACGCTACAAAGGAGCTTGAGAATGTCGCTGCTGATGCAGAAAAGGTCGAGGAAGACATGCAAATTCAGAAACGCGACGCTGCAGGTACCCGGCAGCAGGCCGAGGAGGCACAAGAGGCTTTAGATACGAGGAAAGAGGAGCTTCATGCCGTTAAAAAGGAGCTTGATGAGAAGACTGCCGAGCTCAATGAGACGCGTGCCATTGAAATCGAGATGCGCAACAAGCTTGAAGGTGGCCAAAAGAATCTCAATGAATTCCAGAAGAAGCAGCGATTCTTTCAGGATAAATTGGATAAACTCTCATATCAGAACTTGAGCGAACTAGGAGAGGAGCAAGAATCAGCAGGTCCCCCAACATACTCCAAAGACGAGCTCCAGGATATGGACAAGGGCAGCCTTCAAGAAGAGATTGCGATCCTCGAGAAGAAGAACGAAAACACTAACGTTGATCTCAGCGTCTTAGCTGAATATCGCAAGCGAGTCGAAGAACACGCGGCCCGGAGTCTCGACCTTGCAGACGCCGTCGCGCAACGCGACGCAGCCAAGAAACGATGTGATGAGCTTCGTCGACTGCGCTTGGAGGGCTTCATGGAGGGCTTCAGCACAATTTCCCTTCGGTTGAAGGAAATGTATCAGATGATCACTATGGGAGGAAACGCTGAGCTCGAGCTTGTCGACTCATTGGATCCATTTTCTGAGGGCATCTTATTCTCCGTCATGCCCCCAAAGAAGAGCTGGAAAAACATCTCTAATCTCAGTGGCGGTGAGAAGACGCTTAGTTCGTTGGCGCTAGTATTCGCACTGCATCATTACAAACCAACACCGCTGTATGTCATGGACGAGATTGATGCAGCCCTGGATTTTAGAAACGTGAGTTGTGTCCTGCTCGAATAATTTGTGGGTTAGTAAACGGAGCTGACTAGGGTATATAGGTTTCTATTGTGGCGAGCTATATCAAGGAACGGACCAAGAATGCCCAGTTCATTGTTATCTCGCTTCGCAATAACATGTTCGAGCTCGCGTCGCGGTTGGTGGGCGTGTATAAGGTTAATCATATGGTAAGATGCTCTTTCACCTTACCGACGCATTCGAGAATGAGATTACTGACATAATGACAGACCAAGAGTGTAACTATTGAGAACAAGGATTATCTCACTGGACGAGCATAGACGGTGATGCGCTTGGTTTGGGTGTTTTGGTGTTGGATTATCTGCATTTTGGCATGGATAGGTTGGATGTGATGGGAGGCCTGGATCATAGAGGGTTGGAAGGGTATGACATTGTACGTGTGTGTTCAGGGAATCTAATGATGTTGATGATGTCTGTCTCTGGCCAACCTAACCCTTTTTTGGATAATGCTCGACTTTGGAAGGAGCATAATGCAGGGGTTTTCACGCATCGTCAGCAGCCTCTTTCTCGATGCCTCGCTAGCCAGTTTAACCTTAATTCCACGTGCGTCGGCGCAACTTATTGTTCCTCTTCTCAATTGATCACAAATAAGATGCATTCTCCTAAAAGTTGCATCTGCGTGAGGGGTAGGTCTGCAAGGTTCCGCCTGCCTCGGTTCGAACGACATGCCAACATCCGCACGAGCGCCTAACCAGAGCGTTAGCTCAAGCGCCCAGCGTAACACGCTCGGTTCTTCATGCCAATTAAGATGCTGATGGACTGCCTGGACGAATTCCGCGATCCGAGGCCTCCGGCGGGATGAATAATCTTAGCTTCACCGGGCTATTTGTATATATGCCGCTACCGCCGGGTTGATAGACCGCCCGACTTCGAGTACGGCTTGCAGCGTAGCTGCCTGTTCGAGAGGTATCTCTATGATGAGTGGTGAAGGAATTCTGAGGGTCTAGATTATCCAGAGAGCTGGAGCATTTGAGAGGGTTCATTCACATGTTCTCTGTAGCGCTAGTCAGGCGATCGAAACAGCAGCCAAGGAGCAGATGCGGAACACTCGCGCAAGATTTCCTTCTTTGGGGGAGGCGGAGCACAACGGTCCAATCAATGTGTCTCTGCTTGGTGGTGTGAAAACTAGCCTGAACATTTTTTGTGGCTGGTTTCCCCCGCAATCCTGGCCGTGCCGGATAGAGCTGTCGGGTGCGCCAGGGGCTTCAAAGGGATAGTGGGCAGCATGGATAAGTACGTAGGTATCAAGTCAGCACCTCATTTTGGGCAGAGGGCTGTTGCTTACGAGTGCTCAGTTTTTTTCAGTTTCTGATTTACGAAGGAGCGGTGACGGCATTTGTTTTTTCTAATTAACACTGAACCTCAGTCCGGCATCTCCAAAATTTAGCCATCACACTCTGCCAGGACGGTTAGGGTAGACACAAGATGCACAACTCCATCCTTCTAGCCCTTTGGGCCGCAATATCCTTTGTCTTGTACAAGATATACGCGCTCGCCGCCAACGAGTTTCATCACCGCAAACGTGAACGCGAACTCGGTTGCAAGCGTCCTCCTTTGATCAAAGGCCGTGACCCAATCGGCATCGAAAACATCCGCCGGCTGTTGAAGGCCGATAGAGAATGCCGGATGCCACAGTACCTGAAGGAAAGGACTGAGGCGGTGTGTGAGAAGGAGGGAAAACAGCTCAGCACTTTTTACCAGAATTTGTTGGGTAGCGGTGCCATTTTCACCGTCGATCCCAAGAATATTCAGACCGTGTTGGCGACGCAGTTTAAGGATTTCGGGTTAGGAGATGCTAGGAATCATAATTTCCGTCCGTTGTTGGGTCATGGAATCGTAAGTTGTGTTTTGCTGCAGAGTTGTGAGTTTTGGAGGATACTAAGAGGAATGATAGTTTGCGTCTGATGGAAAGCAGTGGGAACATTCCCGCGCTCTTCTACGACCCCAATTCGCCCGCGAGCAAGTCTCCGATCTCGATCTCGAAGAACGCCATGTTCAGAACATGATGCGATGTATTCGTGTAAACCCCGACGGTTGGACAGACTTGACGAACATCCAATCGCTCTTCTTCCGCCTCACTATTGACTCGGCAACCGAATTCCTCTTCGGCGAGAGCGTGGACTCACAGCTTTCTAGTCTTCCAGGCTATTCTTCGAACAAGCCAGCTGTAGAAATTGACGAGAAAGAATTCGCCTTCGCCTTCGACAAAGCCCAAGCAAGCATTGCAAAAGCCGCTCGTTTCGGCGATGGCTATTGGATGGCTCACAACGCTGAGTTCAGGGCCTACTGCAAGCGCTGCCATACCTTCATCGACCACTACGTCAATATAGCGCTATCGAAACCAAAAGACCCACAAACCCCCGCCTCAAGGAAACAAAAATACGTCTTCCTAGACGCTCTCGTAGAGTCGACCCGCGACCCCATTGAACTCCGCATGCAACTCCTAAACATCCTCCTCGCAGGCCGTGACACGACAGCCTCCCTACTCTCATACGTCTTCATGACGCTCATCGAACACCCCCTCATCTTCAATAAACTCCGCGCCACCATCCTCGAAGACTTTGGCACCTACGATAACCCAAAGGAAATCACGTTTTCTGGACTGAAGAGTTCTAACTATCTGCAATGGGTGCTGAATGAAACGCTCCGGCTCTACCCCGTCGTCCCCCTCGACGGCCGCCGCGCCCTTGTCGACACCACGCTCCCCACGGGCGGTGGCCCAGACGGCCGGTCTCCCGTGTACGTCCGTAAAGGCGAGCAAGTCGACTACTCAGTCTACGTCATGCATCGGCGGAAAGACCTCTGGGGGCCGGACGCCGATGTCTTTAAACCTGAACGCTGGGATGGGAGGCGTTCGGGTTGGGAGTATCTGCCTTTTAATGGCGGTCCGAGGATCTGCATTGGGCAGCAGTTTGCGCTGACGGAGGCCGGGTATGTGACTGTAAGGCTGTTGCAGCGGTTTGATAGCTTGGTTGGCGAAAGCAACTCTTGGGAGGGAGTGGAGAAGGGCGGTGTCGGATGGGTTAGGCAGTGGGTTACACTTACGAGTTGTCCGGCTGATGGGGTTAAGGTTCGGATGAGAGAGGCAAAGGCGTAGGATTTTTCACGATCTTTTAAGCAAGTGGAGGTTATGGTTGGCGTTTGAGATGTGCTGAATGAGGGAGGCAGGACTGGATTGGGTATTTTGTTGGGGATTAAAGAATGATGCCTTGAGATTTTAGGTTTGATATAAATTTGGGATGTTTATATAGGCAAGCTCTCTCAGGTATGATTGAGGCGTTATTGCCTACAGATAGTCAAGGTCGTGACACAATATCTTCACGTGAGCTGCACGCACCCCGCCTGCAGCCTTCTGCATGTATCTCTCTCCCCACTTCTCTCTCATTCGCTCTCTCTCTTCGAACTCCCTCATCACACCTCCAATTATCTCTAGCACTCCCAAAACACCCTACAAAAGCTCTTCTCCAAATCCCTGCCAAATCCCAACCCATCCCTAACCCAGTAATGGCAACAACTATCCAAAAGTTCAAACTCATTTTTTTTGTCCCCCAATCCTCCCTCTCAGCCTGCAAGACTGCCATCTTCGCCGCCGGTGCAGGACGATATCCCGGTCCGGGAGGTTATACAGAATGCTGTTTTGTTTCGAAGGGTTTGGGGCAGTTTAGGCCAGGGGATGCGGCAAATCCGAATGTACGCACCTTCCAAAACTTTTTTTTTGGAGAATTAGGGGGAAAGTGGCAGGGGGTATCGTTATGGGTTGGAGCTTGGTGTGGAGAATTACTTTCAGGTGTACGGATTCATTTGCTAACGGGAATGGGTGCAGATTGGTGAGGTAGGGAAGTTAGAAGAGGTTGAGGAGGTGAGGCTTGAGACTATTTGTCTGGGCAGGGAGGTTGCGGTTAAGGCTGTGGAGGCACTGAAAAAGTAAGTATGCTTCTAGTTTTGGTACGAGGACTGTGGGCTGAGGCTGACGGACGGGGATAGAGCGCATCCGTATGAGGAGCCGGCTTATGAGATATATAAAATTGAGGATATGTGATGTGATGCAAGAGAGGTAGGTTGTAAATCATGGTATGCAATTCATGTGAGGAGAGGGACTTAAAAGCATTCATCCAGTCTTCGAAGTATGTAGAAATCTTTTCGAAAGGTTCAGACACCATTGGACTTCTCTCACGTGTTAGCTTAAATTTCAGTTATACTCGTCCATTCCTTGACCTTTTGAAAATCCATCACCTTGCCATCCGCTCCATATCGATCCTGCGTGTCCCACCAATCTCTATTAACACTAAGCTCCGGCCGCCATCTCATCATCTTTTGTAGTCTCTGCTCAACCTTGCCTTGTACGGTGTCTGCGACCAGCATTCCAACAGCCGGATTGGTCATGAAACCATGCCCAGAACCTCCAACAGCTACAACTAAGTTCTCTAGATCCGGGTGGCGATCAATGAGGAAGTATCGATCAACTGTATCCGCATCCCAGCAAATCCGTGCGAAACTGAAATCTCGGTCTTCGAATTGAGGCATTGTGTCATGGAGTAGTCGCCGCATACGCGCCTCGGCATCCTTCGGGATCTGCTGGCGGGAAAATGGTACTGAACGTAGCTCGCCATTCATGTGGACGAAGTTGCAATATCCGGGATGTTCGTCGCAGATTTTTATGTCATGGTTCTCGGCATCGGGCTCAATAAAGAAGCCTCTGTCAACGCCATACAGTACCGGTAGATTATGATACTTCTCTGCTTCACTAGCAGATAGAGGGAGATGTGCAAGTGTCCAAGCCGTTGGGCGGAGCTGCTTCTTGAAGTCCAAAAGTAGGTCGCTGTCAGCACCCGCTGCTAGAATTGTCTGCGATGCTGTATGCTCTACCTTGTCTCTTGTCCGAGCACCGAAAACAGCGTCATTATCGGCAGAGTACAACAGACTTTCCACTTTTCCTTTAGAAGATCCAGCCAAGAACTTAACGCCTAGCCGTGTCGCTTCCGCATGCATGGCTCGTAGTGCGCCGTTCGCAAAGACCCAACCTGCTCCGCCGTCTTTCCAGAATCCTCGCCAATGCGGAAAGGGGCCAGTTAACACTCCCTGCGGCATTGTGGAATGGAAAGCTGCGGCCGTGTTGAGCGGGACTAACTTGGCCTGTTCGCTTTCAGCGTATTTCAAACAATGCTCATACGCATCATCACCACACGCCGCCATAATGAACCCAGTCGGGTGGTAAAACGGTTTGAACAGTGGATCGTGCTTCCAGGCATTCATCGATAGCTGGTGGATTTTGTTCCAGAAGTAGTCTTCGTCGGAATCCATGTCGTCGGGTTCGTTTGCTAAACGCTGTTATTAGGAAGGCAAACTGACCATCGTACTTGGGACACTTGCCTTCTTCGGCAATCCTATTTATGTCGTTTCCAGCCGCAATTGGGGAGGGAAATGGACAACCATCCAACACCTTGATGCCGGTATGTCCTCTGCGGGCTAGCTGCAGAGCTATTGAGCAGCCCCAAGTTCCGGCACCAATGATGAGGATTGAAGATTCAACGGCTAGAGGCATCAGGTTAAGTGCTCTCAAAGTAATTTAAAAAAAAGGAGGCCTGATGGATGGCTTGCATGGGTGGTAATTCTGCTCATCTATGGCAGGCACGACGTCACTTCTGGTGCAGAAGCTAGGTGGGAGTCCCGAAAGCTAGAGTAGAGAAGAAGCATCAAAGAATTTAAAGATGTTTATTGGGTTAGATCCAGTGCATTCCGCTCCATTCAAAAATATCTCCTGGTATGAAACATTTGAGAGGAATAATGACCTCGAAGATTCTTATCTCAGGTGCTCAGCCGACTGTGCAGAGAAGCTCGGAGTCTCTGAGGACTCTGTAACTAGGAGGGGCACCCCTACTAGCTCCTCTACTAATAAGGTCAGCTAGACAGAGAAAGCGTTTTTAAGCTCCTAATTAGCTGTCTAAGGGACTTTTGTGAATTTTTAGGTGATAACCAGTAGAGATATTATAAATCTAATTCTGTTATTATGCTCTTAAAGTAGAGTGATTCATAGAGAGAATTACAAAAGTCTCTTAGACAGCTAATAAGAGAAACGCTAGCTACAGGGGTCAGAAACTGCTAACCCTAAGGCCATACTCTGCTTAGAGTAGCGTGTAGCGTCCTCAGTTCTCTCATCACCCCGGCTGAGATAAGAAGATTCTTGAGATAATTTGTGTACTAGGCCTGAATAGGATTAGTATCCCCCGAAGCTCGCCAAGCTTCTTTGCGATCTTCGATTTCTCGCAAAATCTACAGTACGTCCGTCTACCGGCATGTCTAGCACGCTTCCTTTTCGAATACGGCCTATAACCTCAAGATATCGGAATAATGTGTTCATCCAAAGTCGAAGCGCTGCAACCTCTGGTGCAAAGAAAAGAGATACAGCACACTGGACTCCAGAGAAACTACGGGTGAATCCCAAATATCCTTTGGCACAAGATTTATATGAAACGACTCGCCCCGCATATTATGTGCGGACTAATACAAGAGGGTATGCTGTTCATATGAGATCGCAGATTGTAAGTCCCGACCTATGCGGTACGTTCACACTGGAGGCATTGCGCTGGATGAACCACTGCTAATGCGCGTTCTGTCATTTTAGATGATGTCCTCAAATACATAGGGCCCTCGTTAGAGAAGCACAAAGGATGTGACATACTTGATTTAAACCCTGGTGCTGGGCTTTGGTCATCCAAGCTGCACGACTTCCTCCAGCCGCGAAGCCATATCCTGCTCGAGTCCCAGCCGGACAAGTACGAGCGATTCCTCCGACGCTTGGCAGATAAACCAGACTCGACGTACAAACTGGTTGTCGGAGATGCTGCACAGCACGACACTATCAGGAACTTGGTTAAGGAGGGGATCTTTCCGTATCAGACACTAAAAACGCGCGACAGCGCTCTCCGACAAGAACTGAATAATTCACTACTGGTAACTGGGACATTTATATGGGATCCCACACTGCCTAGTTTCGGCTTCTCCTCTCTCGGTCGGCAGTTGATTCAGCACTACGCCATGCACGCTTGGCAAGCCGACACTTTCCACGCGTTCGGTCCCGTACGAAGTCTGTTCTGGCTAGCAGATGAAGATCTGACCAGCTCGTTGCCAAGATCCATGCTGCATTTCAGTGGAACTCACTTTCTCTTGGACAGATTTACTAATGCGAGGCAAGTTGTGACACCCGGCCATTTACCCCGAAAGCAGGGAAGAAGTACCATTGGTCGCGACGCCAGATATGAACTTGAGAGCCTCGTGAAAGCCATGAAAGCCACTAAAGAAAATGGCATGGAGCTACCAGCTCATCGGAGAGAAGAGATCCACGGGTTCGCAGAAGATATCATGCGATTAACAAACGGAACTGGTATTATGAGCTCGACCGAAACTACCAATTATCTGAAAGAGGCAGAGCTAAGCGGGAAATCCACGCAAGGATTGTTATTCGAGGGCGCAAGGGAAGTATACAAAGTCGACAAGGCTCAAGAAACAAACCCAGAGCTGTTCTGGGACCGGGAGGCGATGGGCGGCAAAAACCGTCTTGTTGTCACGAAGGAAGGGAAAAAAATTGCACGAGATCGGTCTTCGGCGAATCAAAACGAAGTATACAGAGTGGCACGTGAGAAAGCCGTCGACATCGGGGAGGATATCTACCACCTCGAATGCAATTTCCTAAAGGCTACAAGCAAAAAAGCGAAAGCCTCCACCCGGGAGAAGCTTGATCAACGAAACGCCGAGTTCAAGGAGGCGCTTGACGCCATTTCTAAGACCATACAGCCAGCTGTCTACATGGATCTCGACGATAGGTTAGCCATCAGATCTCCAGTTTCTAGGCTCATGTGGGACAGCCGACCGTACGAGCCCCTCGTCGTCCAAGACGACGAAGTCTGGCCACCGCACCGCTTCGCGCTTGTCGATTTTGAGCCCAAAATGAGACCAGTGGGCTATGATAATGAGCATACCGAACCCTTAATAGACTTTGCGAACGCACTGTTGCGGTACCACAATGAACCGCTTCCTGACGCATTAGAGCATTTGTCCCATGGCGGGTCGGAGCTGATAGACCAGGTTCCGGCATTGAAGGATCCTGCGAGAGGAGGGAGGTTGGATATGAAGCATCTGCGAGTACGGATGTTGACGCCGGAGATGATTGATGGGCTTTGTAGGGCATGGAGGGAGTGGCCGTTTAAACCGCCGGGAAGCGATAGTCCAAGATATTTTCAGGTTAGTCTTGGGGGGAGGAATAAGGTGTTGAATGGATGATGATGATGAGGATATATGGGAATTACAATTCGTCTGCGCCATATAAGTGTTGTACAATATTGTAACAATTCCTGTATAAAATGCTGGTCTAGAAATTTCCTGCAAGTAGACCCCCCCCAAAGGTGACATATATCGACTGCCAACCTGTCCCCCCAGCGATACACGGCTGGTAGATAAAACATCCCATGTTGGGCGCCTTCCCGTTCCTCTATTTCTTCCCGGTCGTTCCTTTCTCTGGCGTCGGCGCCGGCGGTGATCCTTTCGACTCTTTCGCCTGCTTCTTCCCATCCTGTTTGAACCCGGCACTTATCAAATCCATTAAATGATCCTGCGGAGGCTCCGGCTTCTCTCCCTCCTTAGTTTCAACTTCCTATGAACAAATTAGCCAATGCCATCATACCCAGCCCTCCATGGCCCCCAAACAGTCCTCTCAATCTCTCCCCTTGCCTCTCTGCCCGTCCCCTTTCCATCCTCCAACTTCCCAAACAAAAAATTCACACTCACCTCGCTACCCTCAGCGTCCCAACCTCTCCCAAACTTTTCCCGAAACCTCCTCAATCTCCCCGCCTCATCCTCCTCCACATTCAGCAGTTTTTGAGAACTAGGGTTCCACAGCGGGGTGTTGCGATTATCTTTCGTGGACCGATAGACAGGGATTGGAGAGGTCGTGCGATGGAGGAAGGTGGACCCGTCGGAGAGCGTGACGAGCTGCGTAAAAGTGTAGGGGCGTTTTGGTCGACGGAGGAGGGTTGCGTTGCGGGTTTGCGTATAGTGGGGGGATTTTAGGGGGGAGTAGGAGAGGGAGGGAGAGAGGGTGCGGCGCAGGGCGCGGAGAGCGCTGGGAGAGGGAATTGGTATATCCATTGGTACTGAAGGTAATTGGAGGGGGGGTATGTGGTGGGTGTTGCGGAGTTGAAGATTGAGGACCGTCGGGGATTCCTCGGTAAATATTTTTCTTTCGGCAGACTGGACTGGGATCTCGTGACGACAGCTTCGGTATCAAAACATTCCCCAAGGGCCAGCCTGTACCTTACGCGAAATTTGGAATCTGAATTGCTTCAATTCCACTCATTCACCTGTCAACTACTCTGCACATGGCTCCATAACCAATTCCACAACCCAGCCCAACAATGCCCATCTCCCAGCGCCCAGCAGTGCGCTTCTTCGTGACCTTTTATAGATGGAGTCGGTATACACGTGAGCCCAATCCCAAGTCCCCACCCTAATTGGCTCGTATCATTAGGGTAATTGCACGAGCTGATTTTCTATATTGCTTTCAGAGAGCCCACCGCGATGTAGCTTCAACCACCGTTTCTACTACCGCCATGCTGGGACGGTAAGACCTGTGAATAGGTATAGTGGCTCGAGGGGCTTTTTTGGGGTATTTAAGCCGAAAGAGACGGTGGCAGGTCAGAAAGAGGTGGGAATGGAAGAGAATATTGGGGAACGGGAGATGAAAGAGGACAATATACAGGCGCTGAGTGACCAAGACGCAGGGAAAGCGAAGGTTGAAGAGATTGCTGAGGTTAGGGAGTCTCCACTTAAGGAAGATAAGATCAAGGAGGAGGATAGAAGTTCAGAGCTGAGGGAGGAGGTAAATACTGGCGATGCCGCCGAAACCTACATTGAAAGTCTCGCAAAAGATGCGCCAATGGTGGCGGCTCACGAGAGGTCGCAAAGCGAGGAGGAGACTGGGGGTACGGACAAGAATATTAGTGCAGGGGACAGTAGCTCGGAGCTGAGGGACGATATAAGTACAGGAGATGCTAAAACGTTCATTGAAATTCTCACAAAAGATGAGCAGATGGTAGAAAAGGATTCGGCTCTCGAGAAAAGGCAAGAAAATTTCCCCGAAGAAGAGACGGAACGCTCTTCTCTCCAACCTTCAAACCCCACAGGCCAGGAAGACGGAGTTGAATTCGACGATTTCACCCCAAACAAAGGTTTGGCGGATAAAGGCTCGGCAGCGCTACGCGAGAAGGTGCGACAGGTCATGCGAAACGTTTCTCATCCGGTCGTCCTCGTCACGGCAGCTTCAGCTGACCCCAAGTCGAAGGAAATGGTTACACGCGCGATGGCCGTTTCTTCTTTCAACACCATCACTCTCGACCCTCCTACTATCTCCTTCAATGTCCGGCAGCCATCACATACCTCCGATGCCATTAGGGCGGACCGCGGTCGTTTTCGCGTTCATTTCCTTCAAGCTAATACTGTGGGAGCTAGGATCGCCGACCTATTCACAAGGGGAAATTCAGACGAGGCTTGGTCAAATCTTGCGAAGCTCATACCTTCGAGATACAACAACAGAGTCAGCAAGTCTCGACACTCGCTTACTAATGCCCCCTATGTGGATAGTCCCGCTGTACTAGCCTGCATGGAATGCGAGCTTGTCAACGAAGTGAAAGTTGCCGACCATGTCATCGCTATCGCGAAGGTGTTGAGGACAACAGCAACGGCAAAATCCAGTTCATACTCTACCCTTCAATATCATCAAGGGACTTATGCTGGCGATGGAGAACCTATTTTCAGCCGACAAGAGCTAATCGCACCGGAAACGTTAGCCTTTAATTATTACGACTTGCCTGTCTTTCCGGGAGACGCGGAGCGGCATTTCCTCTTGCATCGTATCAAGCAATATGTGGACTCTCGACCCCAGCTGTTGCGTCTTGATGTCAGCAAGGCAACCAATCAGATCCGCGCCGATTTCAACCTACGTCTGGGAGCTTTGGGACTCAATGTTCGGTCTCTACTTGCCCATGCTTCTCGAGAAGCCGGGCTTTCAACCGGTGATCTGGTGTTTCAACCAGTCTTGTACGACTTCTATGGCAACGTGAACCCGGAGAACATCGCCACTATTGTCGATCGTGCGAGACAGCTAGCGCACAAACATCCCGACGTCCTGCAAGCGCACTGGATAGTCCTAGCGGGTTTCCTCGGCGTCGATCCATACTGTAGCGGCCTCCTTGCTAGCGACATTCTCGAGTCACTCAGGGAGGAAGGACTGGTTGGAGCGTTCCAGCCCGGGAGAGACGTCTTGCAAGCGAAGGGAGTGCACACTCTCGAATTTATTGAACGCATCGAGCATAGGTTGAAGGAAATCTTCTTGCGATACGATCCTTCCACGGCCATGGCGTTGCGAACGGAGCAAATCTCTCCGAATATCAACCACAACCCCTGGCTCAAAGGCTATATTAAGCAGGTCCGCGGTCGACTACATGTTGAAACCGCGCGAGAATTTTTCAAGAGGCGGAACGTGGATATCTCGGGTGAAGTCACCGCAGTCGAAAGGAGGGTCGTTGTCGCTCGCATCCTCCGCTACCATGTCGGTCATATGATTAACTTTCTGCCGCGACTGGCAGTCCCCGAATGGGGCATGTGTTATAACGTCGGAATACACCCGCTGGTCTCAGGCGTTGATATCACTTTCCTTCGTTCTAAGTTAGCACACTTGTACTACAAGACTAAAGACCCTGCGGCTTTTGTGCAAATCGTCGAGAAGGAGATTACGTCTAAATGGTTTGATAAAGAACTCTCCCAGGAGGAACTCGAACGCCGAATCCACGAATACGTCGACCGGGATCCACGTCGCGCTGTCAGATGGTCGAAAGAGGATCTCCTCGCCGCCATTGGAATCGATCAAGACGCAGTGGTTGTAGACCCGGATAAAGGCGTCCGTCATAAAGTGTGGTTATACCGACTATCACCACTCATCTTAGTGCAAGCCCTCCGTAAGAAATTCCCGGACAAGGATAAGATTGATGACCAGGAAATCGCGGCGTTCTTGGATCCGCCAAAGAGGGTGAAGAAGTTTATGACGTCGCCGCAGGGCGATGGTAATGCACCACAACAGAAAACGGACCTATATATTCCAAAGCCGGAGGCTTTAGAAGAGCGACCGATCACTGGAGGAGCGAAGCCAAAGTTAAAGAAGCCCAATATGAAGGTGAGATATGGTGTAGGCTCGCCGGAAGGCACTGCTGCACCAAAGGAAGATACACTTGTTAGGAGGGTTAACTCTTCGACTGGCGAGTTTTGGACGGCGGAGGTGGTTGAGGGAGGCGAATATGTTCCTTCTTTTCGAATAAGGAAGGGTTGGGTTGGGGCGTATGAAGGTCCGAGGAATCCAGCCGAGACAGAGACACCGGCGAGGCCGGAGAAGGGGGAGGGGTTTCAGGGGTATGGGTTTGAGGGGAGGAAGGAGTGAGGGGGGTGGATAGAGAAGAGTGGGTCTGGTGTGAATTGTGAATTGAGGCTGTGATATATGTATTCTAGGGGCTTTGATGGGAAGAATAAGGGGGGAGATGACTGCTTCCACGTCTGATATATGATACACCTCGATATAAAGCTCTGTTTATTTTGTATATATAATCAAAACTCATCTGCCATTTCACTCCGGTGACGCTATAGTTCTACTAGGTCGGTAGTTAGTGAACTAAACACCCTAGCCCGAGGGTACGGGCGCTGCCTCTTCTTCCTCAATGTGTTTTGGGAGTAGCGAACTCCTTGTCAGGGCATAGTTCGCGAAGGACGCGAGAACAATGTCCACGAAACATTAGGCTTGTCAAAACCACCAATGCCAAATCCACGATATCACATGCAAACAACCCTCTTCTTGCGCCCCTCAACCATCCACATACATGCCCTCCCCTTCATCTTCTTTCCCGAACCCATCAACCAGCCTCTCCAACCGTGCAAGCACCTCTCCATCCGCAATCCTCCCACCCCTAGCCCTCGTATTCAAAACCCCAATATCAAAACTCCCCATCCCACCATTCGTAATCCCTTCCATACCAGTTTTTGCCTTTTCCTTCCCCCCTCCCACTATCCCCCCGGCTCCTGCCCCTCGTACTCCTCCTGTCGCCGCCGTCGCCGTCGTGTCTGCAGGCACTTTCATCACCTCCGCCGCGATGACATGGTTATCGTGCAAGTCGTTTATTTGTGCGTGCAGCGTTTCGCGGATGCTGGTGATGGATGTAAAGAATTCTTGAGCAGAGTCGAGGAAGCGGGATTGGCGGTAGGCGGGGGTGTCGGCGTGAGGTGGTGGATGGGGGTAAGAGGGGTGGGAGATGGGCGCGTTGGTGAGGGTGGAGAGGGCGGTTGCGGAGGTCAGGAGGAGGGGGGGGATTCGCTGGAGGGGGATTAGGGTTGGTTGAGGAGATAGCTTGGGGGATTATGGGGAGGTGTGGGGGTGTTTGGGGTGTTTGGATGTACCTCATTGACGGAGCTTAGCTCTCGGATGTGCTCTGCGGCGAGTTGGCGGTAGTTTAGTTGCGCTTGTTCGGCTGGTGAGAGATTGGCTATGGTCGTGTCTGCCATTTTAGAATTGAAAAGCGTGCCTTTCAGATATCCGGGGTGCTGTTAAGAAGCGTTGATAGCTCCAGGAGGGCCCGTGACATGCAGTTCCCCCGCGGTGACGTCCCCAGAGCCGCATTCCTTGGCGTTCATCAGCCACCAGCCACAAAGAGCCGACTTCACGACCGCATTCACTTTCACGTCCACCACAACCTCACGACGTCCGCCATCTCACCCTTCGAGTTCTTGCGCCCCATTTACTGCCACTTCCCACCAAGATTTCGCTTCGGCCACTGCCATACGGTCCGCTGAACCGTGCAGGCTCCTGTGGACAACGCGACCCTCTCCGGCCCCATTCAGGCGAAAGAGCGACAGCTTGGCCTCCCATAGATAGAAGAGGGGGACGCTTTCAGAATGTCAGGGCCCCCTCAAGGGCCCGGCGGGCCTGGGAGGAGTATGAGTGTAGGAAATGGCCCTCCCAGTGCAGGGCTGCCACCGCAACATGGAATGCCGCCTCAGCAGAATCAAGGACCTCCTTCAGCAGGCCCGCAGTCAGGGCCGCAGTCGCAACAGAATCTCAATCAAATTGTGGGTGGATAACTTCTTTCATTATTCTTCTGGGTGATGATTTAAATCTGCGCATTTTCACTTCCCTCGGCGAGCGCGCGCCGTGCCTTCCAATTCTTTAAATACGCGCCTGGCATTGTTTCCAACCTGCAAAGGTGTGCCCTCCTCTAACCTCAAAACCTCAACCCACCCCTAATTTCACTTTCACTCCAGTTCATTTCCAACTCTCACCCCGTCGCATGTCGCACGGAGTATTTTCATCATGTCTACCACAGATCCTGCCGTTGTTCGTCAAGTAGTACGTTCATATTCCCTCTCTTCTCATTTGCGTCGATTTTCAACTTCAATTTTCAACTTCAATCTTCGAGATGGCTGGCCCATCTATTCGGCCCCCCGCAGTTGCACTGTCTTCCCCATATGCCACTAGATTCGCTCATCCTTCGCGACCTCCCGTCGACAAATCTCCAGATGAAATAGTCCGTTCTTCAATTTTCATCTCGTCTCAAGAGCGCACTAACATTGCCCAGGTCCTCGAATACCTCAGCAAAAAGGGCTATGTTCGTACAGAGGCTATGCTCCGCAAGGAGTCCGAGCAGCCGCAGAGCGTAAACGGAACTTCGATTGTCTCGCAGACCAACGAAGCCGCAGGCCCAAAATTCACCAGGGCTATTGGTGAGACCCCTCTCATCCCCTTGGCCGCTCTATTCTAACGGGCATATTACAGAATTGCTTCGCAAATACACAGAGGACAGCCTCGAGCTCTACCGTCCGGAGCTCCGCAAGCTACTCTGGCCTGTCTTCGTCTACTCATTCCTAGACCTTGTTCGCGAGTACTTCACCAGAGATGCTGAGCAGTTCTTCGCTACCTACAAATCCCACTTTGAGCGCGAACACGAAGAAGATATCAAGTTCCTTGGTAAAGTCTCGCTTCCAGCACATCTTCAAGACAGCCGTGTGGCTAAAATGTACTTGGAGAACAAGTACCGAGTCACGCTTACCGCTACACCCTTCTACAACTTCGTCCAATTCCTTGAATCGAAGATGTGGGAGGGTGGCCAGGTCATCATCGACATGATGAGAGATCACATCAACATTGTCACCGTAGATCGGACGGCAAGTGCCGAGAGGAGCATCGCTGCCATTCTCGCACGCGGAAGCGGCGATGATGACCTTCCTGCCGAAGATGAAGGCATCCCCGGACACAACCCTGGACACCCGCAAACACACCGTCACGATCTAGAGGCCGATGCTTCTCGGATCAAGCTGACCCTCGGTCCCTATCCACAGGACCAGGACTTACAGGACGACGTGCGTGCTGCTCTGTTAGATGAGGATGCCAAGAATCCGCCAAGACCAGGGCAAACTTCCTTGTTGGACGAATATGAGCAGCGCATCAAGCGAGAACCTACTGACGACGTTCCTTCTCGCGATACAGTGCCGCTTCCGCCATCGCTTGCACGAGACGTCGCTATGGAAGTGCAGAAGGTCGTCGAGCACCGCGATCGATACAAGATTAGTGGTAGGACAGGTGGCGTTGGCCCCACGGTCAGCGTGACCATGTATACTTTTCACAATACACACGATAGGTGAGTGAAATCCGCGAAACAGATAACTTGAATTTGCACTAACCTTATTGATTAGTATAAATTGCATCGACTTCTCAGGTGACAACAAACTGGTTGCTGCTGGTATGGCCGAGTCATATATCCGAGTTTGGTCTCTTGATGGGTCACCTCTGACCTCGGATGTCGCCGACGGCACCGGTAATCCGCCGCAGCCTTCCTCATCTCGCCGTCTTGTCGGTCACGCTGGTCCTGTCTACGCTGTCGCGTTCTCGCCTGCCACCGAGAATCCTGATCCTAGCGGTCCTTCCACCTCTGCACAATATCTTCTCTCATGCTCCGGCGACAACACAGTTCGCCTGTGGTCATTGGAGATGTGGACGTGTCTCGTCGCCTACCGCGGTCATGACAACCCAGTCTGGGATTTGCAGTGGGGACCGCATGGTCATTACTTCTTGACTGGTTCTAACGACCGCACCGCTCGTCTCTGGTCGACCGATCATATCGAACCTTTGAGGATCTATGTCGGCCATGACAATGATGTTGATTGCGTTGCCTTCCACCCCAACAACTTGTACGTCTTTACAGGTTCTTGCGACAGGACTGTTCGCATGTGGCACATTAGCGGTGGTAACTGCTTGCGGCTTTTCACTGGTCATACCGGAAATGTCACGGCAATTGCCTGCTCACCCGATGGAAAGACTCTCGCTACCGCAGATGATGCGGGTTCAATCATCCTCTGGACTTTAGAGACTGGTCGACGGAAGAAGCGCATGCGAGGCCATGGCAAAGGCGGTATCTGGTCTCTATCCTGGAGCGTCGAGTCCACCGTCCTTGTCTCTGCTGGCGCTGACAAAACCGTCCGCGTATGGGATGTTCTCCAAGAGACTAACGAGTCTACCAACAAGACCTCAGCAGACGGCAGCGCATCAAACAAGGCCGACGGGGCACTCGTAAAGAGTGCGGGGGGCGGAAGCGCACCAGGTGGGAAGAAAGGACAGAAGGAAGCAGGAGTGTCGGCGGATCAGATTTCTGCGTTTCCAACGAAGGATAGTCCGGTATACAAGGTGCAGTTTACCAGGATGAATTTGGTACTTGCGGGTGGGGCGTACTTGCCACCGCCGAAGGTTTGAGAAGGTTGGTAATGACCAGGTTGATGAATTGCATAGCGGCGTTGAATGGAAATGATTATTTGAAAAAAATAATGGGATGGGAATTGGAGCTTTTCGTAATGTCTTCGGGAGACGGATTCGTTCGATACCATACCATGTCATGGGTTCACATCTTTCCCAGGTAGCCTCCTACATAAATATCTCTCTAATTATGGCTCTTCCCCCTTCCGTGACTCCACATCCCGCAACGTCTCAGCAATAACGCGTATGTCCTCTGGCGTCGTCCGACAACACCCCCCGATAATCCTCGCACCTGCTTCCCACCACTCCAAACACCGCTCTGAAAGATCCCTTTTTTCTGTTCGAGCACCAAACCAATCTCGAGTTTCTGCGTCCCACGCTTCGCCGGAGTTCGGATATATAATTAGAGGTTTATGGGTTAAGGTTGATAAGGTTTTTAGAGCAGGTAGTGCAATGGATTGAGGGACGCAATTCACACCGATTGCAAGGACCTGTGGAACGGGGTTTAAGAGCTGCACGATGGAGGGCAAAGGAGTGCCGTCGCTAATGCTGCTCTCATCCCGCAGCGTAAACGAAAAGCACGCGGGGATCTCGGGGAACTCTTCCTGGAGCAAGGATACCAAGGCAGTAGTTTCTGGGAGGGAGGGAAGGGTTTCGCAAGCCAAGATGTCGACGCCAGCGGAGATAAGGGTGGAGATGCGGCGGCGGTGGAAGTCTTGGAGGATGGGGATGGAGTGGGGGAAGGGTGGGAGCAGCGGGTAGTGGCCTGTGTACTCGGAGCCGTTGGCTAGGTAGGCGCCGTAGGGGCCGATACTGCCGGCTATGAATAACGGCCGATTTTGGTACTGGTTCTGGAGTTGCTTGGACGGTTCTTCTCTGGATCTAGCGTCGCATGCTGCTTCTGATGCTAGTTCTTTCAGATAATCTACTCGTGCCTCCTGAGCTAGCTCCACGCTCTTTCTAACTACCTCCTCTGCTTCCTCTACACTTAGTCCTAGATTCTCACACAGACCTGGGATAGAGGCTTGGTAGGAGGCTGTGACTGCAATGGAGGCACCGGCGCGGTAGTAGGAGAGATGTGTACGGTATATTAGGGATGAGTTGGTCAGGAGGACGCTGGCGGACCACAGCGAGGTTGAGATGTTGGCGCCGAGGGATTCTAAGTGAGTTGCTAGTGCGCCGTCGAGAATTATGGGGATTGGGGTTGGGGAAGAGAGGAGGGTCGAGAGGGTGGTGGTGGGTAGTGGGGCGTGGGGGTGGTGGCCTGAGGGTTGAAAGGGAGAGACTGTGGGTGATGGTGCTGGGGGTTGAGTGGCTGCTGTCATGATTTGGGTTGGGAGAATTGGCGTTTTGATATTGGGATAGAGCTTGGTGGGTTGGTGGAGCTCTGCATTCGAAAAGTGGGGAACAGAAACCTTGTCCCTTGTTTCTTGTCTTTCTTTCGCTCTACCCTCTCCAAATTCAACAATACCTACAATTATTCATCCCTCAGTTATTATTACGCTTGTACCTCCCAAGAACCCCAACCCTTCACTCAGGCTGTCTGCGAATGCCAGATTAGGCTTGCCATTGTCGCTTACTCGGGTCCGTCCGGCTAGACTGCATTGCACTAGCGCATGTCAGACCTGCATCCTTCGCTCCTCACCATAGAACAGGGAGACAACTACAATTAATCTCATTCAGCCGTGTGAGACAAGGCTGTCCGGTGCGCGTCATTGGGGATGGAGAGGGAAGAGAGATTATTGTGAGTCAGACTCGGAGGGGGGAACCGCGAATGGACGGGTTGTAACAGTGCGCTGGGGTTTTAGGTATAAAGGAGAGAATCTTTGTTCGACTTGTGCTTTTGCTTTAATAATCGCTCTCTCATATCTTCATTCTTCCTCAATTGCACAACCTAGTTTATATAAATAATTCTTCATACCTCATCCTCAATCATGGCTGCCTCAGTCATCCATGTCCTCCAAAAAAACGACTACGCCACCCACCACCTCCTCACACTCCCCTCCGATCCCCTCCCAGACCTTGCCCCATCATCCCTCCGTCTGCAATCTAAAATACTTGGCCTAACAACCAACAACTTAACCTACGCCCGCCTGGGCCATCTATTGGGTTGGTGGGACATCCACCCGCTCCCCTCCAACACCCCTGCCCCGTTTAACGACTCCAAACAATATGGCCGCATATCGGCATGGGGCTATGCCGAGATCATCGCCAGCACCGTTCCCGGAATTCCCATCGGAAAATCAGTCCTCGGTTACCTCCCAATTGGAACTCTACCTGTGGACGTCGAAGTCAAAGACGCCGGATACAAAAACCAACTTCTAGTCCTAAATCCACATCGCCAGCATCTCTGGATAATCTATAACCGACTCGAACTCTGCCCGCCAATCCCTGAAATGGAAGCCGAGTACGGCCGTGATTTCCTAGGGTGGGATGCGTTGATGTGGGGATTGTTCGCCACAAGCTACAATCTATCTACTTATGGATTTGCCTGGGAGGATGCGAATCGGATCCACCCCAGCGGGATAGGAGACTGGAGCGCAGACGACGCGAATCTAGATGATGCAACAGTCGTGTGTCTTTCCGGGAGCGGGAAAACAGCCATGGCGTTTGCATATTCGCTCCGGCAGTGTCGGCCGCAGGCCCATCAGCCCAAATTCGTGATTGCTGTGTGTTCAGGTGCATCGAAGCAGATGGCGGAAGACAGCAAGTTTTACGATAAAGCAGTCTTGTACTCTGACGACGTCGCTACAAAGGACCTTCTTGTGAAATCTGGAACTAGCCGAGTTATCCTCATCGACTTCGGCGCCCGAGCGGGCGCAACTGCCACCTGGGAGTCCACACTCTCGACACTGCCCCCCTCTATCCCGTTCTCGAAGATTTTCGTTGGCACAGAGGTCAAAGTGCAAAAACCAGAGGAAGCCTCAAAGCGGATGGCCCAGCTAGGGGAACACATCGTGGTGAATGCCAGTTTGTTGCGCGAGAAGGGGATTGAAAGTGGGGGGGATGCGTACTTAGAGAAGTGGGGTAAGGATATTGGGGAATTTAAGAGGAAGGGCGGGATTTCGAGTATGAAGTTGAAGTGGGGGGAGGGAATGGATGAGTGGAGTGAGGGGTGGGGGGCATTGTGTAGCGATGAGGTTCCGGCGAGTGTGGGATTGGTGTATAGGATTTGATGGAGGGGCAGGGAATGAATTAGATAAGGGGGCTGTAGGCTGGTAAAGGTGTGCATTTTGGACAATAAGGTATTGCTGAATAGCCCGGCCCCAGATGTAGCAAATGCAACCCCCCTCCTTTCTTCATCATGTACTCGCCCACTCACTCTTTCTCCCTTAATCCTATGTGTCCCTACCATTCCCTCAAACCATAGTCCTAATCCCAACAAAGCTCGGCACCAAACTCCCCTTCATCTCCCTCTCAATCTCAAACTTAGCCCTCCACCCCGTACAATGTCCGGCCATCAGTACCTTAACATCCAAATCCTTCAAGTCCCTTACCGTCGCTTTAATCCGCTCTTCGTCCGCATCTGCGAGATGGTATCCGCCAACGATAGCGTACAGAGGGATGGCATTGTTGGTGAGGGTTAGGGCATGCTTGGCGCAGTTGATGACGCCGGCGTGGGAGCATCCTGTGAAGAGCACAAGGCCTTTGTCTGCGTACCCATGGCGTTAGTTTTGCGAGTTGGTAAGTCTCGAGATGTATGCAATTCATAATCCAAGACTGAGAGTCAGTGAGGAAGTTGGGTGCCCACCTTTAACCCAACAAACCACAAACCTCTCATCCGCAATCAACTCATCCGTCCTCCATACCCCGTCCTCAAACCTCACCCCGCCCCGAATCCCATGCTCATACTCTGTAACCCTGGGTATCTCCCCCGAAACCAAAAACGAGGATTCCAGAACCTCATGTACATTCCTGTTCTTCTCCACCACTCCTCCTCTCTTCTCAATCTCTTCAAACGTCGGATCAGCTTCGAGAGACAGTGTTCCTATGGGCGTTTTGACACCCCTATAGACGGGGCGATTAGGGTGGAGGTCGACGACAAGGGGGGTGGGAGAGTTCGAACTGGAGCTGGATCTTGCATCTTGAATCATTTGGATTGCGGCGAGCATTCCGCCCGAGTGATCGCGGTGCCAATGGCTGAGGTGAATGTGGTAGATGTCTTGGAGAGGGGGGGCAATACGCTTTGCATTGGCTGTGAAGATGGATTCTGTCGGTCCGGTATCGAAGAGTAGGGTGCGGGTTTTGGACCCTTGAGTAGCTGTCTATTCTAGCATTAGAGATGACACCCCTCGACCTTTATTGTGCTATAAAGCCTTAAAGACTACACAAACAAAAAGTACAACCGACATACCAACAACAAGCTCAACCCGTGAGCGCCACAACAAAGCATCTCCATCGTCACCTCCCTAACCTTCTTCCCTTCACCCCCCTTCTCCCCTCCTCGCTGATCCCCAACATCTTTTCCTCTCTTCAGCCCCAATTCCCCCAACCTACCCCCCACAGTGACGCATGCAGGAGCCGGAGACATGGGGTCCACCTCGTTATCTACAATCGCTAGGATTTCAAGGCTATCAAGAGGGACAAGCATGACGGCGACGCAAGGCTGGGGTGGTAGAGAAGCAAGTTGGATGTGAAAGATATTGGTGTTGATAGTAGCAGCGAGAGGGAAGAAAACAGGTGCGAGAGTAGGAGAAAGTGAAATTTCAAAAGCGGTTAGGTAACCTGAACTCAGGACCCTTCCAATGGGGAAGTTGCCCCCAGTTGGCAAACGAGCTCGAACCAACTCTTCGGCTTTTCAAAAGTCTCCCATGTGACCACAATTCCTGATCACACAAGGCGTAAAGTCTAGCTCAGTGTCCTTGGGAGTAAGAATAGAGGATTAGAACGTCGTGGTGCTATGGTGCCACTTCGGGAAGCCAGATGTGCCGCATTTGCGGCGAGCTTGACGCTAAACTGGATCAGTAATCTCATATCATTGGTTGATTGATTCGAAACACTAGGAGTGGTGACTTGCCCTTGGAGCCTCCAATTTATCCAATTTCAAACAATTTGATGGAAAAGCAATCATAGATATGAATTGCCGGCTGTGTTCAAGAGTGAGCACTGACCACGGCGATGGGGGTCGCGAACCAAATTAGGCTAGCTTCAGTTGATTGTGGACACTATCCAATCTTCGGCGAAAAGCTTGCTCACACAACACCACACGTCTCTTCCCACCTCAACGTGAGAATGACCATTCGTATCCATCACTAGCTGTATCAGTATTCGCGGCAAAACAGAGGCCACTGCAATTTCCGGCCGTGTGAATTGTATATTTGGTATTAACTACTCATGAGGCGTCGGCCGGTTCATTAACTAGTAGAATCTGCTTGGAGAATGTCCTAACTACAAAGTAAAACAGCCATTAGGAAGATCGTCCGCTCCCCAGCGTAAGTACTTGACTTAGCCCGGCCCACGAAAGCAATTGTTGTGCGAGATGGTGTTGCAAGAATGTCTCACAAGCCCCAACTCATGAATCCACCACAGCAGCGTGCACGCGAAAACAAGAGTAAGTATACCCATGTCTTCGTGACAACTAGCCGGAGGTTTAGGCGAAATGAGCGAAGGCGAAAGCAGCGACGATGGCCACCATTGAGCTCTTCCCAGCTCCAACGACTTTCTGACCGAAGTTGATGGGGTATGGGGTGGCAGAGACGGTTGGTGGGACGACAGTGCTGTTACCAGCGCTCGAAGGGTACGGATATCTGTAATGAAGAGTTAACCGATGAGGGTGAAGCTATCAGGAGGGAACTTACCCAGAGGATCCACCGGCTCCGACACTAGTTCCAGAGCTGTTGGGAAGAGCAGCTTCAGAAGTGGTAGGAAGAGCCGCTTCAGAGGTACTTAGAGTCAAGGAACCCGGAACAGTGATGATAGAAGTCAAAGTTGCAGTCAGGGTGTTCGTAAGCCGAGTAGTCGAGTTGAGACCCCCGGTTGGAATCGGAGCCGAATATCCAGATGAAGCTGGAGCACTGGAGGCTGGAGCACTGGGGGCTGGAGCACTGGATACTGGAACACTAGAAGCTGGAGTACTGGAAGCTGGAGAACTCGAGGCTGGAGCACTAGATGCTGGAGCACTAGACACTGGAGCACTGGAAGCTGGAGCTCTAGATGCTGAAGAACTGGAAACTGGAGCATTGGATGC